ACAAAAGTCAGCTTCTATGGACCAATCTAGGTCCTTCTTCCATGGCTAGTCTGACTTCAAGGTATGCAAGTGGGGTTGGGTAGTAAAGACGAAGTCTGTCCCACAAAGCTTCAGCACCCAAAGGCTAAATGCCCAAGCTAATACCAGCATGAACACCCTTTTTTTTTTTTTTAAATACAAAAAAACCACTCATGCAGCCACCTCCAGGCCTATTTGTGCCTAAATAGGTGAGCACTTCTCCCTTCTGTTACCTATCAGTTTAACTCATCCTTCTCCTGTTATTTCAACTTACTATTGAATTGGAAGTTCACAGTAGGGCAGTTCCAGCCACCTTTCAATAGAGAGAAAAGTATACAGGCTTCCAGGTGTCAGTATATATACCTGCCTCTTTGCTGTTGGTTGCCCAAGATTTTTCCTCAGTTCATCTTCTCCTTGACATTGAGAAGCGAAACAATCCAATTAAGGGTTGCCACTTTTGGGCTTGATCAGAGATCTGTTAGCTTGGCCAAGAGATCCAAGGTTAAAGCTCAAAAGTGAGGGTCAATAACATAGGTACATGAGTTCAAACTATCAAATAAGTAAAACTGAGTATGGTTCCTGTATGATTCACCATGAGGTGAATCCTGGCCCCACAAACACGGCATCAGTCTTCCAGACAAACATTTTTTAACTTCAAATAGGATTTCATTGTCCTGAAAGCACAAACTGGAATGTGCTCCAAACTTAAACACAACAGGCTAACAGAATGGATGTATCCTCCCATTAAAAGAAGGTGTATTAGGAATCACAGTTTTCCTGGAAGGAAATATCTGCAGTCCAGTGGTTAGCACTAACGCAGTACTATTCCAAATCCACACACATGCAAAGGCACACACACAGACTTTGTCATCCTCCTTTCACACATAATAATCCCACCCCCCACCAGTGCAACATGCACACATCAATCAAAAGAAATGGGAGAAGTGCTGACAAGAATGGTTTGGCTACTGGCAAAATAAAGAGCTTTGTGGAGACTGACTTCTTAAAGTGGAAAGAAGAGAACAACATATGACAGTAAACTGTTAAAACTTATTTCTACTAAATGTTAATATTCCATAAATCTGCACTTAAAACAAAGGTCCAGTTGTATTTTTTAATTCCAGCTCTAGCAACCACAATAGGAAAAAGGCTTTTTTTCCAGAGACTACATATACAGAATCCTGATGGTAAGCTGCCATTTGAAACAAACAAAAGCCAATTTATTCCTAGGGAGATAAGGCTTAGATTGAAAAGGTAGCATACTTAAGTCATAATAGGAAAATCAGCTCAAACCAGGAGATTTTCACCTTGTCTCCAGCAATTCACTCTCTTGGCCAGATTTATCTGTATTGCAAAGACACAATCAAAGACACAAAGGTAATCACTGCTGTCATTCAGTGCTGTGAAACAGGCTGTAAAAGCTTTGCCAAGAGACCGTGTTCACAAACATTTTTGTGAATTAATCAACATAAATATTTGGTTAGAATAACCTCTACATTTGTGTGGATTACTTCTCCTCCTGTAGATGCTTAAAACCAGAAATATCTGATAGAAATGGAGATTAAGGTAGAACAAAAGCAGCTCCTCTGCATAGTCTTTAAATTAAAGCCAAATATTCAAGGCTAGATTTTTAAAAAAATCCCCTGGTCAGCCAAACATCCAAGCCCTAATTTCCAGTACTGCAAATGAAGACTGAGATCTGTGGTACACACCCATATTCAGGACTTAAAAATGCTGAGTATGCATCAATCCCACCAAGGAGTGACCCTGCTACACCCAGAGGTGGGTTCCTAACCACCACATCTGTCAGGGAAGAAGTCTGCAGGAACAGCAAGTGAGCTTTTGTCTGCCTGGGATCTAAAACTCATAATTTCTCATAGAGACAGAAGCCTACAATTACTCTTCCAAAATGCTGCTGGATCTTAGTTTTAAACTAAAACTTGATTTGCAAGGGAAATGGTGGATACAGGAACTTCTCTAGCACATGATAAATCAAGCAGTGTACCGTCCAGGTGCACGCAGAAAGAAGATACAGATGCAGCTGGTATTGTCCAGTGTTTAAGATCACCATGAAACAGCAGTGATTTCCTACACTAAATTTGTTACTTGTCCTACTTAAATCCCCAGCTACCAAAAACGAAGTCTCCAGCTCAGACACTACGTTTGGAGTGACTTGGATTCCCCAAGAGAACTGTAACATTGAGAGTGACATTTTGCTTCACTACCTGTATTTGTATATATTCATCAAAACCAAATAAAAATATGTATCTGAAACAATGACTGAATTCCTATTTTTTTCATTCCAAGAGTATTGTAAGAATAACATCTTATTAGCCCTTCACAGGAACTTTATACTTGGAAAAAATATAAAATCTGGGAAAAAGAGTTTGTGTGGACTCAGGAAAAAAAAAAAAGACAAAAATATGTAGACTATTACTTTTACCCTTCTTCTGGACTTGGTGACAGTAACAAAGGTTAATGCTTTTCCCATATGACAACCTTTACTATCACCTGTCCTCAGTGGTTTCTGTCACAAACAGTAATTCCAGTAAAAATCCAATGCCTTAATCATTAGGTTTGTATTGACACATACATATATATAAGTTGTCTGCAATACTGGCCTTTCGACTCCCAACAGACATATTTATATTTAACACTTAGTAATGAAGAAAATTTTTCAAGCCAAAACAAACTGCATATGTTTTTGACAGTTTCAGATAAATATTCTCCCAAAACAGAGAATAACTCATTTCCTACTAGCTAACTACCGAAGATGATGCTTTTTGTAAGATCCCCAATAATGTAAAACCCTGAAGCGTTGGACACAGTGTAGGCTTTGGCACCCCTGTGATGAGAAGGTACTTGAAAGTTACAGCCCACAAGAATCTTTAATGCGCCTCAGCCTAAGTGACTATGTGAGATGCTCAACAGGAAAGTCCTTTAACTCATGTTCAGTAGTGGAAACCTGGTAAGGCATCCTGAAAATGTACCCTGTGGTGTCAGTCCTCTGAGTCCTGATATCATGCACTCTTCTGTGAGGAGCATAAACAAAAAGCTATGAAATCACACCAAAGTGACACTCTGTTGTTCACCACTGCTGAAAGTCTCAAAAAGGTACCCCATATCCCACAGAAATATTCAAGGAACATTCACTCCCTTTTAGCTATAACCTCTACCTTTGTCAGTCAGAGTGTAGTCTTAATTAAAAGAAATTCACTTAGCACGGTGTAGTCTTAATAAACTGCCAAACACTGACATAACAGAAAACATTAGGAAGTGCCAACAAATTCAAAGCCTCCCATCTGAGACAAAAACCTTTCACTTGTCTCTCTAAGGATTAACTGGACATCTAACTGCCAGCACTTAAAAAATCCAATGTAGTACTCACAGCTAAGAAAACAGATATGTTTTAGGTATTTTTTATATGATTCAAACAGTCCCTTGAAGTAATTTTAAAAAATTACATACTTAAACTACCTATGTGAAGATCAAAAAAAAGGGGACTGACCAGAAATTTGTTTGATGTTAAAACCTGCAACTTAACAAAAAATCTTGAGTTAAAAATTAATAATTTAATTTGGAAAATTCTGTTACCTTCAACTCAGATGTATATAGCTTTTACAATTCGTAGTTTACCAGAAATCACTCTAATTTCTCCTGAAATAAGAGAAGGAGTATTTTTTTCTACTAATTTCAAACAACCATCTTCACTGGGAGTAAAAAGGACAATGAAAACATACCAAAAGATCGGAAACCCTATCTACTTCGGCATCATCTTCCATTAGGTAAATTCTTCTCAAGTGCCTGAAATGGAGCTGTTTAACCTGTCATTGTTACCATTTCCATGAGTATTGGTGGCACATCTTCACTAGCCCATTCATTACCCTGCAACACTGAACTAAACTGTATTATAATCAAGATCTAGACATGTGGTGAGGAAGATGCATGATCTCCAATTCAGAAAAGAAATATCTACACTGCAGGTGTTGAATATGTTACGAATTATGCTGGGCACTGTTTTAAAGAAACAAAAAATTTAATCTATTCTTTCTAGTTTCAAGGGTGCCTGAGACAGAAATGCTCTCTACACATGAATATTTTAGATGCTTCAAAGAACTTGTTTTTAAAAAGCAAGAGAAGGTGTGTGTAGTAGTCTAATACCAGCCCCTTTCCAATGTCACTCTCATTTTGAGTTAAAGTTCTTTGCAAAACACTATTAAAAAAGTTCCTCCACAGTACTTACAAGTCTCTGTCATTAAAAATAAACATCTTCTTGACACTTAACAACAAAGACATTTTTCTTTCATCTAAGCCTTCAGAATATACAGCTTCTTTTATTGATAAAATGAAAGGAAGGGTATCATCAATAGTTGCTAAATTCTACCCACTCTCCTAGCTGAGATTCACCAATACCATTGCTTCCAAAAAGCTAACCCAGAAATAAAACACAACAGAAGAATGAACAGAAAAACAGCCATGCCAGTGATACCTGCTCACTGTCAAGAGTGAGTAGGTATCTACAATCTAAGATTAAAAACCTTTTCATTTACACCACTCTAATTATTCCTCAACATTGAATAGCTGAGAGGTAAGCAAAGTCAAAAGAATGAGATGGATATCTGAACAGAAAATGGTGTGTGAAGCTTTTGGGAGACCCTGTTCTCTGAGTTCCAAGCTCCATGGCTCGCTGTTGATCCCTCATGGCAAGTCCCATGCCTGAAGAAATGCTTTTCAAACAGACCGAACAATGATTAATGTTCTCTGGTACAAAAAAAGCAAGACAGCTTCATAGTTTCATGCACTTGCAAAGAGTTTGTAAGTGAAGATAAAATCTTAAAAAAAAACCCAACAATAAAACCAATTTAAGGTTCATATAAGAGTAATGCCTTTTTTTAACTACAAATTATTTTGAATTCATCTTTCGCAACAGAGTGAACAATGCAAGCATGCCATTGTAAAGTAATCAGGAACACACCTGCAACTTTACTTTATCACGACAGTTTGGAATTTATTTATTTAAACCCCACATTGTGACACAAAAGCAGTAACAAAATAGCTGTAAACTACTTCTGTTACAAATATAGATACTATTTAAAGTGACTTTACATATTCTAATGTAGGCAATTCTCACACTATGCAAGAAATAAGTATAAAAGAGCAATTCAATAACAGCAGCATCCAGTAATGGTACCATCTGGTTTCTTCCATCTTAGCCTACCACAGTGTAACTTCTAGAGCAGTTAAAAAGACAAAGGGGTGGATTTTTTGTTAATTCACTTACAGGTAGCTATCAGTTTGTTAATACTATTTGACAGACACTTCTAATACTGTTTTTGTGATCCCACTTAAACAAATGCTATGTCTTTTGTATTCTCCCATAATGATGGCCTGAGCATTGCCTGCATTTTCAGTTTGGATTTCTCTTAAATGACAACTGATATGGTGGCCCTTCTTGCTATGTTTTTTTGGCTAATTAACACAAGGGATCTTTCTGCTAATTAGCATACTAGTTAGCTAGGTATCTTTCTCCCTCAAAAGACTTAGTGAAATTTTTCTGCAGGAAGAGAAATCATGGGCAAAGAGTGCTTTACCTCTGAGATTCCTAGGAGCAAGGCAGGTAAAGGCAGGCAGGTTACAATCAGCTAAGAGCTTCATTGAGTGCTATTTTTACACAAAGTTTTAGTGAAGAAAAAGTGATACATTTACTGACCACACTGCTGAACAAAGAACAGCCCCATGGTTGCATTGTACTTACTAGACACATATTGCATTTGTGCCTTTAAAATCAATATCCCCAAAAAAATAGTTGTGGCCCTCAAATCTCTTCTGCTTATTACTGATGCAGACCTTCACTGATGTCTTACTACTCACCTCCACTGGGAGGAATTTTCAGGCCTTTACCCATCCTCAAGCCATTACTCCTTGTTTTATGTCTTCTCAGTTCAAGGAGGACTCTCCCTTTGCTGCTATTGGTAATGGCAGCAACACTGTAACATCAGCTTCTTCCACACTGGCCTAGAAAATATCCAGACATCTGTCAGCAGCTAAGTAAACTGCTCTGAGCAGACTATTCACAGCTCTGACTCATGCAGCTTGAAGAAATGTCTGCACTGAGCCTGCAGTTAGTCTTTCATGTTGGAAGAGAACAACCTTTGCTAACATTTCATATTGGGAAGGTCGTTTTCACATCCATATAGACTAGAAAATACTATTATTATAAAAGTCTAGTTCTTCTAATACTGCAGTTGCTGGGCATTCTCATTCACCAGGAACAGTTTCCACTAGCACTGAATTTTTTGGCCCTGAGCACAAGTCCTCTTCTTTTGAAACAAACACACAAGACTCTGCCTCAACTCCCTGCCAAAAAACCATGTAAAAAACCCCCAAACCCAAACTAACAAACAAGAAACAAACAAAGCAATAAAACAAATAAACACACAAACATAAAAACAAAACCCTCAAACCTAAGCCAAAATGAAACACAGTTTTCTCTTTTTTTGGGGATACAACATGACTTAGGAAATTTAAACACATAAACAGACAAGCAAACTAACCCATCCAAGTATCCACCCAGCCCCTTCTACTTCGTCATAAAATGATTTGGGTTGGAAAGGACCTTAAAGATCATCTAGTTACAAATAGCCATCTAAGTCCATTAATCATCAGCCTCCAGTTTACATACTTTTCCTTCTATCCCCCAAGTCTCTATTTTACTACTACTTCCTTTTTTCAGTAACCTTATTCCTGTTTTCTGACTACTGCTACCCATGCAACCCCCTTGCTGACTTGGGGAATTTGTAACTTTTCCAGCGTTATTCAAATATGCAAAGTCTCTTAGCAAAATATTTCAGTTTTGTTGTGTGGTTATTAATGCAAACATTCTTTTTTTTTTTCCCCTGCCTATGTACTAATACAAAAATATCCATCTCTTTCCATAGCTGACATAACTTCATCCCAGTGACTTGACAGTAAGAGAAATACTTCTATTGTATACAGAAATATGGTTAAATGTTGGTTTTTGTCAGTGTTGTAACCCAGTCCTGTGAATCTGGAAAAGCAAGAAGACTACACAAACACTTCCATTCTCTTTACTATGTGGAAAGTAAATAACACAGTCTTATTGACCCTAACCCTTCAGGCAGCCAGTTCACGACAATACAGTCAAAGTGACTGTTCCTTTTGTCCTTTTCAGAATAGCAACTGCTTCCTCATGAGTCACCCCTTCTAAACTCTGCCCATTCACAGCAATGATCTGATCCCCTCTCTTCAGGCGTCCATCTTCTGCTGCTGCACCCTGAAACGATACAACACATAACTGCAGACTCATGCATTTCTTTTTCTTTCTGACACACAGTCCTTATGGTTTAAGGTTGGTACAGTGTACAAAATCCCTTGAAACATTTTTGATTTTCAAATATTCCAATACAGTCAATTGCAGCACAATTGTACCATAATACAGTAGTACGTCCTGCCCTAAATTTCACAACATCTACAGATTGGAGCTACAGGACTGTTTTGTTCCCTTAACCCTGTTAGTTCAGTTAGTCAAACATTTAAACCCTGCTATCATAGAAGCAGTATTTTCAAGACCTGAAGAAGTTTTCAGCAACTTGCTTAAGAAATTCAGTCACTAACACCCAGCTCTACACTTTGATTTACCTTAAAAATTTGGGATTCTTGATTCCAGTTTTCTCTGACTCAGGGCTGTTTCCTAGGGTAGTCCAAATTATCAAACCCGGGTCAGTATTTGAACTACTCCAAAGGTCCAGTCTAAGTTCAATAATACCATTCCCTCTACTACCTGAAGAAAACACACTCTAAATATAAGGCAAGGGAGATGTTTTCCTAAGTATGTCCACAATTCCAGTTTTGAGACGTGGAAAAGACTGCCCTGTGCTGCATCACACGTATTTGTAAATTCTGAATCCTTTGAAAACTACAACTTTCAAATACTGGATGCACATTTTGACCAGCACTTGCTCTAAAAATGAAAAGCTGTAACAATCTTTTGGCTGCCAACTAAGGCCATGATTTGGACTGAGTGAACTAATAAATGGCTTGAGTGAGCAAATCTACACCTACCTTTGCAAACACCGTCTTCACATAAATGGGTAAGTCTCCATGGGGACTGCCGTAGCCGCCCACAATACTAAAGCCAAGGCCATCCGGTCCTCTGTCCAGAGTAATAGTCTTGTATTGAGGAGGTCTAAGGAAAGGGAAAAGAGTATTGTGATTTTGTACGAACTTTGGATTTAACATGTATAATATTTCTGTTAAGCTAATCAATACATTTCCCTTTCTACTCTTACTACAAATACTTTAATTATAATAAACTGGTTATTTAAGTTTGTGTAAAACACTGTAACTACTAATGCCTATATTATTACGTAAAAGTAGCTACTTCAAACACACAGCTCAGGACATAGCTATGGCTGCTGTGTGCTGACTAATGAAGTAGAGATGAAATGCCAGTACCTCAAGTTTCTAAAACATCTACTTCAAAACCCCTGTAATACCTAAAATTAGTCCCATGAGTTTACGCTATAATGTTTGATTGTTTCTCTCTTTCTCTAATAGATAAACGTGTATTTGCATGTACATGTTTATACATATCATTTGTAGGTACATTTCCCCACATATACTTTGATTGTAAGAAATTTTGAAATTCTACCTTTCAAAGTAGATACATGTGGCTACAGAACCCTGTTCTCTCTTTGCCTGCTCCTAAAACAAAAGTGCCTCAGAGACTGAGGCAAAATTGTTTACATAATGTACCTTGCAAGTGTACTAGAAGTAATATACCTTGTATATCAAAAAACTCTGATACTCCTGATATCCAAGCACTAGAAAGCACACTATGGAAACACAAGTACTACAGAGGAAAGAGACTTTTTTGGGTCTTTTAATTATCAATTAATCCCAGCTACCAAATCTCAGCGAAACGATGGAGAATGCAGAAGAAATCAAATCCCACTGTAACTCTACAGAAGTTAAAAAAAAAGAAAATTGCAGCACAGCAAATCATATAACGAAAAATGCAGAAGAGGACCTCTGGCCTACAGGTGCCACATATGCCAATGTGTTAATCATGATTGTGCCAAACAATTCATCCATTATTTGCTAGAATTTGTATGATTTTTAGGTTGAGTTCCATCTAAAATAACAGGCTACAGAGGTTGTATATTCTATAGTTACTGACCCTAAATCATCCTGAAAAATGCCAGTTGAAGTTAGTCCCGCAAATGAGAGACTGGATGTCGGTGGATCCTGCTGCTGACCAGTTATGACACTCACTTCTCCTCCAGCTACGACCTAGGAACAGAGTTCATAAACCAGTAAAATAAGAATGCTGACACTAAAATAATTCATTGTAGCAGCTGGCAAAACAGTATTCAGAAAATATTCAAAATGTCACTGAAGATTTTTTACCTGCAACTCAACAGTGCCTGAAGCATTTTTTAAGATATTAACAGCTTGGGAATGAGTCATGCCCTCAGTAGATGTTCCACAGATGCTAACAATCCTGTCCCCAACCTACAGAAGAAAAGGTAGAAAATCTAACTTATTTACATAGATTTGTCACTTTTTTCAACAACAACAACAGATATGTCTATTTGCATTTAGCCAGATTTTATCAGTAATGTATGTCAGAAAAAAAGAAATTAGCAACTGTACGTTCACAGTCCTCTTGCCAGCAAAAAACCCTTTTAACTACTTAATAACCCAATACAAAGGTGGGAAATTCAACATCAGAATGAGTAATTTTCAACAGTTTAGCATATTCAGTGTAAAAAAATAATGATGGTTTACAGAATTGATCCTAATATTCTAGAAATGCACAACATGTAAAAAAGAGAGTTGCATTTTGCATGTCACCTGAAGATAGACTGAAGTAGCAAATTATCATCAGACATTCCATGTTTTAATTCAGCTTGAAATAACATCGTCCATTTTCCAGGAAACCTTAGTCAAATTCAACCCTGTCTGATACACACTGGATATAGTACGCATTCAAATACAGTATCAGATAGGACCTCCCACTTCAACTCAGAACCCAAAAAGCACTATCTCTGTAACATGACAGGTAAAACATACTGCATACCCGCAAGTGCAGGAACAACCACAACACTCAGCAATGGCACTCACTTACAGAATGCATCCTTCTGAACCACTCTCTATGCTTTTAATTTTCACAAGCTGACTACTTCTAAGATCCAAGATTGCTTTAGGACTTCCTTTCTTAAGTTAGTACATTTCAGCAATTACATTTTCCCATGCTACCAATTCAAGTTGCTGTTTCATCAATTCAAACAGCAAGAACTCTTGACACAGCCAGAAGCACAGACTATATAACCCAACTGCTAATTTATTGCCTAAGTACTGTGCATTACTGTGCATTACCCATGCAGTCTTTCCAGCCTTCTTAAAAATTAACTTACTCTAAGCTTCTGAGTCTGAGCGGCAACTCCATTTGGGTGCATCATGGCGATAAATATAGGAACATCTCCAAGAGGACTTCCTACACCTCCAGCAATGCTCACTCCTAGTGAATCTGCAGGGCTCTGTTATAGTAATGAAAAAAAGATAAGGTTTTCTGGAAAGAAAAGCAAATACAGAGAACTTTATGCTTGCCTCAAAAATCACTAAGCACCCTGTCTCATGAAAATCAGAATTCCTGTGTCTCAAGCCATTTTTTAAGCTAATATGCTTTGCATCACTTCAAGAAATCATGGAGATCACAAGAGATGCTTCTATTTCTCAGTGGTAAGTGAAAATTTGCCAATTTAGTTGCACATTTTATTAACTAAATACAGAATTCAGTATCAGTCCCTTAACTTCAGCACAGGAAGTCTGAGCAAGGAAAACCGAAGAGATGGGATTGCGGTCCTTAGTATTGACTGCATCAATTTCCTATTATGACCCTCTTAAAGAATAGAATTAAGCTTTATGCTCCCCCTAGTGCCCCAGTGTTGAAGAGCAAAACCAGCTGTTTAGTACTGCACCACACCTGAATACCTCACTGCAAAAACTGATATTGTAAAACTGGTATTTACAGATTCTACTATAAAGAGAATGGCTAAAAACAATTCATGTAATCAAGAGCATTCAATGCCAGGCAAAATCAAATAAATATAAATATTTTGGACAATAAGAAGCCATCTGTGACTAAGCTCACATGCATAATGAAGGTGACTGAATTTCACAGTTGAAAACCTCACAGCTGTATGTTTTATTAAAAATATGTGTGCAGAAAAATATTAAATACAAAAAAGCAGCCTTTCAACTTCCTTCCCCTGACTTCACCAAAACAGAGTCTGGAATTAACTCCGTCTGGTTATAAAATTAGGTCCCATTATCTCTTACTAAACCTTCCTTCTTCTGCTTTCAACACGGTTCACAAAAAGTGACCGCATAAGTCACACTGATTTTACATAAAAATATAGGCAGCGGAAGCATACAATTCTGACCTGAAAAAATAGACAAATTAATTTCTATTGCCATTATCAATTCCTCTCTCAAAACAATGAAGAGGCCTAGACTTTCTTTCTGTAAAGAAACCTATTGAAAACATTTACAAAACCTGTTCCTAATATGTACCACTTCATGCTATAACTTACCTTTTTTATTTCAACTGTTCTTAGTCCCTGTATTTCAGAAGCTGCTGTCAAATGAATTAAAATAAATTTTAAAAAAAGTTAAAACTAGCATTCCTAGAAAACTTTCCCAATTAAGTTATACAAACCATTATGATGATTCTAACTTTCTGCTGGTTTGTTATATATATTTTAAGCTAATTTGAAAGTGGTTGTCATTACATCAATTGGATTGAAATACTCCTTGAATAGGTAAAAGAATCAATCATTTTCTCTATTTAAATAATATTTGGAATAAAACTGCTCAGCATGCTCAAATAGAATAGAAAAAAACCTAATATTTGCTAGCAATATTTTGGTCAGAAGTAAGTTTGTTCTACATTTTAGCAGGAGACAGCTATTCCACATGTATTTTCATATCACTACATACATATAACTATAGAGTATCTAGATTTTTATGAATGAGCTCGACTGAAGATGTATTTAGATTAAACAGGAAATATCTCAACTTAGATTCTCAGTATTTGAATCACTGATACAAGAAGTTGCTATTTTCTTTTATATAAAGGTATTACAATATATGTGTGTGATGTACTGAGTAGTAACCACTCCTACCATTTCATTTACTAAGGAATCACTTTAAGGCCTACATCACATTATTACAATATTTTTGAGAAAGTAAAAGATCTCAGCTACCAGCTCATATGTATAAAATACTGAAAACACTAAACCCCCCCAGACTTACTGGTATTCTTCTTTAGACCACTTTCAAAGACCTCAGGTGCACTGGACCCAGAAACAGGGAAACTGAAGGATGAGAGACTGCCACTTCCTTCACTGACCTAAACACAGTGTGAGACTGGGATTAGAAAGCAGCTTCAGTCACCCAGTTAATAAGTGTAAAATTGTAACTCACTGTATTCAGTATATTTTCTGCTGTATTGAATTTTTCCTGTGCCCAGTTAAAGCTGACACAGAGAACCTCCACATACTTCTTGGTCACTTTAGAGGGCTCTTTGAAACACCCTTAGACCAATTTAGAGATTTCACGCCTATAACCCCATGCAAAGCTTTGAAGTGCTGCTTCTGAGGGCATGGCTAGGCCACTATATTTGCACAGAGATCTTCTAATGCAAGTTAGCCATGATCACAATAGGGACAGAACACAGAAGGTAGATCTTTATACATTGTCACGTGTACTTGGGAATGTTCACCTACTGCATTGGGAATGTTCACCTACTGCATCAGATTCACCCGCACAATTTCCAGAAAGATTTTCACTACACCAGCAGGGTAAGTAAAGGAACAACATGGTTTCTGGTCAGACTAGTTCACTGACTGTTACATAGTCTTCAAAATATTCAATATTGTGAGCTTCATGTTAGAATAAGACTAGCCAGAGTTTGCACGTTTTCATCTTTTCTGACAATACCCATTTTGAAGAGAGCCTAACATTTCAGTCTTATCCTGTCTTACCCTGCTTACTTGAAACTGTTTAATTATGATTTGTCTTAAAACTATTTATCTTCAGTACCTGAGACCTGCATACTCAGTTTACAACCAGAGAAATTCTAAGGCAACTTGTGAGCTCTCGGAAATGTAGTTCCTACTGGAGAGAACGACAATATGAGCTGCTACCACATGCAAAACGCTTTCAAATGCAAAAACTGATACAAGTTTGTAACACTATAACATTAGCCAACAACTAAATAAAAAAGAGAAGTCTGATGGAAAGGGTGCAGGTTTTCTGCCTCCGGTGACCAAGGTAATAGTAAAAACATGCAAAGAATGGAAAAGTTCACTAGTATACTGAAATAATACTCCCCTGCATGCCAAGTACTCTGAAAGTAACAAAGGGGTTGACCAACTTGTGGTATTGGTGAGAATCAGAGTTCTGCATGCTTTCCAGGCTGAAGCCTGGAGCAAAGCCACTTCTGGCTTACATTTTTAGCTGGATCCTGTCTATAACAGACAATATGCTAAAGTGAAAATACAAAAATATGTTCCGAAAAGCCGTAAAATTTCTTAGTCTTGGATCAGGTATGTGGAAAACCACTGTCATCATCTTTTTATTTGCTTTCATTATACAACTATTTTCTTCCAAACTAACCAGTTTTACAGTTATATACCTGGCTGCTCTGGGATGTTCTCCTCTCAGAGTGGAAGGGTCCAGCTTTTATTCTTCCGACCTCTAGTCTTACTGTACCTAAGGAACACTAAAGAACCAGTCACTTATAACACAGTTCTTCCTTCTACAAAATTAAAGCCTTCAACAATATTTAAGTCACTTTGTAGACAGTGGAATATAGAAAAAAGATATATACAGAGGGGAGAGTGACGGACTAGCAACCCTGAAATAAGCCCTTCAGAGAGTTCATGACAGGACCAGAGACACACAGACCAAGTACACCATGATATTCAATACTGACCAGGGTAGTTTTTGAATTAACCTGCATTACAATGAAGACATGAAAATCACACAAGAAAACTAACTCTGATACCCTGCAGAGTACCTTAATAAGGAGTAGTTCTGTCTTCTTGCAATGTCAACATCTATTTTCAAGTTGACATTTTTCAAGGAATAATGAAATTGACTATTTTCACAATAAACACTAAAACCAGTGTAATACCTTAAAGTCTTAATCATTATTTCTCTTTATATGACTGAGAACATGGTATTTAAACGGGAAGTTACTCATCTTTCTCACACTTTTGAAACAATCTGTTACTCTGGATAGGCATCAACACAACTCAAGAAATTTTGGGCAGGAAATTTTCTAAACATCTATCTGTAGTTTAAGTGAACTTTCTGCATCTGACTCCCAGCAAGAAGTTGGGTGATATGGAAGGACTGCACATGGTAAAGTCTTTTCACTACTCTTCAAGCTTTTAATTATATCTTTAAGTATCCACATCTCTATATGAAATGCATGTTTTAGAAGAAAATTCAATCAAATATTTAGACACCAAGAGATTACTTTGAAGAGACAGACAAGTTATTATCACAAACAAGATTTAGAAAATTGTATCTCCAAGATAATAAAAGTAGTGTCAAAAGAAGACATCTGTCTGCAATGTATTCAAATACAGAAATGTCAATGTTTTGTTGCTATTTTGCTTTTTCTTTTTTCTTTCACCAGGAAGTTGTTACTGTGAACTTCTGTATTCCAAGAATTTAATATTACATAAGTTTGCCTTTATTTATCATGTTTTATCTTTAATATCCTAAGAGAGGTTCATGTATTTGTCAGAAAAATTCACATTAATATACCAATATATCAAAGCCGACTGGACATATCCATTCAAAAAGGGTTTCCATCCCTCATTTCCTGTTGTTATACTCTTAGGGTTGCCACTAAAACAGATTTATTACTAAATTGCTTTTTAAGTTATTAATTTTTAATGTTGAATTCTCTATGTCCTGGAAAAGACTTAATCAAAGCTCGGTTAAAACCATTCTTTGCTGCTCCTATTAAACCATATGGACAACTCTTATTCAAAATGGAAAAATGGTGAAGTAATCTATGTACCTAAAATTACCACATCCTCACATAAAATGCAAACCCACAAATTAGATTTTAAAATTACAATTTGTGAAAGTGGGAAGTCATACTTTCCAATTGAACTTGTGAATAAATCAATTTTCATTTAGTTTTATTACACCTTCCTTTATTACTCTCTTCCTGAAATCTCATGTTCAATAAATCCGTAAGTCTAGGGAGAGAAAAAACTGATAGTCTTTTCATGTATTGTAGGGATCCTTCAAAAGAAACACTTGAAGAACAGGCAGAATTTTCAGACTAATGATACATTCTATTGATCCCATGTGACTAAAAATACACTGGAATTTTCCCGAAGATTATAAATAATTTTCTATATTTTAGGCAGTTCAAGACAATTCACTCCTAGATCTTACTCTCATAAATGAAAACAGAATGGATACCTGAACTGGAAATGGTGACTGCCTACACGAGTGATAGTGTTTTATTCCACTTATACTGTGTGAAAAAAGCTATTGTTAATAATAATCTGTCTAAGGTATTTTAAAAGTTTCATTTCTCAGGGCTAGGAAAATTAATTACAAGTACTACTGACCAGGATGAAGTATTTAAACATGAATGTATGAATGGTAAGTGGGAACTAAGCATTCAATTAGATACTCCAAAATGCCTGTCAAAATGAAAGAAATTTTCCACAAGAAATGGCATTTTTATTTAGAGAAGAGGTAAAAGCAACGCATATAAAGAAGAAACTCTATGTTCTTAAATAAACTAAAAAAGGTATCAGGTAAGAATGGAAAAGTACTATTACCACAGAATATTACACTAACAATTTCACTGTCACAACACAGACTCATTCTGGCATTCTTACTATTGGGCACGTGCCGAAAACACAGAAGTGCCCCTACATCCCACTTTATAACCAGGACCTCTCCACTCAAATAAAACAAAAAACCTGTTCAAGATCTGCACAAATATACCTTTGAATGTGAGTGTTAAGAAGCATGATTGTGTGCCTGTGTATCCAAGAGACAGCTACAATTAGTGTCTGTTAAAATTTATCCAGTGGAACAGTTTTCCACTGGAAAATGCTGACTCAGTGAAATCCCTACCATGCAGCATAAATGTCTCAAAACTCTGGACTGAAACAACAGATGAGCTGGCTGACCAGCTGGACTTCCTCCCAGATCACAGAAAATGTTCTATGTCTGATTTCATTCTAATTTGGAAATAAGGGAAGGATATCAGAAGCACAAAATCTATTGAAAATAGAGATTCTGATTCCAAGAGCTGTAGATACAAGTTTACTTCAGTAAACTCTGAGAAAGCAATTTCTTTTACTAAATGCCTTTGTCACTGAGAAATGTGTTGTAGTATTTAATGGATGTAAGGTGGTACTGGACATACACAGTTAAAAAAAGATTAGCATTATCAGGTATTAAGAATCATAGAACTGTAGAATCATAGAATTGTTTGGGTGGGAAGGAACTGTAAAGACCATCCAGTTCCTACCCCTCCTACCTTGGGCAGGAATATCTTCCACTACACCAGGTTGCCCACAGCCCCATCCAACCTGGCCTTGAACACTTCCAGGGATGGGGCATCCACAGCTTCTCTGGGCAACCTATTCAAACGCCTGACCACCCTCACAGCAAAGAATGTCTTCCTAATATTTAATTTAAACTTACTCTCAGTTTAAAACCATTCCCCTTTGTCCTACCACTACAGGCCCTTGTAAATGAACTATGAAAGTAATCACTTTTGGCACAACTACTCTGATGAATTCTCAGTCATTTAAAGTCAGTTCTGTGTATCCTTCCAAAAATGTGAGATAGTTAACCAATTATAAATTTGCTGGAGAAAATACAGTGTTAATTTCAGATTGTTCTAGGTAAAGGCCTTCTATTGCCCTATAAACATATGGCATTCTGTACCACCACTACTCCCATTTTCATCAGGCAAAGTACAAAAATCTGAATGCTCTAGATTTCAGGAAGCTTAAATTTGAATCCACAGCTCACCTCACTGACATCACATTAACAGTCTGAACTCAGCCTGAATAAAATTGAAGCTTTCATAAAATCTGGAACTCAATTTTTCACTATTCTCTTCTCTTTTCACAATACCTTTAGCAAAGCTGCAACAGCTTCCTGGTTAGCATTTCGTACATCTTCTCCATTCACTGTCAATATCTGGTCTCCTTGCATCAATCTCCCATCCGTATCTGCTATTCCTCCTTCAACGATGTCTGACACAAACACGCCTGTATCATTTCTGCAAATACACACATGGATTTTGCATTACTGCATTTTTATGGCTTGCTATTGGGAAGACAATAAACACTGTCTCATTTTTCCGAGTAACAATGGGTTAGTTCCTTTAGGAAAGACCAATGAGCTTAGGCACAAAAATGGCATGTTTGGCCTTCAAGCCCATGGAATCTGAGCACCAGACCACAACAGACCACAGCGTGAGCATGCCCAGCAAGTTCCAGACATTGACTCTTCAGGTGCATTACTTACCTTTTCCCAACAATACTCAGCCCAAGGCCTTTGCCAGGCTTCTTCTGAAGCTCTATATTAAGCACATCATACATGTCTTCCTCCTTGTACTGGGCCTCATCTCTGTACACAGTTAGACGAACTTTTTGGGGAGTTTGTCGGAGGACATTTATGGCTTCATCATGTGTGGCATTCCTGAGGTCAATTCCGTTCACCTGCAGTGAAAGCATACAATTGGTAAATTGCGTAGCACCTTCCATCAGACAAACAGAACAGACCTTCTAACAACAAAAGCGACTGTATTGGGTTTGCGTGGCCAGGTTTTGGTAGGGGGGATGGGGCTACAGGGGTGGCTCCTGTGAGAAGCTGACAGAAACTTTGTCCATGTCTGGAGCCAGTAACAGTTGGCTCCAGGATGGACCCACCACTGGCCAAGGCTAAGCCATCACGAATGACAGTAACACCTCTGCGATAATATATTTAACAAGGAAAAAAAGTTTTGCACAGATGAAAATTTCAGACAGAGTGAGAACATGTGAACAACTCTGCAGACACCAAGGTCAGTGGAGAGGGGAGTGGGGAGGTGCTCCAGGCTGAGGTTCCCCTGCAGCCTGTGGTGCAGACCATGATGAGGCAGCTGTGCTCCTATAGCCCATGGAGAACCATCAGGGTGCAGAGATCCACCTGCAGCCTGTGGAGGAGCCCACACCAGAGCAGGTGGATGCCTGAAGGAGGTTGTGACCCCGTGGAAGATCCATGCTGGAGCAGGGGTCTAGCAGTCACCCATGGAGAGAGGAGCCCATGCTGGAGGTTTTCCTGGTGGGACCTGTGGGGGACCCACACTGGAGCAGCCTGTGCCTGAAGGACACTGCACTCACCCCATGGAAAAATGATCCACATGGCAGCAGTTCATGAAGAACCGTTGCCTGTGGGATGGACTCACGCTGGAGAAGTTCATTAAGAACTCTCCTGTTGGAGAGGCCCCACAGGGAGCAGGGGAAGGACTCCTCTCCCTGAGCAATGGCAGAAACAACAACTTACTGTAACCCCCATTCCTGTCTCCTTGTGTCACTGTAGAGGAGGAGGTAGAACTTGGAAAGAGGGAGGGGTAGAAGGAAGGTGTTTTTAAGGTTTATTTTACTTCTCATTCTCTTGCTCTGACTCTGTTTGTAACAAATGTAATTAGTATCCCCACTTTGAGTCTGTTTTGCCTATGATGGTGATCAGTAAGTGATCCCTCCTGGTCCTTATCTCAGCTCATGAATCCTTTGTTATATTTTCTCTCCCCTGTCCAGTTGCAGAGGGGAGTGAGAGAGCAGCTTTGGTGGGTACCTGGCATCCAGCCAGGGTCAATCCACTACAGCCACCAAACGAATCACCATACCTCTAGTATCTGATCCCCAGCCCACAGTCTCCCATCTTTAGATGCTGCTCCTTCTTCATATACTTCATGGATAATGATTGCTCCCTGTGGACAAAAAAAAAAAAAAAAAAAAATTAAAAAATTGCATGTTGTAAGAAAATGCCCCATTTTGAAACATGAGCAACTGAAAATTCCTACTGTATTTTATTAAATTAATCAATAATTTATCAATTTTATCAATAAAAGTCAGATGTATGATGAAAAAAATATATAAGAAAAAATATATAAGAAGTTTATGAAGTTTATGAATCAAAATATTTAGTAAGCTCATTTAAACTTTCAGTTTCCAAAGTGCTTTTTTCTTTTTTTTCCCTGGTTTCTTTTGTGTCTTTCTATAAACACTGTAGAAACAAATGACGAAAAAATCTCTTCTATCAGACACTTTAATTTCATTACTGTCATTTCATTTGAGTGACACACATATTTTTCCAACCAACCAGCAAAGTGTCTGCTCCTCCAACAATGCTCAGACCAAGACCAGTCCGCCCTTTGGAGATATCAATGGTTGTTTCACATCCAGGAATGATGGGACACGTAGCTGGGTCAGAGGCTAACATGGCTGGAGTTGAAGATCTGCTTGTGTCTAAAATAACAATTAAACATCCTGGTTACAGTAAGAGGGCTCAGTATTAGAAAAGTGACTTTAAACCAGCATTTTTCAGGGCTCATTGACAGCTGCACAGCAACAGCTGACCCCCAGAGAGTGATGCTGCCAACTCACCCTCAGACAAGTACTATCCTATAGTTTTATTTACAAGTGCCCTGTTTTTGTGCCATCAAGTACCTGGGTCGTAGTCTGGACAGACAAAGAAGATATTGTACACAACACATTCTATTTAGGATATAATTTAATTTAAATATCTATAAGATGTGTGCATTACTAGAGTTATTAACTTCTTAGAATTGTGTTGCTTAACCAATAACATTCATCCATCAGTAACATCTTGACTCTCCAATCTAAATGAGAAGAGTCAAACGCGGCTACTTATAAATGGCAAGACAGTCTCAATCATCCCCCTTCCCTAGGAAAAATGACATGACTTTTGTCCCTCATTTTAAGGAATGCCTCTCACTTAGTTCCAGACTATCATGAGGCACCAGCTGCAAAGCATTTGGCAGGGAGGAGAAGATCCCTCCATTCTCCTGCCTCTGCAACAGGCTAGTGGGAAACTATAAGGTAGGTCTCCAGGATGGTGGTAGAGTGCTTCATTTAGATGAACGTGTAATTTGAAAGTATTAGAAAATGCAACTCAGAAGACAGTTGAGTGCATATAAAAGGAGGAAATTTACAAGATGGGTCTTCATTTTAACACTACAACCTCAGTGAAGATAAGCACACAAGGAAAACATTACTTTTGACTGCTTCTGGTTCTGGTGAGCTGGAAACAGGAACAGTTGCTGGGGGCTGCATATTCCTCTTCTCTGCTGGGGCAGTGCTGGAAGGGACTGGTGCTGCAGTCAGGTTATCCATTTCTACTGAGTTGATTGTAAGCCTCACTGTACTTTTGGATGTCTTCAGAAGACTTATAAACTGAACGAAAAAAGAAAAGCTGATGAAGAGTGTAACTGGATTGTTCAGTTACAAACCAAAAAGCAGAATAACTGTTCTGTAAACTGGAGCTACCAGATACAATCCTGCAGGTTTTCTTGGCAAGGAACAAAGACAAATATTGATGTTTTTTCTGAGAAATTTTTCTCCACAAAACTTTGCCAAACTATATCAGATGAGAATGAGGCAGACTTTCAGTGTCCTCTCTGAACCAAAACTCTATTTATAGCAATTATTAGAAAAACAGAAAACTAGTATTGCCTTTTAATGCTGGATGGAGCTCAATTCTGATCTCACAGAAGTCAATATCAAAACATCTTAAAGAAATGTGCTACTGCCATTCTGGAAGGAATATCCAAAAGTATTACCTGAACTATGGGAGGGAGAGAAGGACACCAGGGTGTAATACAAAGTCTAGTTTAAATAGATACTGAAAAACCTTCAAAATCAATTGCCATCTTACAACGAAGACACCAAATCCTCCTGAAACTTTACATTTCAGTAAAACTATTTTCAGAAACTACTTACTCCATCTCTCTGTTCTTCCAAAGCTTAACTACTTGCCTACAGACTATTCACTGTCATTTACTTATTTACTGCTTCAGAGATAGCAGTGCATCAGAGAGGGAGATTGATGCTCTCCTAACTTCCCTTTAACAAACAGAAAGTAATCTACTCATGCCTAAAGAATCAGTTTTCTTGGTAGCAAGGCAAGTGCTAGAAAAACCCCTCCTTGATTCATTACAGAATCCAAATTGAGTGTACAGAGCTAGAAGTTAGAAATAAATCTTGTTATTTAGGAACAGAGATATGTTTCTCCAAAGGGCTGAAATACCAGGCTTGGAATATAATGAGGCTGTTCTACAAACAGTCCCCTTGGATAAGCACAGTTCATAACCTGATTTACCACTGACACAACTCGCCCATGTAAATTTACACATATTAAATTTACTAGTTCTAATAGTTTTAAAGTGGAGTAGCTATGCAGACTCGTCACTGAGCAATAGTTCATGGTTTTTATTGCACTACTAAGTGCCTCTTAGTCATCAAGTCTGAACCACAGAGAAAATAAAATCACATTTGTAGCACAGAGATAGATGATTCATGTAGTGCATGAATGTAAAATAACAGCTGAGCTTTAAATTTAGACTTCAGCTTATTCGGCAGTAGTTTGCTTATCCAGATAGTGCCTGCAGATCTTTGCTTCTTTAGCCAGCTTTGAAAGATAAGTCAGAGCGCAGTCATGAAAACCTTGCTGGTTTAAGACACAATCACTCCTATGTTAAGCGGTGTGATTTCTGCAACATTCCTGACACTTCACAAGCACCTTTTCCACAGGATATCCCACAACAATTTCATCATCCACTGCCAGAATCTGATCACCAACTTTGATTCGTCCATCCTGGAAAAAACACAGAATGAGAAATATGAGCTCTCGATCCTACTCCAAAAAACATTTTTCATTTCCTAATTGAATTTTAAATATTCTCACACCTTTGCTGCTGCACCATGATCTGTTAAGCTCTTAATAACTACTCCATTAATGGTGTCTTCTTCACTAATGGCAATGCCAAAGCCTCCTTGATCCTGGGGCAAACAGAAAATGCAAATGGTTAAGTACTGTGTACATCAAAATGCTAAAATACATTCACTAAAGACTAGTGAAGCCTCCTGACATAACAAAAGTTTGTTTTTTCACAATGCATCAATATTTTTGTTTTAAACTATTTCTGAAACAGATTCCACCAGCCTACAAACAGTATACTCGTTACCAAGATAAATCTGAACCACTACTAAATTCAAACCCACTTCTTCGAAACTTACAAGGTCAATTGCAATTCAGTTGTTATTTTGAATAACTGAGGCAACGCTTTTACCTGAGGAACTACCAAAAGTTTTTCAAACAGTACAAGAAGAGTCTTCTTCCAGAGACACAGAGCAAATTGGCGAATTTATGTGAAGTTAAAGCAACCCATGACTCAAGAACAGTGATTATGTGAGGAAAACTTTGGGGTGCATTCACAGATAGAGAAGAGGAGACCTCTAAAAATCACTTTTCTAACTTCTAGTATCTAAGAGACACATTTTGTTTGCCTTAAGAGGGACTCCATTATAAAAATGCAGACTAGTGAATACAAGTGAGACTGATATAAATTTAATTTTCCTCACATACCTTAGGGAGTTCCACATACTGAATGTTTTTACATGAACTCAAGTCAGAAAAAGCACTAGAGTTTGCAACACTTGCATCAGTCTAAAAGAAAATGAAAATGTAATTGTAAGCAACTATATCCAATATTTTGCATCAAAATAAAGTAGCACACAAACACTTAAAGTGAGTCTGATCATTTTCTAGATTAATTTAAACTTCTATAACCCTATCAATGGGAATGTCAGACTTACTTCACAGTACAGAAGAACATAAAATGAAACAAAAATGAGCATAGCTGTAATAAACTCAGTAGCCTTACTAAAATCTCATTTGTTTTTCTATTGGATTTCATTCTCTTTTATGGTATATTCTAAGCAGACAGAGCACTCCTCTATCCAGAACAATGTTAGTATCTTGGTCAAATAAGAAAAACAAATATTTACTTTACCTCTTGATGCTGAAGGGTCCCTGAGGTACTTTGTGAAGCCTCTTTTGCAGGGCAAACAGCCATCTGATTTACTGCATCTTTATTTCTGCAACAGATTCAGTTAAAGAATGCAGTAAGAAGGCAGTAGTATGGCACCATATTTCTAAGGACAAGTTTAAGTCTAGTGCTTTATTTTACTTTATTTCTGGTTCTAACAATACAAGTATCAAAACAGAAAACTCCAGGGCATATTTAGAAACGACTAATTGTGATCAAGAGCACACATTCCTTATCAAAATTAAAAAACAAACAAACAAACAATCACAAAAAAACTCCATGCAAAACTTGAGTACATAAAAAAATAAATGTTTTTAGCCAAACCTTTAACCAGAACTTACCTGACAAAGATGACTTTTACTTTAGATGGTGTGCATTTGATTATTGAGGAAGCATTCTGATGAGTCCTTCCATAAAGTATTTGCCCATTTATCTAAAGAAAGATAGCAATTTTTTAACAAAATATTTTAACTACTTATATTTAAACTAATTTTTAACCTTAAAAAAAAATCATTCACTCCACATCACTTGCTAAAGCAGTAACTGTATTAAAATAAGAGAGTATGTTGTGCCCTGCTTTCACTCCCTTCTTCCAGTTAAAATATTCACTGCAGTTTGATTACAAACTAACATTGTCACAGTGCTGAAAATGTCATTATCTGAATTATACTGGGTTGACCTCGCACATCATCTATTTTCACTTGCCATTGATCTTTTTATGACTGATATGGTGATAAAGCAGGGCCATGGGAAATTCTAACCATAACAAATATTGAATTGCTTATATCCAGCAATGAGATTGCTATTATTTATTGAATGTCAGGCATTCTGAATCCATGAGCAAGGTACTTTATACATAGAGGTCTGAACACTGGTACATTTAGCAGAGTTTTAACCTATATTTGGCGGCAGAATGGAATGTACTTTTGTGTGTCAGAGAGGAACCAGGAAACACTAACACTTTAAGAAGCATCAGAGAAATACTTGTAAATCATCTCAGAAATATCATTTATGCTCATATACCTATTGGAAATTTTATCTGTATATTTAGTGGTTTGGTGACTCCACATTTCTGTAACTAGAGAAGTAATTAGAGACATCTGGAGCACTCCACAGACAGATGGACTAAAGGATTTTAGCATTTTTTCATGGTCTGCAACTCACTGCACTTCTGTATGTCTCCATAAACCCAAAACTGCTGTTATCCCCCATTTTTTTCCATTTTAAATACACAAACACACTTTTTTTTAGCACTACTATAACCAGAAAAGCTACAACTAGTTGGCATATATCAGAAGGAAAATCTGGTAGCATAGTGATACATTGGATAAATTGGGGATTTCAAAGACCACTGAAGAACATCCATATTGCAGCAAGAATCCAGTATCTTAATGCATTTTAAATCAGTATGCTTGGGTTTCAGTATAAATTGAAATAACTCACCTCTAGCAACTCATCTGCAATCTGTAACCTGCCATCTTTTCCAGCTGCTCCATTTGGATCAATTCCCACTATAAAGACACTCATCCTGGATCGGTCTTTGTTACCAGCAAGACTAAGTCCCAGACCTGTTCTTCCTTTTTCCAGCTCAATCATGTGTAACTCCCCTGGTAGATTTCCATAGCGCTGCATGATCTTTTCTAAATGTAAAAGTGTGGGCAGCAGAGGTTGGATTAGAAAGTTTCACAAGTTACCTAGAGTCAAGATCAGTGTCCAGTGGGCAGTATTTGACAGAAAAATCACAAAGTGGATGAGAAAATTTTCAGTGTAAACCACATCTTCTTTTAAGTTAAGCCTTAGGTGATTTACAATAATATTTCCTGTTTTCCTTATAACTTCAGAAAACATTAAAACAAGATTTTTCACACATAAGAGCAGTAATATTCTCTCCAGTAACACCTTCAGGTAAAAGAAACTATCACATCAGTCATTGCCATCAGTTAACAGGAGTATAATGAAATTCTTCAAGTAGTACTACATGTGAAACAGTGAACTTAGACCATGGAGGAAAACAAAGATTGCAGTGCAATGATGAAGAAAAAATGTGTTTCATATTTTACGATGAGCATCTGACCAAGGACAACTAAAGCAGCAACACTCAACATCCAAACCACGAAGAACATGACGAAGAAGCAGTTCAAACTGGATGCCCCCATTCCCATATCTTATGCAGTGGTATTCTAACACTGAGGATTTCAAACATTATCACAAAGGATAAACTTACTCCAACTGTAACCAAACTCATCCTCCTTCTCCACATCTTCTGGCACTCTGGATGACTGTGCAACATCACAGCCCATTCCTGAAAATGCTGAAGGAGGAGGTAGAGGCAAATTACAAAGCGAAGTCTTTTCTGTTTCTGCATCGGACTGACCAAATGCCTGTGGAGAACAAGAAAAATGCAGTGGCTAAGAAAATGCAGACTCTGTGTAGGGCAAACTAGTATATAAAAACGTCAAAATGGTAATGACTATGGCTTTGAAGTTTAAATACCAAGCAACCGAAACTCTAATTTAATAACACGACACTGAAAGGCTGAAAGAGATCATAGACAGAAACAAACACCAGGCAAGGTAAGAGATAACATCACTCCAAAATGTATTTGGAAACAAACAAAACTCACAATAAAAGCCCAATTCAGTAAAGTTTTATGTGCCACATTATATTTCAGAAAAAGTCTCTTACAAAGACTCAAGTGATTTTTTTTTAATGCTCTAATTGCAAAAGACTTATACCTTATTTGATTTTTAATAGCCATTGCATATAATTTCTTCCTATTATATGCTTTGGAAGCCAAATACAAGGAAAGAGAAAAGGAACAAAAAATTGGGTGCTTCCAAAAATATCTCCAGGAAAAAGAAAATAACTGGCATATTAACTGAAAGGACAATTAAAAACCAAAATGAAACAGAAGATAATTGATGAAATCTAGTGACTGGGCTTTTTCAGTCTTGTTTATTAGTTTCCTATAAGCTGCACAGAGGAGATCAAACAAAGATACAGATTAAACCACAAGAGACAAATACTTTTAGTCTTGATGTGGTCTATTCATATTCACAAAAAGTTATGAAGTATAAACACACGACTACTGCAATGCCATGGTTAAACACCCAAATCCACAATCTGGCAAGCCTTCATTCAAGTAATCTCCCCTGAGGAATATGGATTCTGATTAGGGATTTCACTAAGTGTTTGTAATTTGTATGATTTTGTCTTGCTTAGAGTAAACATCTAAGCAAGAAATTTGTGTCTGAATATTGTAATTATGAAGCTTATGCATGCCCAAGAGACTTTGATACTGGAAGATCAGCTATTGATGTAAGTAACAAAAACTTTAAAAGACCAACTATTAAAGAACAAATTATTTTTCCAACAGTAGAATTTTCAGGTGTGTTGCCCTAGCTTCATAGCCCTGTTCTCATCATTTCAGCTTTCACTACTTCCGTTAGCAAAAGTCTGAATTCAGTATTTCAGATTATGTCTCTAGGTGCCAAAAACACTAAGGCAATTTCTTCATCAAAGGCAACAGTGAAGTGAATAACAACGTACACTTTCCAAATTGAAGGTGTTGAAAAACTTAGGAAGTTACCAATTTAGTCATATTGAGATTCAAGAAAGCTCACATCTCTCAGTGAAAATGAAAGCTTTAAAGAAACTGCAAAAGCCATTTCAGTTCTCTCATTCTGCTTCTGCTTAAAAACATTTTCCTTTCATTTAGGAACTTTTTCTAGGAACTTAACTAAGAAGTCATTAAAAGTTAAAAGTGTGGGAAGTTCTCATATAACACTCAAACTAATAATTTTCATTAAAAATACATATAAATGATACATGAATTTTCATATCTTTAGTCACCTTGTCTCATGCTTCCAATCTAAGACAATGTCATCCTGCTGAGATGATACCTAGCATCTCTAAACTGAAGCAGCAAAATTCTAGTAAAGACATCGTCACCCATCAGAACGAGAGTAGGTTGGAAACACTATCTAATAACATTCAAAGTGATTTTTCACAATCAGAAATTCATGTGTCCACCATAAAGAAAAGTTGTAACACACCTCCACATATCAAGGAGGGGTGAAAAGGAGATTAATTCTAGAAGAGTGCTTCCTGGAGTATAATAGAAAGCTACATAATATACTGAAAAAAATGAGGAAATACAGTGTTGTGGTGGGCTGACCAGCTGCCCACCAAAGCTGCTCTACCACACCCCTCTTCAGCTGGACATGGGAAAAAATATGATAAAAGCCATCCCATAGTCCCACAGCTACTACAAGCTTGCCATGCAAACTGATAGCAAGTGTGAGAGCAAACCAGATCAGCAAACCTTACAGTAGTCTCTGTGTTTTAAAACCAAAATTAACATATTAATTTAGGGGTACTTATTGCAAATGACAGTGTCCAAGAACAGCAAAAGAAACCATGACTAAGAAAAGGAACAAAATATTGGTCAAGACCTCTGGAAGGTATGGATGTATGGCTACATCCTGACAGAATAGCATTTAACTGCAGCCACCATAATCTGACTGACAAAAAATGCTTCTTTCTGTACCTTTGTATACATGTACCTAAATCTGAACATTTCTGAAGGAAATGCTGAAATGAAAGTAAAAGCAAGGCTCCTTTGTGGGAAGGGTAAAAAGCATGCTACAATGCCATTTGTGTGGAGGGAAACATATCCTGCCTCCAAAACTCAACCTGACACAGGTGCACAGCCAGAAGCAGGAATTGGCCCCACAGTTTACACACACATAAGACTTTTGCTCCCTGAATCGGGCAACACATAGAAGTCCTACAATACTTTAACTCATGAAATACTTTCAGTGTGCCACAACACAGTATTTCATTTAAAATGCAAAGCATCAGAGAGTGCATGAACCAATTCAGCTACCAGGGTCACTCTGATCACAGCCAAGCAAATACTGAAAACGGCGGCAAGTCCGGAGTTTGAAAAAATGAAGGCACAGGCAGAGGAAGCAGCAGTACTCTGGAAGGTATCACAGGCCATGTACAAACGTAGAGCACATATACAGTAGGACCCACTGATGGGAATCAAGACAAACCTTGAATGGTGTGGGAGCAAAAGGGTTAGTTGGGGAACAACGGAAGGTAACCCTAACTGGATTCGATACCTCCTACAGTAACAGAAAACAGCAATCCACATGTTACAGCACCTTTGGCAATACACAATACTGTTAATGAATAAATCATTTTAAATTATGGATTCATTTCACTAATTGCAGCAACTTTATTAGCTCTATTTATAAACAGACAATAGTACTTAATGGTTATTAAGGACGCTGATTCAGCAAAGTACCTTACTGTACATGAACCTTAGTTCAGCAAGAGAACAGAGGTGACAAAAGGCCATTCTTATATTACTGCTAAAAAAGAAATTATGCAGAAACTGTAAGATCTTTATGTATTCTTTTTAAATATGTGCAATATTTTTCAAAAATACTTTTGAAAATATAGAGAATACAAGTCACCATTTATATTACATATCTATTCCCTTTCCCCAGATACAAAACTGTAACAAACATGAAAAACAGTTTTTAAAAACACACATGCAATTATACACCACATGTATTATCACAGATGTTCATTGCACATATGATGTATTTGACAACATGGAAAAATAGACAGAGGGCACAATCACTTCCAAGATGTAGAACCAGCTAGAAATTATTTTATTAAATCAGAAATGCATGCAAAGAAGAATTAAGCTTTTATTTATTATTGTGTTAGAGGTTAACACTGTTCCCATTGTGAACAACATGCAGTAAGCACTAACCACAAAAAACAAAACAACAAAAAAAATCACACACAAAAAACCCAACCCAACTCAAAACAAAAACAAACAAACAAAAAACACCAACCAAACCAACAACAACAAAATCTAACATTTTAGTATTTCCAAAGATGTCAGCATCTTGTTCATGGTGCATTAAAAGAATTTTCAAGAAGTAGAGGTAAATATTTTCAGCATCATAAACTGAAAGCTGCTAACATTTGGACTTTTTCATGCAAAAATAAAAGTGAGATATTAAAGCCGTGAAGTCCTAAACACATAAAAGAAGTACACAGCAGCAAAAACCTCACACACTGATGAGAGAGTTAACACTCATGGGGATACTTTTAACATACACCACAGGGACTGATCTTGTATTTGAGAACCTATTCCTTTGGTAGTTCTGAATCTGATCAGATTTAGTGGTTATGACTAATAGAGCTGGTATTTTTCCACTTCTCTATAACTTTCCTATGTGTATGCTTGTCTGTGTCATTTTAATTCTCTATATAGAATTCCCACTCTCATCAGCATAGTATTTTACCCAAACTGGTATAAAAAAATTTAAATGCAGAGAGATACAAATGGCAAAGAAGCACACATATTATGTCTGGTGAGTAAAAAGCAGACAGTGTGTTATCCCACCTTGCTGGTGTTGAGCTGAGAAGAATCAGCAAATGGGTTAGTGCTGCTGAAGACACCTGGCCTACAGAAAATATTATTCTGCGGGAAAGACAGGTAAGAGTTCTAAAAGGAAAGCATAATAGAAACTAAGCAAAAACAATTTTAAATGAACCCTTTTTAATCATGAAGCAAAACATATCTATGTAGTTGGTTGGGCTAACCAAACAAGGTCCACTTCCTGCACTTTGCTACATACAGGTGAAAGTGGGCAAAACTGCATTTGCTCTGTGTTTCTAATCAGCTTTGTTTGGCATAACATAAAGGAAAAGCACTGATGCCCATACCTGCTCTAGTTCACAAAATACATCAAGTACAGAATTGAGCAGCACAAAGATGAGAAAATTTATGTACTATTTGTACAATTTTATCCAAGCATCTCACTGCTTACCTTGCAAAAGAGAGGTTTAGTAATATTAGACATCTCTAAGCAGCTTTCACATCTAAGAATGACTTTTACCAAACACATTGTATATGAGTGCATGCACCTATAATTGTCTAAATTTATAGTCCATTGAAACTAAATTCTCTGGTCTTCCGTTTTAGCAATGCAAGGTATTTCCTTATTATTATTTAACACAAAAAGAGTTTACACATTTAGACCAAGTTAAAGGATGTACTTTGACCATTTATGTTCCTTACTCAGTTTTTGTACTGTACTCTAGTTTCAGACCAGAACAAGCTTAATTAAGAAGGAACAGCTCTGATTTCACAGTTTGTTGGAAATATACCACGTATACATGATACAGGTGTATCCATTTGTCAAGAAAATACAAGCCTTAGGTCTGTAGGTTTAACACTGCTGGAAAACAAGAAGTATAGTAAATGAAAAAGAAATGTGAAAACCTTGCAGGATCATTTATATCAAGAGTAATTTAATGTGAGCATACACTGCTGTTTAAAAGTTTTCTTAAAGCATTTTGATTTTTTCTAAATGTTCCTGAAAATAGTAAATGCATCCCTAAATATTTATTTTTAAATACCGTATAGCAAAAAAGTAATGTAATTTGATAAAACAATAAAGGTCTTGACTTTACTGTGTCTTCAGCAGTGAGAAAGCAATGCCGTGCATGAACAAGGTTTCTACACTGTCAAGTCACTCAAAGTCAACAGGCTATATCCCTAAGGTACAGTAAGATTTTCTGTTTACACATGTCTTTTAGAGAAGTTTGAGAAAGTAATTTGTTACTGTAATGATCCTATTACACTTTAACACCTACATTTGTTATCTGCATAAATGTATCTTGATGAATTTTAGGAAACTAAGAAAAGTATCACTTTTATGTTTTTCATGATGGCATAGTTCCTAAAAAACTAGCCCAAATTTTAATCCATGCAACAACATTATGTCAATATGGACTGACTACTGGATAAAATATGGAGCATTTGAGTCTGCCTGAACAGTTCAGTTTAATATACCTTCTTGCACAGAATAAGAGAAGCAAATGTTAAAATAAAGGGCATTTTCCCTTTTGCTATTTTTTTATTCAGGTCAAAACCTAAAATAACAGGATTTTTTTTACCTTTTTTTTTTTTTCTTTTTTCAACTTCTCTGCAGAATTTTATGAATGTGTCCAAGATGCTAAGGTATCAGAAACTAGCTAGCATTTGCTATAGCACAATGCTGTAACACTGCTATGGCCCCATAATCACCGTGACATTTTATTTCTTACTCAGAAATAACCAGAGCAGTATCAGTATGAAATACAGACTCAATGGGTAGCTTCTTATTAGCAAAATTATCTTTTGCTTAATTAGCTATTAGCAAGACAGCTTTTCACAGCCCTTTGCATTACTTGGACTACTCTGGAGTACTCAGGATCTCTTTACCTACTAGATAAGCCTGAACGAAAAAAACAAAGCAGAACTGGATTCCTTAGTTACATGTTGCTTGAAAATGACTGCCTGGCTAAATAAAACCTGTGTTATATTAAATATAGCTACTCTCACAGGCAGCTAGCTATTTGGGTGACTGCACATGAATGAAAGCAGGAAATTCCCTTGAAAGATCTTATTATAAAGTACATGCAAGTTTAAAAATATGAAGATAATAAATATAATGCTATTTACGTAGATCACAATGTAATGTATGTGTACAGCAAGAGCAATTGCAATGTTTCTGCTTACAGAGAAACAAGAGTTTTTTAGTACAGTCAAAAAATAACCAACAGGCTTAATAATTTGAAAATAGAACAAAGAACTACAATTAAAAATAGCAAAGGAGCATTCTCTAAACAAAAGTAAGTTGAGATAAAGAAATGGCATCACTCCCATGCCAAACTGGTCTAAGCATTCAGCAGTGGCAATTCTGTTCGTATCACAGCAAACATAAAAGCCTTATTTTAGTAGTTTGAGTATCAATAACCAACATTCAATAGAGCTTTTTCATGCAACTTTACCTTAGATGACTGACGATAAAATGGGTTAGTAGTTTTCTGCCCACAGGGAGCAGAAGCTGAAGAAGGGCTATAAAGAGACTCTGGCTGGGGAACAAGAGTTATGAGACAACTAGTAAATAAACACGCAGCTTACACAGACTCTACAATGAGGAAGTTTAGTTTCTAGTGAGGCAAGCAACTTATATTAAAGCTCAGTAGCTTTTGTCTGCAATGTCCATGCAGCTTAGTGACAGAAAACTTCCGTGTACTTCTAGGTCCTTTCATTAATGTCCAAAGAATTTTTTAACAGGCGCTGTATTTCTGCATGCGCTCCTCAGACACGCTGTCAATCTCTAAGAGTTGGTTTTAGTTAGACTCCTACTCTGCCCCCCAACAAATTATCTTTCTTGAGGCTTTTCAAAATAGTTTGTGGACGGCGTGCTGGAGGGTAATTCCAAATCCAAATCGATTTCATTCTAAATGGAAATAATACTTAAATCAAATCTTTGTTCCTAAAGTAGCTGAGATGGCACTTTCAGGATTAAATATCCCATTCCCAAACACCACCATCTTGAACATTTGTTTCATTTATTACTATGTATTACATTTCCTTCAATATTCTTAATGCTTACCCTTGGTCTGCTTATAATGCTCTGTACCATAAAGACTACAGGATTGCCTGCCTTCCGTATGGCTTCCACAGCTTGTTCATGGCTGGCATCTCTGAGGTCAATTCCATCCACCTGTAATTGGAAGGCCTCATCTTAACATTGCAAGAAGCTACAAGAATCATAAGTCACTTTTGAGTTTTGGTCAGGAAACTTTGCCTAAAACCTAAGCCCAAATCTCTGTTTCTTGCGGAAAGCTTTCTACAGACTTAGCCTAAAGTCCCTCACACAAAGGTTTGAGATTTCCAAGAGCACTTAAAGGACATTAAATAAATATTCTCTTATTCTTCTGTTTTAAAAACAGGTTTTTCAACATTCTTGCTCGGGCTCCATTATTTTTTTTGGTAGGCAACAGAACATAAGATATACGATAATGTGAAGAGAGTGACAGTGTTTGCCAAATACTGCTTCCTGTAAATCCTATCAAAGAACTCTATCTCCCGGGACTTTACGACATTTACAAACTGAAACTTTTTAGGTGCTGTGGAGTCTTTCACAATGGGTTTTTTTGGGGTTTGTTTGTTTTTGTTCTTGAAAAGCAAGATAAGACCAATTTGAGCTACTAGGTACTTTCTCGAGAAGTTAAATTTTTAGGTCAGAGCTGAAAAGCTTTCTCTTTTCTAGAAGGCAGCACTTACAAAGGATGGCTAAGGACAAATTTTTGCCTGGTTGCTTTTCTTCGTGTCTTCATATATATTGGTGTGTGAAACAAATTTGTCAGGTAAGAACAATGTTAAGGTGAGGTTAGCATCAGTAAAGTGTTCTCACAAGGACCACAACAAAAGCTAGAAGCTAACACAGAAAGGTTATTTGTTAGTGGTAATTCTTGCACACAGTGTTATACGACTTACTACAACAACTTTTTAATCGTCAAACTTAACCATCCAGTGTATATAAGAGAGCACAAAAAGAACCTGAGAGAAATTCTAAACCTATAAGGAACTGAACAATAACAGTTAGGCTCTCCAACTCCCCATGTCTGAAATACTGTATGCAATAGCGGAGATAGAGCTTAAATATGTCACAACTTGAGAATCTGAAATAATCCATTCAGAAACACTCACATTAACATAACATTTTAATTTCACTCACCCATTCCAACTTTTGCAGTTATCACTGTTAGAGCCAACTGCATTCATAAAAATCCAATTATTCAAATAGGACGACTATTTTTAATTTTGTGGCCATCAAGCAAAATTCCAACTCCCATCTTGTTATATACCAATAACTGTTCTATCCTGTTAAAGAAAGTGCAGCCTATACCAAGGTATTGTTTCAAGATCCTTGATAGGGATTTTGTAGTAAACAGAGAACTGCACCTCAGTGCCACTGTGTAAAGCAAGTCCAGACTGATCCAGAATCACCATCTCCATCACATCCCTTGTTACATTCTTACTGATGGACAGTCAGCTAAGGACATCCAGAAGGATGGAGGGTAGTTCCTAAGTTCTCCAGCCTAATGCTGAAGACAGGGTAATGCCTGACACTGATAATCATCACAGGAAAGACCTTTCAGTATGTTCATTCTTCAGTATCTTTAATCAATAAAGCAGAAGTGGCTGCATGAGCACGGGACTGGTTAAGTAGAAGAGAAATCTAGATAAATCCCTTCATGCAATGGCACTGGCTACCTCACTCTCGGGCATGAACACAAGTGTACTTACTTTCTCAAGCATCAAACCCAAATATCTTCATGTCAGGAATTAAAAAAAAATGTGTCTCCCTTAATTACTGCACAAGATGCATAAGAATGATGTGATCTGATTACAAGGGAAACAAGCTTGGTATTTATTTGCATGATCTGCACTGGCCATTTCTGTTGCTAACCAATACACAAAAGTGAAATCTTTTGGATTCACCAAACTTAAGCTTTTCCCCACACACACTGGCTTTAAAACAGGCAGGTCAAGCTCCTGGTTTTGTAGAATCCTGCTCACGGAGTCAGTCACCTATGCTTCAGGTTAGATACTCAACAGACAGCTGACTGCACATAAACATCAGCAGATGGTACTGCAGTCTGTACGGCTCAAGTGGTGTCAGCTGGAGCAATTACACAGCTGTCAGCCCAGAACTACAAATCCATCTCAGCGGCTCCTGAGATGCTGGGGGAATTGCAGCAAAAGGCATTCAGCTGGTACCTCTACAATTCGATCTCCAGTTTTCAGAGTTCCATTTTTGCCGGCTGGGCTGTCTTCCAGGATGTGTTTAATAAAGATCCCTCTCATCACTTCTCCATTACTCAGGCGGCTCCCCATCCCTCGTCCTCCAACAATGCTGATCCCCAACGACTTGCTAGGCTCTCTCCAGAGTTCAACCCTGTTATGAAAAAACAAGGGTCAAAATAAAAGAAAATCTGTTGTGATTATGACAGTGCTGCATACTGAAGATACCTGGATTTGCACAATTATTTTATTCTGAAATAACCCCTCCTTGCAAAGTTTTGTTTTTCAGAGGAATTATCTTTTGAATTGCTCAGAAAGCCTGTAACTGAGTCTAGTGCTGGTCACTTTATTTTGGATTATGATTAAAACTTTAAACCTTGCTATTCATCTCTTCTTTCTGGATCCCTAAGAGTCAGCCTGGGATAAGTAAAGATAAATCACTAAAACACTCAAGACACTGTTAGATTTAGCCCAATGGCAGTAAAAATCAACTCCTGCAACACACAACATACATAAGAGCTGCATTTCTACTGTTTTCTTATTCCTCTTAAAATATATTATGTGTTTCAAAATTTTTAAATTTCATATGACATTTTATTCTGTGCAGCTAGATCCACACTTACTTTCTGGGCTGGTTCCAGTTACTGAAAGCTGCATTTTGAAGTTCACTTTCTTCTCCCTCCCCCTCTTCACGTTCTGGAAGCTCTGGGAGTTCCCTGATGATGAACAGGAACATGTAATTAATTTTTAAAGAACTCATATAATTATTAGATTTTTCTGAAAAATGTCATATATTGAATCACCCTGCCAGAATTAGAATTTGTACACAGGATTCAGATAAGGAATTTCTTCTTCAGATGTCTGTTGGAATACATTTGATGTTTAGGGATTCCCTGTCCACTTTTTTCTGCAATGAATTTGCTATCCACAATAACAGAATAAAAGATATGCAATTTGGAACAAGAACCAAATCAGAGTCAAAGGTAATTATTGACAGGAATAAATAATAACAACAGCACTCAAACAAAGTTACTGCCTTCAAAGATGAACTTTAAAAAAACCTAATATTATTAGTCACTTTGAAATTTTGGACTGTAACTGCAATGAATTTTTGAAACTCAAGGAAAGCGTGGCGTAATTAGTTCTTTCCAGCTATGTTCTGGAAAGACCATCAATACCAAATTCTTATGTTGAAAACACTGAGTATTTGTGGCAACATGTAAATCGAACTGCATGGTATTTAAGAGAAATTTAGGATGAGACAGAATTTAATCTCCTTTTTGGGCAGATCAAACAGTATCAAACAGATCAAACCTTGAAAAAATGTTCGAAAAATTTTCTAGTCAAAGCAACAATTGTATTCTGAGCAGCTTTTTATTGCAACAGTTGCTGGTCTGAAGAAAAGCACCCATCTTTCATCTCTTCCAAATCAAAACTTATTTTCTCAAAATGTGCAAAGCGTATGGAAAGAGTTACACTTGCGAGCTCTGTGGGAAAAAAAATATAAGCCTTTTGACTCACCTGACAATATGTGAAGGAAAAAGTTCAGGTGGTACGGCTCCCTCTGTCTCTTGTCCCAAACCAGCCCTGTACTCGTCTAAATTTTCTGCTGGCACGTATGTAATACTGCAATAAAATGGGACATGATTAAAGTAGCATGAGGACTGCCGGTCCTCCCTTTTGTGGGTGTGAGGTATAGATATGAGGAAGCCACTCAGGACTAATTCAGAAGCACAATGCAAGTAAACTGTTATATGAATCCCTTGTGACTTTGTAACAAATATGCATTTATAGTAAAATTAAGTAGGTGAACAGCACATATACTTCTGTAATTAAAATAAATGGTGCTTGAACAGTGACAAGAGTGTAACAGAGAATATCCAGCTTCAGTCAAAATAAGATTCCTCAAGCAAAGACAGACACTGAAGGATCTGTGAAGTCTGAGGCACCATTACCATGCTAAATGACTGCTGAAAATATTTCTGAAAGTTGGCTTGTAGGAGGTTTTGTGCTCTCCTGTGTGGTTTTGTATTTATTTTGTCCATGGATTTGGACATACAAATGTGTTACAACACACCACCTATGCTGCAGGGAGCAATTCCCTGTTCAAGTCCTTCCTCCAGCCCCTTCATGCACTTTCAGTCAGTCTGGGACAGTCAGATAGTCACGGTTCACCAACCAAACGACAAGCAGACTCTACTTGATGTTTGAATATCAGAAACAGAAATGGTCCAATAGACTGGGGAGGTGGAAAAAAAAGGAAGGAAAAAAAAAAGATTAGGACATCAAGAATATTTCTTAAAAAACTCCATTCTACAGGCAAAAGGATACCATGATATAAACAGAGCTACTTAAATGGCCCTCCTTTAACGATGCTTTGTCTTCTTAAAAACACGTATTTGTTCAAAAAGCAGCTTATCTATCAGATTCAAGTCTTCCAACAAGTAAGGTTAATGGAAAAAAGACTGGGAAAAAAAAAAAGAAAAAAAAAGTCTGTCTACCCATACATCACACAGTTAAAAGAAAAATGAATGTATTTCCCCCGGGAAGAGACAGGGGGAAAAAAAAAATCTAGACCACTTCACAAGGATGTGTAAGCTGCTGAGGAGAGGCTCTTTCAGCTCTGAGGCTTGAACCTGGAGTTGCCTCCTGTCTGTCATTCCCTGACTGAAGTCCTCTCTGTCTGTCACACCCTGTCACTGATTCCCCCTCTTACTGGTTTTCTGCTGGATACAGCAAGTGACAGACAGCAGTTCAAATGAAATTTTATATGATAATGCTGTCAGTTCAAAGTACTCTACCAAAATTATCCTAATGATCATCTTTATTTGTCATCTTTGTCTGTGTTTCAGCATGTTCCCTACCTCCTCTCACACCTACTATATTTAGAAAAGTGCAAAAGGGTCATTAAGGATGTGTTGAACAGAAGGAACTCCACAGCTCTTCTAATGGAAATTTCTAAAACTTCCGTATTATCACCAGCTTTTCTTCTTCTTTCAATCTCCTCCCAGTTCTACTTTGGTCCTTTCTTCAAGCACTTAAGTGTTACTGGGCTTGACACAAAGTATTTTCCTTTTGAAGTGGTGGGAAGTTAGTATACAATAGAAAACAAACACTCAGCAGCAGGTCACTGACTCTTGTCTGCCTTTCCTGAGGGCATTCTAGCACTGGGAAAGACTAAAGGCATACAGTAGTTATTCTATGAAGACCCAGCAGTGAAACATCAAGAAACAAGAGAAGAAAGAACTTTTGAAAATTATCATTACTACTTCTTAACCATCTCAAACTCCAGGTGCATTGAACTATAGCAAAGTGATAGTATTACTCTCACAAAACTCACAGGTCAAAAAAGCTGATGCAGAAGCTCCACTCAGTAAGCCTAAAAGAATACTTTGCCTTTGCAAAAGCTAGAAGATGTGCAAGTTGTACTTCAGTGCAAGAAAATGTAACATTCTTTCAGTTACATTCATCAGTCTCGTCCCAATCAAATTCACCAATATTCACCCTATAAAAATAAGTAGGAAATAATGTATTTTCCCTTGGCAGACAGCTGCAGTAAAAACCCCCACAACTGCAAACAATGTTTCCCCTGACTGGAAAGTTCAGACAATCTCCTTTATGCTAAACTGGCACACTTCTACAAAGGAAAGGGATGAGCCCAGACTCAGCCTGGATATATAAAGCAGAATGCGATCTCTGACAGTACAGTGTCCAGTATCTATCAACCTTTGTCTAATTCTTTTGTGCAAGGGGCATGTGGTAAACAACTATGAAGGGTGCCAAGGTTCAAGGGTAGTGTAGTCCTTACCTCGTATGTCAGCATTGGAGGCAGCTAAAGGTGAGGCAAACCATGTGCACTTCAACTTCTGGAACACCCCACTGTTTTTCATTATATGATTTAATAACTGATATTGTGCTGGAACATTCAAACGGTATGATACAAGGGATGCTCTTAAAGAGCCTCATATGCTTAGTAACATCTCCCAAAAGCTGCCTTAGCTTCCCTTTCTGTGTACAGCACAGAAGCTAAGAAGAAAAGAAGCTCGCTCCACCATTTTTAAAAAATGCATATAAAATTGAGCAACTGAATTACCTAATTGATTTCCACAGATGGAGTAAAATTTAGATAGTCTCTTTGGGAGCTGTTACATATTAGCTCTTTGGAAAAATACATTATTTCTATTCTAGTGCTCAACTACAGTTCGAATAGCGTAATTTAAAGCACTCAAAGAAACATTCAATATGTTTTTAACTGTTCATTCTTACCCACAACTACATTTCAGTAACACTTCAGCTATTTCACAAATATAAACCAGAACACTGCCATTTGGCAAAAAATAGTATAGAAAATAAATAAAAAAGAGTATAGAAAAGAAAACTAAATTACATGGATCAAATACATGAAAAATTATATGCTGAGTAGTTCACCTTTGCTTCTTGCTAATCATTTCCAAAATTCAGTCAACTGCAAAGATTTCCCTACCTGTTCTTTTTACCAAAGGTGTATTATTGATGTGGCTGTCGTCCTCCAATCTCTACCTTTGCATATTATTGCAATGAAAAGTTATACTTAAAAACCTCTCTCTGCTGTAAATTACAGTTTTAGGAAATATGTATACCAGAAAGCAGCCTTTACTATGAAGCTGTTCAACCTACTCCTGCCTTCTGCAACACTTGGCAAGGTCACATTGTATTAAAGACCTTCAATTTACAAGAGTTTTTTCCCAATTAAACTTGAACAGACATGCTTTTCCCTGTACTCATGAGCAGACACTCCCCAGTTATCAACTTGCTGGATTACTACTGTAGCTCATTTGGAGGTCACAGTGAGGTCTGACGACATCCAGCATCATCCTGAACAGTTCAGCCTGTGACTGGGATGATGAGGGGCCCAGAAGAAGGGCATTGGGCTCCTCTGATCGACTCTGTTGAACTTTGTGCTGTATAGTGGAAAAAAAAAATCCACCTAGGCACCTGTATGGTTTATCTCCAAAACAGACTGGTAATTGCCTTGATATAGTTACAGGGAAGACAGTAAGAGAAATAAGTGCCAGAAGATAGTCATGAAGACACAGAAAACAGGAAACTAAGTAAATGACTGTTCTACTGCTGAGTTGTACTTCCTAGCTGCAAGAAAAGTTGAAGTTCAACAACTTCAAAGGAAAGTACATGAAGGGTTTAACCATTTCCTCTCTTTCACAGCTGTACAGCTTAAAAGTGTTATAGTTTTCTTCCTTGAGAGATATAACCACTTCTCCTACCCCCAGAGATGTGCACTAGCAACTAAAGCAGTGACAATGGAAACACCGATGGTTGTGCATATGAAAGTATCTCGTAAACATGACACCGCATGCAGTACAGAGGAACATTTATCACATGCTTGACTTAACAGCCACATGAAACCTCGAAACACCAACAAACCAAGTAACAAAGTATGGAAAATGTTTAGGACAAATTACTCTAAAAAACATTTAAGGTTTACTTTGAATCTCTTTATACATGTAGTAAAATGTAAGTGCCACAGAAAATATGACACTGAGATTAATCCAGATATCAGTACAACATACTCATGCCAATTCTAGCAGTGAACCTTGTACACATACACACAGATGCACACGTGCTCTGAGCACATCTTGGGTGGCTGTCACAAATAAAATTCAAAAATATTACCCATAATTTTTTTAGAATACAGGTATTTTCATTCCAGACTTAAAAAGTATGCTCCAATCTTCAAGCTGAAAGCCATACATATATATACGACTATACACACACAGTCATATCCTTTTTTAATAAAAAAAAAAATATACATACATCTACATGTGCAGCCACATGTGCATGCACACACAAATATACAAAAGGAAAGAGAGAATATGTACCTATATCTGGATATATCCCTGACATTACTATTGATGTCATAAAAGCATGGAATGATTTTAGAGACAAGTTGCAACATAGAGCCATAATGAGTTTCTGAATCGCCAATACTCACACATAACAGAGGGCCTGATCATCAGCAGGTGCTGGAGAAGAAGATCTAGAATGTGAAGCATATGATGCAGTATCTTTTTACAATGGTGATAACAAATGTCAGCGTCTCATGCTGAATGTGAAAGGTATATTTATGTAGTTAAAAAGTGTGAGCTGCTTTTTTTTTTTGTCCTTTTTTTTCCCGTTCCACCTCTGCTTCATCCCAGAAAGCATCTGCTCTTTATTATTGTCTATGGCAGTGATTATTAACAGGCATAGAAAGGCACGGAAAATGAAATTGCAATCTATCTTATTTCTTGATCAGGAATTCATCCCCACACTTTAGTCAGGTGAATTCTAATACACCCCTAGTAATTATCTGACAGATGCTACAAGCAGCTGCTGTAAATGCTGGCTATTATTACAGAAATATAAAAGCTCCTGGCAAGGTAGAGTGAGATGTGAAACAGAATGCATTCTGGTAAGGCCACACATCTGGTTTACCACACGCAAAGGGGAAAAAAATTAAATACCCAAGTCTGAAACTCAGCTTGTTGGTTCTTGACCTATTCAAAATCAAATTTCCTTTAATAAAATTTAAAAAAGCTTTTAAATGGCCAGTAAGAATGGCTTTGTATTTTCTCTGCAAATACTGTTTGCTGCTGAAATACAGCTTTGAAAGTAAAGTATTCCTGCTTAATCACTTTTTGGGGGCAACCTGTTACCCAAAGAAGCTCAGTCTTAAAGTACAGATTCCAATTTTGCAGTAAGGACAGAGAAGAATGATATCTCGATGGTCACATCCAAGTGCTAGTGTACCCTTGCTTCCCAAGGAAGACACCAAAGAGATCCAACTTAAATATTTGAAATGCTGGCCCTTATATCACAAATGCTGCAAGGTGATGCACCACACTAGCTCTGAATTGACACATACAGATATGTGTGTGTCTGTGTGTGTATCCCTATCAGAAAACATGAAGAACTATCACCACATATTGCTCCTTATCTCCAATTTCTGATTTGGGACATTATCCATAATATTATTCTGGGATTCTGTGCTGCTCCTGAAAGTAAAAAAATTACAGAAAAATTTGACTATGCTGACTAGTTTTATAGCAAAACTATACAGTCCCAAAACCACAGTCCTTATTCTTGCAAGACTCTTTCAGAAGCTACCAAATGATTTGGTCTTTCAGTTCTTTGAAGTGCAGATGTTGGCTTCACTTTAAAACCTTAGCATAGGAAAGAAAAGAGCATTAAAAAAAAAAAAAGAAAAAGAGAAAAATCTTAATTAAAAATATGAATATCAACTGCCCCTCTTCTGCAAAATCTTTCAGAAAGGGGATGTACTTTTCTCTGAAAAATCTGAATATTCACATCTAAGTCATGATTCTAGTATTACCAACACATCTGCAAAAGACTATAAAACAAAAGTCAAACAATGTAAAACGCAGCAGCTATAAAAGAATAAGCACAAATAATGAACACATCTGTATTTGATCATGTAACTACAGCACTAATAAAGGACTCCTCATAGAAGAATGGTGCTGCAGCAGTTGTGTATCTAAGCAGATATACACACACATGTATAGCACATACCAACTGAGATCAATCATGACAGTAAGAATTACAGTTTAGAAGCCAACAATAATAACCACAGACACATTTTATCAACACTCACTCATGCCACCATATAAATACATGTATATAAATACATGACAACACTGACAATAATGTAATTAATTATATGAGTATACCCCTTTATTTCAACAATCCTACATTAAATCATAATCCTAAAGGCATGAGAACTATGGGGCAGACAATTAAACCTATGACCCACAGTGAAGGTATTTTGACCACTTGTTCCAAAAACGCCAGGTCTCTTCGAAGTAGAATACTTCTGCAGAAATATGGAATGCCCAGCTGTCCATTCTGAACTGACAGAAACCACAACTACCAGGAACCACACTGTGATTGGACTGATCTCTTTCAAGGCCACCATCTTAAATTAGTAGAGGTTTCTATTACCCACAACTCCATTAATCCCATTTGCTTATCTTATTATTATTTATGTTATATAATTATATTACATAATAATAATTATATTATTATTGGCCCAATCTATGTTACCACAGGTCTGAGAAAACCAGCCACTAGACTTTGAAGCCGCAAACCCAGCATTGGTGTGTCTATAGCACCATTCACAACTTCAAGAACAAGCTCATTTCTAGATGGTGCATGAGGGTAAAGTTAACTCCACAACCAAGACAGTAAGAAAGAAGTGTACTTAAAGGCAGAGTTAAAATTCTGCACATTGTGTGAACTTGAGAAGAAGCTTTCTTATCAACTGGGTATCTCAAAACTTGTATTAATTACTACGTCTTTAAAATAGTACTCCCAAGAGTAGATATTTATGCACAAGAGCAAGTTTCTTTCTATGTACTGATAAAAAAATTGGAACTGACTTCAGAAAACAGAGTGTTTCTGCTCTTTGTCACAGATGTACTGAAATGTTTTAAGCACTATTTTTCTGCATTAACGTCATATGTCATACTTTCTGTTTGGCAGTCAAAACCAAAATTCATTACAAAGATCAAATGAAACCACTTGTACAATGGCCAGGATAGTCCTCCTTTAAGAACCACAAAAATCTTGAGGAATTAATTACTTTTTTTAGAAGAGTAATGAATGCAAAATTCTGACTAACCCCATTCTTTCAGTAAAACCATACAGAGCAGTAATGATGATGATCACTCATGACAGTAATAATTTTCCTAAGACCATCCAAAGCCTCTCGCACAAGTGATTTTATCTTTGAAATCCATGAAAATGTAATCTGAAGGTGAATTATCCATCTGAAGCTGTAACTTAAAGGTAAATTCATGTATAAGGACATACAAAATTTTCATTTAAAATACTTGCATAAATAACCAGTTTTCAATTATTAGTTTTTTCCTACCGCAATTCAACATCTGCCTTTACCTACTTTATATCTGGTCCAATGAGTGAATGCCGCCTCAGCATAGCCCGGGCCTGTGCATTGGTTAAGTTTGTGGTTGACTCTTCATTAATGGACAGGATGCAGTCCCCCACACCAATCCGTCCGTCACGACTGATTGAGCCTCCATGGATGACACTGCGAACTATCATTCCCAAGCCATCTTTATTGGAGCTTACTGTCATCCCTATAAGAGTGAAAACACATTAAACAGTTAATGTCTTTGAGGCCCAGCTTTGGGTGCCAAGATAAGGAAACGAAACCTAGGCCACAGCGGAGGTAAAAGTCAGTCAGCCAACCTGTCAATATCAGCAAGCCTAAAAATATTGCTCTTACTCGCCCTTGCATTTCTTCTATCCAGCAGGAGACAGCAATTATAAACTGCAATCACAGTACCTTTACTTCACCTTGTCATTTCACATACTAGGCTCTACATAAAAACATTAGGACAGTGAAAAATTTAAGCAAAAAATAAACTGAAAAGGTAATGAAATTCCTTCAAATTCACCTCTTCTGATGGTTCACTGAGTTTATACATTTCAGTTTAGTTTATGATGATTCTCTTTGGAAAGAAGGGGAAATGTTTTAACAGGTAATTAGGAGCCCAGTACAAACACACTTATTTTCAACAGAAAGCCTGAATCAGATCTCACTGAGATAGTGGCTGCCTTCCCACTCTCCTAGGTGGGCCATAGCTTAGGCCCAGAAGAGTGTCCTGATTTCTGCGAGAGTCTGTGCTTTGCTTATGGATACAATCCACTATTTGAGTTATACCACAATCCTACCTGTGGCACAGCAGGACTCTAGTTTTCTGTGTTTACAAACACCCTTTAACTTTACTTTCTTCTCACTAACAGGAAATGAGACAAGTATGCTCTTGCCCCTCCTTCCCCATGGGGAGCCACAGGGACTTACTTGTGCTGGGCTTCACACGTCTGTGAATGTTCTTACATGCTCAGTTGTTACCATTATTTTCAGGGCAGTTGGTGCTCATGAAGCAAGCCCTGATAACAGTTTCAGGAAAAACTGTTCTTGACTAAGGCAGTGAAAAGGTAGCTGTAGGGTCAGGATCCTTGATGTCTATCTTAATACTGCCAAATGTGGCATTTTTCTTTCTTTGTGCACTAATGTGAAAGTTTTCATTTGCTAATAAGGTGAAGGCATTGAAATAAGAGCACCTTATAGAGGAATAGCTATTGGAGAAGGATGTAGTGACTACCCCAGTTTCACATGCAAAACATCAGGCTAGCAAGCACTGGGAGTGCAGCTGTCTGTCTGCAAGTGCTTCCATTACTGCCCAGACTGTGAGTGAACAGAAGATGATAGCTACCAGAGAAAAATCTACAAGAATACTAGCTAAAAAAATTCCAACAATTTATATACAAACATGGCTACAGAAGACACAGGCTGATCTCTTTATTATGTGAACTTAGACTTGGGAAACTACTGGTTGAACAGAGTTTATAAGGCAGCTGTTAATCCCAGGCTCAGCCAACCATACAAACATCTGACTATATATTTGTCTCAGAAAAAAAAATAAAATACTGTAACCATTTAAAGAATAACCTTAATTCAGATATTCATTTGTGGGTTTTAGTGCTCTTTTCAGAAAATAAAAATCTCATTGTGCTGATTCTTCACATCCATCCCCTTGTAGTTGAGAACAATATAGTTGTCTAAAGTATAAGAAGGTAGCCCTGACTAGTAAGGAACTGCACAATAAGGTTCTTAGACATAGGAATACATGTACCTCACTACTTTGGTATGAGGAAGTCAAGGTCTAACTTTTGGAAAAACTGCAAAACCCATCTTTGTATGGCCCTTTATATTAAACTGCTGAAAGAATATGGTGTTACTACTGACTGGAGATTTATATGTATTATTTGCCAGTTAATAATGTCAGGTGTGGACAGGTGTAATTTATAGATGTATCAGACTTGTAATACAGACACAAATGCCACTGATTTATTGCCTTTCTACTAGAAAAAGCAGAGGTAAACTGTATATCATCTACTCCTCAGATCAGTAACATTACAATGCTAAGCACATCAAAGGTGCTGTCCCGGTGTGGATTCCCTATTTTTCTACACTCACATGTTCCTTCCTAGAACCATTTCTTGACAGATCTGCTGTCAGATTTTACTCAGTCACATCTGAATTCAAACATAACTCTGCAACACAGTGGTCTCCACCAGAACACAAGCAGTGTGCACACAAAACTGCTGAGGAAACAGGTGAAATGAGGTTTGAAATTCAGAACCTAACTTAGCTTAATAGTGTCATATTGCTATGCTCTAACGTCTTTTTATTGCTGTAGATGCTTTAATATTGCTGTATTGTTATAGAATGATAGCACCCAAAATCGCAAAATACCCGTTTACCTTTTGAAACAGAATTTTTCCAAAATAAACAGTACATATATATGTTTACAAACACTGATTATTTAGTGTTGTTTCACTCTAATCCACCTCAGGAGATTTATTAATAAGAACCTGGGTTAACCTCCCCTTTCTGGGGCGGGTCGCTACAATGGGTGACACCACTAAAAAGGAAAAAAGAAGTGCCTGTTCTCAATTGAAATAGTCGATGCAGCTGCAGCTTTCAACATCATTCACAGCTCTTGATTTATCTCCTTTGCAAAAATGAAAGTTAAAAGCAGTGCAGCCATGTGCATAAATTGATCACTGTGCCCAGGCTGCTTCACAGGCCAGAGTGTACTTAGCCTGGAAGACTGGTCCAAAGCCAGGAGAAAGCGATATTCACATTCATATTTTGTATATATGAACTGAGACCAGTCTTACTTTTAAGCATATATAATGTCTGTGAATGTGGACTGTGTCCCAAATTTGTATTTTCATGCTTGACATCAAATTTGCTTTGTATGTTGACAGTAATTAAAATACTCATACATAAATGAAAACCTGCTCCATTGAATTAACAGTTTGTTGCAAGGAAAACTTTTTTTACAAAGTCCAGATGCTTGGAAACACACTGTGACCTGCACTTTATACAGTCTGGTAATCAGAACAGTAAAGGTAGTAGTTAGCCAAGCATCTCATACCAATGAAAGGTAAACCTCAGACCTTTTTTACAGTTTTATATTTTGGAGACCCTGATTTTAAACCTGATCAGTTCCCAATCCAGTTAGAAGGATGGCTGTATCATGAAGGTGCCAGGTGGCAAACTGAACATCCAGTCATCATAAGGCAGTTTATTCCAGGTGAAAGAGTCCACTGAAATACAGCATCACAGCTGTGAAAAAAACAACATCCACCTCTGTACAGCAGAGGAATCCTAAGTGGGGACTGTTTATAAGCAGTTCTGTGGACAGCCCATTTTAAAGCATTTGTGTAATTACTGCAAACAGCCAGCACCCACACAAAGGCCTGCCCTACCAACTCCAGAAAGTCTTCAAGGATGTGCAGGTGGCTGGAAGAAACAGCATCAGAAACCTAAACCAAAGCAAACGAACACACCAGCCACAAATGGGAAGGACGCACCACTGCCTCTCAACGCAAAGCCAAAGCCTTTCCTGGCTCTGGGAAGGTACTGCTTCTTCACACTGCCAAGGACCACACCAGAGACTAGGATAGGACAGTGACAAACATTAGCATCTGTTGTGCTTGTTTGCTCCAAAATGTCAGTACGCTCAGGAAGCTGCAGATTGCAGATATTTAAAAATTCTGAACTTCATTACAAAATGATAATATTGAGCTATCTATTAAATGAATCAATTTTTCAGAAATATTGCAGCACTTCAGATAGAAGCACAAATTTGTAGCAAGGAAGTGAATAGCTTGTTTAGACCCTTTTGACCATCCTCAGGAAGCAAAATCATTTTGTTCTTGCAAACATTTGAAATTCTAGTCTGAAGTTCTTTGGCCAAAGAGTTCTTCTACGGCACTCCTTGGCTACATCTTGTTTTTCCACTAAATTAGTATACATATTAAAGAACAATGCACTAGAATTGTTAGCAGTTGGGAAAGACTAATCTCTTTTATGGGAGAACAAATTCTCAGTGAGACTGGAGACTTTTGTGTCCACAGTGACAGCACATGGATCCAGTTCCATGACAGTCAAAAAGGGTAAGAGCAACAAAGAATGAATATCCTGTCTCCACTAAATGGAAAATATTTAGTCTTTACTACTAAAACATACAAGGAAAACAGAAAGCCATAATCCTTACAAGGTTACAAAAAATGCTAGCTAACTTACCTAGACTTGAGTTGCCTTTTGCAATTGTGATAGTCTTCTCATACATGTTTTTGACTGAATTTGGGATTGTGAAACTTCCCTCCAAAGATACAGGGCATCTCTTCTCCATTAAAAGCAATTGATCCTAACACAAGGGAAAATAACATCAGTCCAGAATGCTGACATAAAAATATACTTGGTCATACTGATCTCAACTCACCTTAACTTACACAAAATCTATGTGCATAATTAAGACAGATTCCTTACACAGACATTAGAAAAGTCAATCCCCTGAAGATCAAACCAAGATACCTAAGGTTTGTGTTTTCATTCAGGCAATATACCAAATCTGCCACAAAGTATACTTTTAATTTAGAGACATCAGTTACACTCTTAAAATCAGCAGGATGAATTCAAGGGCTTCATACTTTTTCACCACAGACATCTGACAATCTGCCAGTACTGAAGTAACAAATAATGTAAGAAATTGCAGCTCTTTCAAGAATTTCTTAATAAATCACTGAATGGAATAAATAAGAATCATGTCACAGTGACTATCACGTAAAGGCAGATTATGCAGCATCACAGGTCAGTTTGTGAGCTGACCTGCACAGGCTTGCATGAACACCATGATGCAAGACATTCATATCCCTCCCCCCTGGCTTCCTAGGCCTGTTTCCAGCTGGGCAGCTCCTTCTTACACTCATGTCCCTGTGAAGGTTAACAGGGGATAAGAAAATGCCCGTCCTGCCCACTGGGTACACTGTGGTCCTGTAGTATCTAATGAAGAGAGGTGTGAGCAGATTTTTATACACCACTGTATTGCCAGCCTCTAAGAAACTATTATCTTGATGCCATAAATTATGTCCTGTTTTGGAAAGGTCTAAATCCTGCAGTTTTGATGTGAGATAACAGATCTGATGAACATTATAATCAAAGAACTATGCAGAGCTGTTGGCCAGTGACAATTTCAGCAGGAAATTCTAATAGAGCCTTTCTACGACTTTTTTAAAAATTATTATTTTAAAAAAATAAATAGCTTTACTTTTGCTTGGGGATCAAGTTGCACGGTAGTAGCAAGGCTTGTATTTAGTGCAACTTCTGATGCTATCTGAGATCCAGTCCATGTTGCTGTGTTTTCATTTTCATTTTGGTTGATATCCGAAACATCCAGAGGCAGGAGATCCGTTTTAGTAAAACCAGTTGCAGTTTCCAGGCTACTGCCCACTACAGACTTTTGCTCTTTCATTCTCTGATTCAGATCCATGTTGTACAGATTCTTGTCAGATACATGGAAATCAGCTGCAGTATTTTCACATTCCTCGCCAACAGACTGTTTAACACAGGAAACAATCACCATTTATTTGTAGTATAATTCAAAAGCATATTTCATGCTAAAACCTTCAACAAAAACTAATCTCATAGAATGCAGACATATCTGTTGTACAATCAGTAACAATCAACCTTATCTTTAGCTCCCTATAGGCATTCATTCTTCTGTAAGGTGAACTTGATTTCTTAGACAACTTCTGTTTTAAAATACCAGAAATCAGTAAAAATAAGTTACTACTGAAGGCCAAATTCTAACTTGGTATTCTGCAGTAACTCTCTACTAACTTCAGAAACGTAATGTCCACTCACACATTCTTCAAATAGACATAAGTCCAGTAAGTTTTTAAAATTAAAGTATTCAATTGTTTTTCTCAGGTTAAAGAACTTTGCAAGACCAAGGTCTTCAGGTTCAACACACTTAGCAAGCAAGGAGGAATTTCAACCAGCTCAGACCATAAAAAGGCAACATGATCATTCATTTAACTGAGTAGAAACATATTTACATATCCTTTCCACATAAAGAAAAACTAGGTCAAACCTCAGCAAAGAATGAACATGGAGATTTAAAGTGGGACAACAATTACATGGAATGATGCAGCTACAGCAGCTTACCAGTTAGTACTTATTACAAGTCTGCCTTTTGTGGCTGCAGAACTACCACTAAACTCTCTGCACATTTGTTTAGACTTTCAATATTCTAAGGCCCTGCCTTTAAAATGTTTCCAGGGATTTCAATAATCACAACACTCTGAAGCAAATCTTCAAATATTCTCTAGCTGAGCTTTCAAAGTATGTTATTTTAAAAACATGCAGGCCATTAGATATCATAAAGATACATCAGAGAATTTGAAGTTGGACTTAGAGGCTCTATGTCAATACTAGGGATTTTTCTGTGAAATTTAATAAAAGTGTCAAAACCAACTACCTTTTTCTGTCTTAGTTGTTACCCACTGATCCTATTAATTCTTCTATCACTTTTCCAAAAAGTTGGGAAACGTTTCCCAGAATCTGGGCATATTTTGCAATGTTATGAATCAAGAGTCTTAGAATTAGCTTTTGTCAGCTTTTATTAAGTGCATACATGCATGCTGTGTCCCCAGCCAAGAATCAAAAAAGGTTTACCTGTAAATAAGTGGTTTAAGTAACAGCTGAGAAGATAATTGAGCAAAGCCTAAATACCACTAATCTGCATGATATAATCAGTGACATAATTTCCTATCTTCTTGAGAACAGAACACAAGTACCATAATCTATTTAAGTTATTTCATAATGTTTCCAATACAGTTGGGACTCTGCTTTTTATCCATTACCAGATCAGTGAAGACAAGCCTCAGGTCATACTCAGCATTTATTTCACATTCCATACATACACATAAGAGTCACAGTGTATGTTCATTTTTATTTCTGTTTCACTCAAAGAAAAGCCAATGCAGTAATTTTTGAAGAAAAACACAATTTCAGGAATTTGTAACTACAGCAGTATATGATCTGAGCACTTGCATTACTTTAAGTATGCTTTTCATCACCTGTTTTAAACATGACACCAAAGTGATATTCAGAACTTGTCAACTGCCCTGCAGCCAGAAATAGCTGAAATACCTCTGCATTCCTCATAGCACCAAATAGCACTGTTTCAATTTTTACTGCATTTCACTTGATTCAAAAGTCTTCTTTTTTGAACAGGTTTTCTCACTGTGTTTGTCTTGTGAAGTCCCTCTTAACCACAGAGTACTTGATGAGAACTTAATACTCACTTCATACTGGTGCACAGAGATGAATACTGAAAAGCCAGGACCATAGTATTTTATAAAAATATAAACCAAAGCCATTTTAAGTCAATGCTGGAAATAGCTTAAGACTATCTAGAGCCTCTCAATGCGATATATAATGTAAATCCAGTCTCTATCTCATAAAATGCTCCTAAGCATGCAAAACGCATAATCCATTTAAGTAACAATTACAGAGTTAAACAATGCAATCTGTCCCACTGGCACTGCAGAGATGTGCTCTTCTGTGGATTAGGAGAAACCATTAGAAGATGAATCTAGCTTTCCAACAAGTGCCTCATAAAGGCTAAACATATTCCAGAAGGGCTAAAGGGAGTTACTGAAGCTCAGGTGTGCCGGAAAAAGCAGCAGCTACTCTATTCAAGTCCAAAGACTGCAAACCCAGAAAGAAGTTTCTACAATGTGGCTTTCAAAGATGACTGCTAGGAGAATGGAATTGGAAGGTTCTGGTTTAGCGAAATAAATCTTAAGATTGCCAAGAAGAAAGAACATGAAAAACCATGGAGAGAAACAAAACGCAACTCTGATACAAACAATCAAGTCATTATGGGTACGTGACCAGGAAAAAATGGCTACTGATCTTTGTAATATTCTTAAATAAATCTTCATTTATTAACTTTAAATAGGAATTAGAAATAATCAAAATTTTTATATATACATATTTTTAATTACAGAATCATTATGAAAATTTCATTCAAAACATACTAACATACTATGAACCATAAAAGCATAACTTCAGATGAAAACTTACACTTTTTCTCATAGTAAAATACCATAGAATACAGGCATTTTGTGTTACCTCTCTTTACTATGCCTTGAATACAATTAAGTTCTTCTACCGACTGCTCACCACAGCTTTAACACTACAAACAATCTCACCATGCTTTATGTGGCTAAATCGTGCTTTATCTAAGAAAAATCCAAGCTTTCAACCTTCTGTCTCTCTCTTCAACACAGAGATCTGTAAGACATCAGCCCTACTCCAAACAAAACTTTAACCTGGTAACAAATAGTGCCTTTTGAACCAGGATGACATAAAATATTTATATCTAGCAATATAGCCTGTTCACACCTATAATCAAAGTTTGTCATCAATGAAACCATCCTCCTTTTTACCTTGGAAGTTGATAATGGAAGAGAGAAGCTGTCGTTCACCTCACCGCTACAGGCACTGTGATGCAAAGCTGCCACTGAATCCTGGAAGACGTCTCTCTCTAGAGAATACTGTGATTCAAAGGTGGACTCATCTGCCAGATCTGCCTCTCCGGAGTCCACCTAACAACAAAGCAATTCAATCAGCCAGGCTGTTACCATCACACCACATAAGCCCCAAACACATGCACATCAGCCACTACATACTGACTGACACTGTTCTTGGCTTTTTTTTTTCTTTTTTTCACTCCATGTTTTACACTGAAGTTACATTTGCAAAGTACAGTAGGAAAATTTTCTGCTTCAGTAATAATCTGTGCTATCACATCTTTAAAGGTTGAAAAGAATATCTGAAGTAAAGCAAGAGTCTCAACCAGAATAAGCTGTGGGGCTGAGGCAGGCTCATGCCTGTTAATAGAAGTATAAGGTGTTGGGAGAATTCTAATGTACTCCCTGGTGTGAATATTCGGATTCTTTAGGGCTTCTTTTTATTTTTCTTTTGAATTTTCTCTTACAAAAATTAACATGGGAAAAATAATGAGCTTCACTTGGTGCCACCTGTCAGGAACATTCTCTCAACTCAACTTCTTAGGCTCATTTTTCATACTGTTTTAAAAACAATCATCTGGAAACTGTAGTGCTTTACTGTACATTTATAGGAAAAAATTATTACATGATTTTTTATGATTTTTACATTTGACAATAAGATATTACAGACATTTCTACAATTCTTCTATTCCTCTTATAAGAGAAATAAATTTTTTAGAAGAGTTTTGGATATGGGTAGTGTTTTTTGCCCTTTTTTTAAAATGAAACATCATCTTTTTTCAAGACTCACATACTTTTAAATCTAGAATAAAATTAAGTCCTAAAAGACCTAATTTATGGTGCTTCTTAACTACACTTCCATTACAATTTCATCTTCCCTGGTAGAGCTGAAGAAAGTAGCGTATGTTAACAAAATGATCAGTGAGTTTAGAGCCACAACATACCACACACTAGGATAAAGCAGATAAGTGCATCCATCTGCAGAGATGGGACCTAACTTGCTTTCCAGCCCCTCTACTTAATCATATTATGAATTCATTATAGTAAATGCACAACGGCAATAGCAACAATCTGCAGAGATTCAACACATTGATTCCTTTTTGCAGTAAAAAGGATCAGGTTTTTTTATTATTTCTAGCCTAAAGACTTAACAGCTAATTCAAACTGCTCCTTCACTGTAACTTATTCTCAAGCTCATTGTCTGGAAAATGCAGACTAATGTTACCAAAGCTATGCCCTAAAAAAAGGATTGTGAAAATTCAGGACAGATCTGTAGAATATGAGTGCCAATCTATCTATGGAAACCAGGATCTCATAAGTGTACTCTGTAACCACATCTTCAACTGGGTGACTGCATATTTAGTTCCATATTCTGCGTATTTAATTAGATAGCTGACAACTCTATTAATATATCATATATTTTCATTGCTTTTTTCACAAGTTTAATTTTTTAAATAGGAATCACAGGTGGAAGTCAATTTTTTAAAATACTTTAGTTTTAATCTGATCTTTTCAACACTTCTTTAATTACAGGTTATTTATAATATGAAATGTCTTCTTCATGCTTCTTAATGAACAGAATAAGACAACTACTATTATCTAACTACCGTAAAAGGTAACAAACTGCAGAATTAAAACCAGGCAGTCTTCTTTAAAGGCAAGTTATTAAATCAGCTTGTCATTTGAAAGAGTGAAAAAAACCCCAAATCTACTGAAAGTAGTAATGCAGATATTTTCATCCTGGAAGAATCCAGTTCAGGTTTTTGGTTTTGGGATTTTTTCCTAATGAATTAAGTCCTGGTTTTTAGTGGAAACTGCTTCCCTGCTCAAGTCCTCAAAAAAGGAGGGTCTAATGACTTCAATATCAGATCCAGATCAGTAAAAATAACCATGACCAGATACACTTGGAATACATATATACCTATATATGTATACAATATACAGATATTCTGGGTTGTGTTTTTTCTTTTGCAGGGGAAGGGGTTGGAAGGGGTTTTTTTTTTGCTTTTTTGTAGAGTCCTATTTCCTGTGTCTTTTTAATCTGAGTTCTTATTGGTAACTTCTGGGCTATGTAAGGCACTGAATGCTCAGGTAAGCCGCATTGTTTGTACAAGTGAACAACTTTTGACCTTGTAAATCTCATAAGCACTGATTGATGTTGAAGGCTGAAGAATATTATTAGAAGGAAGTGTTTGCAGCTTTTGAAGACAGACAGAATTCATTATAAGGCTGGATTACATGCAAAAAGAGAGTACCAAAAATTTTCAAGGAAGAGAAATGATACACAGGAAAATAAGCACATAAACATTTCTCTATATAAGGTGAGATTTTCAAAGGAATGCTCAGTGCATGCAAGGAGTTGTGGATAGGCATGCACGTTGGAAAACATCAGCAAAATACTTTTTTTCCCCCAGCAATTAATGTATCATAGTTTCACAGCTCATGCAAATATCTCTAGATACCAGTTTCTACCATTTCAGGATCCATCCTACCTATGGTAGATGAGTAATGTGGTGAGAGTAAACACTAAAAAATAAGCATGAATAGTGAAAAAGCAACTCCTTTCATTATAAAATGCAAAGACTGAAGAAATCTTTGGTAAGTTGGGCCACTAACCAGAGCCAGCTCAGCATGGAAGAGGGCTGCATCAGCTGGCCCCTCCTCCTCAAGTGACTGGGCAGTGTAGAAAAAGCAATCTTCCTTAGCAGAGACATAGCCCTCCTCAGGTGAAAGCTGCAGAAAGAACGAAGCTCTGAGTCGGATGAGTGGCCCAGACACAGGAGATGCAGAGTGCATTCTGCGGGGAGGGGGCAGGGGGTGTTCAGAAAGGCAAATGGATTCCAAATGCAGCAGAGTTCATTTCAGTCACAGTCACAGTATTGAGTAGGTAAAGAGACAATTATTTTTTTCAGATTTACTGAATTGATTCAGCTTCACACATCATTTTACAACCCCAAGTAATGAAAAAGGCCTATCCAGGTATATCACAGAGCCCACAGCTTAGTCTAACCTCATTTTCCACTTTTGCTCCTAATAAAGATGTTCTAAAACTGCCACCACAGCTGCCACCAGAGAAAGAACCTAACAGCAGAGGTCTAGAAATTCTTGCTAGCCACAGAGCAATCTTATTTTCAGGCAGTAAGACTTCATCCACTGTATTTTACTATTGTATCTGCCAGGTGGAACAGCCTCTAGAGGACAAAACATCATTTTGATTACAAACCAATAGCTTTTTCCAACATAATTTGATGGTAGGTGCATTTGTCCAGTACCGCAAAAAAACAGTGATTATTTGCAATGTTTAATTACTTGGCAAGCATAATACATGAAATACTGAAGTGCAAATGCTGAATGTTTACAACCGTGTGGAACAAAAACAAAACCCCCATGAATTTTCTCTTTTAGAGTGAAATCTTCAGTACAAAATTTTTGACTTGCAAGACACTTCATAAATATAGTCTCCACTACAAAAAAGGAATTTAACAGAGCAAGTTAAAAAGTGCCCTCTTACTATGAAAAGCAAAGTTTCTAGGGACTTCAACAATAGCCATTCCCTCCCACTCTCTCCATAGAGATCTACTAAGAATAAAAATTTGATATCTGCATCCACAAGGATTACAAGATTATCAATTCATGAAAAGCAAAAATGAACCTCTACTTGGGCTTGCTTACAAATATAGAAAGAAGTATCTTCATGTATGAATGAATTAATGCCATTCCACTGGTTTGAATTTAGCACACCAGGGACATTAGTTCACTAGCATCCTTACTGATACATTTTCTTGGTCACCAGAGGTCTCATTCAACCTCCTCTTCTAAACTGTTACAGATTACTGTCTAAAATCAAGCCTGAAATAACCAGTTAGATGTATACAAACTGAAGACTACACACTATTACATAAACAAAGTGTGCAGTCTAAATACAAAGACTGCATATACACTTGCAAAGAAAAGGAATAGGTAAATTCCAGGCAAACCACAAAAAAAAGTTATGTCCCCATCTACCACATCCAGAGAACCACGCAAAGTGTACAGCGCACAAAATTATGCCTGTCAGCTTACAGCCTTGCTAGACTCTGCTGGCTGCAAGATGCTTTGCTGTTTTCTCAGTTGCAAGACAGGTGTGCTAGGTCCTGCGATCACCACAGCAGTCATACACTACCCAGGCCGCTCCTACATGCAAGGAAATAATTGAACCACTCAACTATACCCAAAACACACAAAGTGTATGCAGAAGACAGGATCAGCATGTGCCAGCTTAAATGACAGGAGAAGTACCCATTGAATTCCCAAATTCTTACAGGTAGTGGTTTGGCAACTCCTATTTTAACTGTTCCCATTGGGGCTCCTTTCAGTGCTTGTACTGCTTCCTCCAGGCTGCCATTTTCCAAATTGATATCGTTGACAAACATAAGCCGATCTCCAGGAAGAAGTCTGCCATCTTGCTCAGCCACACCCCCAGGAACTAATGAGCGAATCACAATTACAGTGTTTGCTGGATCAACAGGATCCTAATTAAATAAAAGGAAGAAAAGCATTTAATTTTATTTACTCTTTTATGTCTTGAGAGGTAAATTTTTATTTATGAACTTTCACTAACCCAAGGGAGTTGGGTTATTAAGAAGCTGGAGCTCTCCTCCAGGTGAACTCTCAGCAGGAGCAAACTCTCCTGTCCACACTGCCCATACATTTAGACTTCCACCTATTTTTAATTTTTCAGTGTGAAAGTTATTAGTCCTTACTAGGTGATGTCTCACCATGTATCTCCAGTATAAAGTATTACTAAATTGCAGAGTGTTGGCTGTAAACATCAAAATTTAAATACTTCCTACTGCAGTGACAGTGTTGCAGACTCCACCCTCCTTTACACTCAGTGGTCTGAGGACACAGGTGGGCAATGCAGGCTATGGCAGAGGTAACATATGTATTCTAGTGCAACAAAGGACTTATATACATTAACTCTCTTATGCTTCATGGCACCAGACCTTGCTCAACTGAGAAAGCACTTTTTAAGAGGCAAGCTCTTATGTGTGACTAATTAAACACTTTATGTGAGAGAGGAACATACCGATACAGCACTCTAATCAACAAGACAAAACTAAGTGGTGGTTGCTTTAATAAAAACAAACTTGTTTTGAAGTCCCCATCCTCCCCATAAGTGCCCTGATTTTTATAAAAAAGCTAGCATCAAATACTAGTAACAGGAATGTATGTTTCTGTCATAGCAATTTATCACAGGTGCAAAACATTTGTGTGATTCTTATAGAACTACATTTACAAGGCATATCATGTTAATAATTCCAAGACACAGTTCACTTGAATGCACACACAAAAAGAGAATCCCAAGACGTACATTTGAAAAGATGGACACCATCAAGGCAACGTGTAAAAACCGCAGAAATTGGGAGACTGCTGAAAGCTGATGTGAGAGAGAAGTGTTGAGGGAGGGAAGGAGAAATGGATGGAAGGACACTGAAAAGAAGTGTCCTTGCTGGCAGTTAATGCAGTAAGAAGAATGCAATGGAGCAACAAAACACTACACAAGTGGAAATATAACTAGCATTGCTGGAGATAGAGCTTGAGCTTGATCACTGAAATCTTCCTCACTATTTTAACAACAGATAATTACACTGTCACTTTAGATGACACTGTATGCCACTTTTTTTTTTTTAATAAATATCTCTCTATGTGACAGTCTTTTTTAGGGTAAGAAATTATGCAGGCTTTTCTACAGGCTTGCCATTTTATAAAACATGAGGAATGTATTAGTATGACTGTAACTGTCCTTAACTGTAGTCACTGTTCATTGAAAATTAATGGAAATTTTGAAGAAAACAGTAAAATACAAAGATAAATCTCACTGTAAATTTATTGTTCACAATCTCAGGTAAGGGCAGAAAGTTCAGTGACAAACTGAAATTTTTTTACAGCATGTCAAAGAGGAGAACATAGGACAATACTATAACACCAAAAAAAAAGGTAAGTTTCAGAAAGCCGACTAAAGCTGAAATATAGAACCAAATTCATATTTGAAAAATATATTAACCAATTTAAAGCAGTTCCCACAACCCTTTAATACAATTATCCATAAACGTAATTCAGTGACTTAGCACATATGCACCCAGCATTTGCGTTACTGCTCAGAAGAGGCTGAAGCAAAAATATGCTTTACTGTGTACTGACACAGACTTCAAATACTCCAGCTCAGCTATGACACCTCACTGCAGAGCATCATGAGTAACATATTAGAGATTAGTCATTGTTTCATAAAACTTGACTATGCCTTTATCCTTCATATTATTACAATACACTGCTCTTCACTTTTATCAGTATGCAAATGCAAAATCTAAGGCATAAATTAATTCTAAGCAGTGCGCAGGAGCATAATTTCCATCCAGAAGGGATCTCCAGATGTAAATCCATATACTCCTAGAGACAAGATCCAGCAGAAACCAGGAAGGAGACTGGGTCCTTCACCACCACCAAACAGCTCACCAAAAGCTTATATTGACCACAGTATAGAGAGAAAATACTTGAGGTCAGATTAAAAGTTTTCCACTGGACAAGTGGGAACAGAAGGAACATTTCTTTTGGGATCCTGACCAAGTGCAGGCAAAAGACAGGCACTGACCTGTTCACTGAACACACCAAAAATCATAGCTTAGATATCCAGGAATTCTGAAGTCTAATACAAAGTGAACGGGGGTGTTTAAGCATGGCCTGGGCAAACTGCAGCTAAGCAAGGGATTTCAGAATTGCAGTTCTGGATTTTAGTAAATCCTGCTTTAAGCACCTAAGTCCTTTATTGGATCTTGCCCTAAACACCTCACTGCAGGTGCAAAATGCATGGCTAAATGCCTGAATATTCTGGCTACATTGTTCATTGTCCCTGGGTCACTAAAAGACAACTTTCTGAAGACCCAATTATACAACAGATTATCAGTTTTTCTAGAACCAGTATTACCATCATCATTAGAACCTGCAGTCTTAATACAGGAAGAAGAATATGTAATGCAATTAGTGGGATGCCTACCAGCAGTGATTAGTTTTACTCTATTGCTTGGTTTCCATTAACATAAACCCTTAAAATACATATTTAGAACACACTGCAAGATGCAAACAATATAAAGTATTTTGTCCTCTATTCAGAGAAGTGCAGAAGTTACCTGATAGTCCAATATGCTAAATCCAAGCCCCATACTCCCTTTCTCCAGCTCAATGTTCTGTACTTCTGTTTCCCACATTGCCAAAGACGAGCTTTGCATCTCTTCCATACTCTGGCCCTCATCGGCTGCTTCCAAAGCTGTTCCCTCTGTGTCTGAGGAGCCAATGAATCCAAGTTCTATGTGAGCCTGAGAAAAACAGTAAATGTTTACCAATAAAATCTAAACCCTTGTGACTACGCAGAGACAAAACTCTGTTTATGAAAAAAAAGATCAAAACTAAGTAATGTATCTTTAGACACCAAGGAAGTGCAAGCACTCAACGGACTGAACAAACAAGTCTGATAAACCTAGCACAGAATTCACATATCCTTTTAACAAAATAGCTGTGCTGTAAGTATATGAAAGCACTCAGTGGAAAAATTTTTACAAAATGGAATTTCTGTCAAATGAAAAACTTCAAAAAGTTTCATTAGAACATGCATTCAAATATACAGGAAACACCTGTTATTAAATGGTATGTCTAAACTGTGATTTCATTAAACATAGTAATACTGACAGTAGTCAGAATATTCAACAACAGAAAAAAATACACCCATACATACACAGACATCTATGTTCTTCACTTGGTTTCATCGAAAAGCTTAAAACTATAAACTGAATTGGGTGCCTTACTGTCGGAGGTGGACCAACAGAAGCCTACAGAGAATGGGAAGAGATGCAGAAAGGCTGCGAGGAAGCCTCAGAGGAAGAACAACTGCAGCTGCAAGGGGTTGCCTAGAGACCCAGCTACAAGGCGCGGCCTCACAGACCTCTGTAGAATTCCCCTGTTTGTACCCCAGACCACTCCTTCCCTTCTTCCCTAACTCCCAACTCCCCATATATGGCTGGACATATCCCCCATGGCCAATCCCTCCATTTTCCCTTATCACTGACCCTTAGGATTTGATGTTCCTAGCAAGAATCCCTCCTTTGTTCCAGACCCTTCCATATTCCCCTCTATATAAACTGACATCTTGTTTTAATAAACGCCATTTTGTAGGTCACCACCCGTGTACCTGCCTCCTATACAAAGTGTGCCCTAGGGTCTGTTCTCAGGGGATTAAAACCCCCCTGCGATACCTTACCCAGAACTCAAAATTAACTGCATCTCTTTTCATACAAATGTTATTGCTTTGTATACTACACTGCAGGCCATTCCTACATCTTTAATTCATCAGACTGCTCAGAGCTCCACAATTATGAGTGACAGAAGCATCAATTGAATGCACACAAAGTTCTGTGCAACACAAATCCAGAAAGAAAAGTTCAAAACCAGAATAAATATATGCAGATTCTAAAGAACACACAGTTCAGTTTGCCATACCCCTACCTCTCTCCAACAGAACAGAAGTACATTACTCAGATAGACAGTCCTGCATCCCAGAATATTTCTAACCATAACCAACCATGACCAACTTCTGGTGACCTAAATAATGGTTGATAAACATAATTTGCCTTTTCCTATTTGTCCTACCATATTAAAACATATTTCTAATCTTGTAGAACTTCATCTGTTTCTTTCTCAAGGAAACAGTCATTTTCAGTGATCTTTCAAAGACACAATACCTTTTCCGTGAGCTGAACCTCGGACACACTCAGACTCTCTAGCACTTCTGGTTGAGTGATAGGGGGAGCTACTGGACGACAGCACACCATTGTCACCTTAATAGGAAGTTCTTTCAAGATACTGACCACATCCTTGTGGTTTTCCCCAATCAAAGAAATCTCATTCACCTCAATAAATAAAGAATACACACTGGTTAGAACTACACAGAATATTTAGAACAACAATGAACAAAAAAAGCCCCGAAAACCTCAACTCATTAATCACTTAATTAAAAAAACCAAGAAAAATTCCCATGCTAACAGACACTGTCAACCCTTAATTTCTATTCAATTCAGTGTTCAGAATCAGCCCTAAGATAAGTACTGAACTGAATGTACAGTCTTATAAAGATTTTATGACACCACCCTACAAACACCATATACTCTTCAACATTTTTTGCATTCATGTAAACAAAATTCACATTTCAATTCTGAGAAGATACCTTCACTGTGTAGGGACATTCCTATTAATTCCTAATGCTTTTGCTAGATATTCTTCTTTTGTGACTGTCCTGGCTTCAGTGGGGATAGGGTTCATTTATTCTCAGTAGCTGGTGTAGTGTTGTGCTTTGGATTCAGTATGAGAATAATGTTGATTGTGTTTTGATTGCTGCTAAGTATATTTATCCTATGTAAAGGATTTTTTGGTGTCTTGTGCTCTGCCACTGAGGAGGTATAAAAAAGAAAGAGCAGCTCCATGGTGCTTAACTGCTAGCTGAGCTTAAACCACGACACAGACCTTGGACTGCATCTGAAAAATCCACTACCAGCAGAGAAATGAAAGTAGATATATGCTTTCACACAAATACACAGTTCATATGAAGTGACCACTCAGCCACTAACTGGTATGCAGTTAGAGATGCCACATTCCCAAGGTCATAACCCATGAAAAACAACTTACTGCTCAAAAACCTCACTGAATGCAGACTAAGTTAAGGTAGTATTTTTTCTTACTTCCAGCAGTTCATCTCCACTGAACAGCTTGCCACTTCGTCCAACTGGCCCCTCCGGTAAGATAGATCTGATGAAATGATGTCCCACTGTAGCTTCAAGGCTTATCCCTAACCCACTGCTTTCACTAAATTTGTTAACTACAGCCACCTAAAATAAGATTAAGAAACAGTTATATTTGATGTATTTACAGCCATACCTGTTACTTTCCATTTCAATTTAACAAATTGTGAGGTCAATATTCCAGAAGTGAGAAACCACAAGTACTGTGATGTGTAATGGTGACAGTCAGGACAAAACTGAAACTTTGATCACTTCACAACACACAACTGAGCACTGCTTATGACAATAATATACCTAATAATACACACTTCTGCAGACACTACACCTATGGCATACAATTTTGCTGTAGCTTCTAAACTCAGATACTGCTTTTCAACTGTATCTACAGTATATATTCTATGCATTTTTATATCATTACATCAAACCCTTTATTCAGTATGCAGAATGGGTATGAAATTTCAAACTCTAGCTAATGAAGGGAGCTTTGAATTTCACCTCAAATATTATTTTTTTTCTGTAATACACACTTCTCTTGAAGTTAGGAAATTGGGAAACAACACTCATAGGCATAGTACTCAATCAAGTCTATGATTGTTTGGTAAAAAAACAAAAAAATGTACCTTCTCGTACAAAAATTATATTAAAAAAATCTCAACAGGCTAAGAAGCATATGTGTAATTTTAAATAGAATTTACCTACCACTATTTCATAATTCGAACCCATAATCCTCTGCCACTTCATCTTTGTAGTTTCTTCTTCTGCAGTAGTTAGCTGGAAATCTAAAAATTATATCTGAGATTACTGTGACAAAGAACAAAACAACTAGTGTATTCCTGTAAGTGACAAAGTACATGGAACATACAAGGTGACATAATCCGGAACATAAAAAATGTCACAATCATTCCCATGATGCCAGAACTCTCCTAAATATGACTAAAAATTTGGCATGTTTTGTGTCACCAAGCCTGGAGTTACCCAAGGAAAATTTTCAAAATACTGTTAGATTCCAACCCTGCAAAACTAACTGGGTATTTTCAAAGAAATGAAGTTCACAGCTGGGGAAAAAAGGACAGATATTTAAATTAGCCCCAGAGCTGAGTGAATTTATTGCAATTTTTAAATTCAATAGGCACAAAGAAAATGAAAAAGTTGCATGGCATGCCCTGGGTATGTGTTAAATCAGTCTGTATGTGGGTTGATTAGACTGATTCAGGGAGATGGTTGAAATATTGAAAAATGTAAACTGCATACTAATCCTTTTGGACAGACACTACATTTTACAGAGAGCGTGCACATATGTGCACACACACAATGACTCAAGATTCTAACAGCTAAAGAGCAGCAATGAACTTGCAAAGAAAAGAAGGGGACAAAGTAATTGATGTGGTGAAAAACACAGTGACCGACTAGATAACAAACTGCGGCAACTCTTGATTGAAAGTTTATCTGCAGGCTGAAAAAACTGAGAAATGCTTTCTTCCTGCTCATTTTCCCCTCATTCACATTCTCTAGGCTCTATGGCAGGAAGAAATAAAAAGCACTATTTAGATACAAAAGCCAGTAAGCACAGCAGGTTCAACAGGACCCTACATATTCATGGTCCATGGTCTGGACTGTGCCTACAGTAAATACCCAAATAAAATCTTAAGATCTGAATGTTCATCACAGGCAAAGACAAGAATCTTCATCAAAAGATGAACTAAATCCCGCTGACTCTAGTAAGAATATAAAATGTCTAACAGCCCTGAACAGTGTTTTAAGTCTAGCCATTGCTTGGAAACATTACTAAATATAAAGCCAAATGTTATATGGCATTCAAATAGAACAATACTTTCCCCAAAGCAGAGACCCAGCCGTATCTGAAGGAAAAGCATTAAAAAGAAATTCCTTCAGCTATCCAAGATAATAGAAAGCATGAATTATGAGAAGATACACATCACAAAACTTAGCAGTTCCCCTCTTGCTCTGGAAGAAGGAAAATGTTATAAAACATGTCCCGTGAATCTCAATCTGGAAAACATATCATCACATATGACTTCTGAAATTCAAAGCAGTGTTCTAAGAGCTCAAGAGGGAACAAAAATACTCATTAAAAAGTAAGAATTTCTACAAAGAGTATGGGAGAAGTCAGAGAATATCAGTGCACCAGAACTGACTGAATTTCAAACATTACCACAGAACACAGATTGAAATTAATGCAAGCTCAGGAATTTGTGAAAAGGAAGTTTATCAGAAGAGGTAGAAGTCTTGGAACTGTAGCTGGGAAGATGCAGACAACTTGAAAGATAAAGCATATTGGGGAAGGAAGAGGAAAAATGTTTTTTCCTAGACTAGACTACATACAGTAGTCATGATCCTATAGCACTCATGATCAAGAGTACATGATTAAATGTATAACTACTTTGACTTTCTAGTTCTATCTCAGCTAAACAAGAAACAAATGGAAAGACACAAAAAACACCTGATCTTAGTGTTAGCACACACAAGTGCATCTTCATAGAATAAAATATTAAACCTTGAGAACCTGTCTCCTGTTGTTTCATGTCATCTCCAATATTTACCACACTTGCCCTGCATGGCAATGACGGGGATCCCTGTTCTGTTTCACTGTTATCTGGAAAAAAAGAAGAAATCTTTTCAGCTATTTTATGTTGTAATATGCATAAAGCTCACAGGTATGCTTCAGGGCATCTACTCTCTTTTCCATTGGACTTCAGAGTACCCATATTTGACAAATGGAATCTGGCATTGGGGGCCCAGAAGAAACATCACATTTCAAAGACATTGTCTCCCTTATTAATGCTTTGCCTTCTTCAGAGAGTTTTCAATGAAACAAACAAATAGAAAAGCAAAACTACCAGTACATGCATTTCTATGACTGAAAGAAAGTATATCTAAATACAACATCCTTTAGAATTCTTGTATTAACGTTTTTTTTTTGTTTTCTTTCATGCAATTCAGGAATTTGACGCTGAAAACAAAAATGCTACAGACTTGGAGACTTGCATAACTGACACACTTTTCATTTGCAGAAAACCTGTGCCACAAAGTTCTGTTATCTATGTTGTTGACTGTCAGACATCTTGAACATCTATCAGCTGGAGAAACAGCACTGAGCATTTTGTCTGTACTTTCTGCTAAAGGTGGGAGCAGGAGGATAACACACAGATAACACACTACTGGGTGTTTGAAAATCTTGCACAGGGTGGGGATTAGGCCACAGTTGATGAATTGTGACGTACTTCTACTGACACCAAACTATAACACAAGTAGCTGTTTGTGCATCCAGCCTCTGTGCAGCTATCCTGTGTTCAAGCACACTGACTTACAATATCTGGCACATATACTTCAATATGTGCAGAGTATATAAGATTAAGCTTCACTAATCTCATGTCATCAGAAGCAAAATTAATACTGGTCTTTAGCTTCTGAACATTGTACACACACATCAGATTATTAATAACCTCTAGATACAGGCCCCTCCTCTCATACCTGGAGATTGTGATATGCAAGAGTGAAAGGAGCTGAGATTTGATTTTGCTCATTGAGGAGGCTACCTCTCTGCTTGCTTTTGAATGCAGCTTTCACTCTTGAGCATGAATAAAAGATTTGCTACCTTCTTGCCATTTGAAGATTTGCAGGATCAAAATCTCAAAGCAATTCAGACAGAAGTGCAATGCAGGGCAGAAATTTCAACACTCAATTTGAAAATGTAACAAATAATACCACTATGTCCACAAAATTAATCAAACTATAGTAGACCATGCTCTGCCCTCATGTGCAGCACTCTCCCAACAGTAATAGCTACCCAGAATAAATCTGGCCAACCCAGTTTTAATTACCTTTGGCTGTGCTACTATCCTTTGTTTGGAACTGTAAGTCCTTTTCAACAGGAGCATTGAAGTCCTCCTGGGGCGGAATATGATTTTCCTGCTTAAGACCTCTTCTGATCAAAGTGAGCCGAACCGTTTGTCCTGTGTGCCGCAAAACGTCAACTGCTTGCTGATTAGTAAACCCCTGAAGATTTGTTCCATCCACCTGCAGAATCAAACAGCTTTTCAGTCCACCCAAAAAAAAAAGAGGCCAGGGCAAAATACTATGGTGAGCTCTCAGCATCTGTTAGCCTGCGCACAAAGCAAGCGGAGGGGCAAGAACAAAACCTGTATGACTTAGCGAAATTGGATATGCTAAGCACTTCCACTGGAGTACCACACAGCTCAGCGACAATCAGCACTACAGCAAAGAGAGGGGAAGTGCTTCAGGTGCCCACAGTGGTGCAGCCAGGCAGATCGGCTCTGCAAAGTGGGAGAGGACACAGCATGTGCTGAGCAGGGCACATTGAGCAGTCTGCCTGCTTGACCACTTCAGCCATCTCTACCTCCAAGGAGAAAATACTGGGTGAATAAACCAGTACAGTCATGGCTAGGAGTGCTGGTGACACAAGGGTTAAGGAAAGATGTATCAATCCATGGTGGTAGAAAGAACTACAGAGTGTAGTCATTCTGAGGCCAAGAAATCTCAGATATAGTAACCTCTACTACTGAACACCATGAAATCCCCTTTCCCAATCAAACACTGTCAAAACCAACCAGATGTTATTACTGGTTCATCATTTTAATATTTTAAAGAATAAGATTTTGGCCAACGCTGTTTGAAACTATCTCATTAACTTATTAATTCAGGGGTTTTTTTCTGGAAATCAAAACTTCGGCATGGTTCAACTTCATCCCATTATCCCTAGCACACACTCCATTTTATTATTCTCCCTGCAAACTCTGTAATATTCTATTATTTCTCAATTTACCCTTCTGTGCCTTAAATTTCTAAAATACTTCTAATAATACTATGTTCCTGTAGCTTTTTCTGTCTATCTACACAACACACGTATTTCATTATTTTAATTGCTCCTCCATGAAGAACGAACCCCCCTGGACTCTTAGTCATCATGTTGTTTTTCTCTTCTTCCACCGTTGGTGCTCTTCTAAGTATAAAGTAATCAAAAATCGGATGGGGTTATTTTTTCTCCATGCTTAAGCAAACCATATTTAAGAAGTGTTTATTATTCTTTTGTCTGAGATCACTCAAATAATTTTCTTCTTCTGCATTTGCAGCAGAAGAAGCAAACTGCAACAATCAAGTTCAGCCATCTGTATTCAGCATGTAAATCATTACTAAAACATATATACTTCCACAAACAAACATGCAGGCACATTTAGAGAGAGACAATAACTTGTTCTCAGTGCTGCCTAAGGAGATATCTATGAGAGACACAAAAATGCGCTCCCTGCATTCATGACCTGATTTTCACTACACAAAAACATTTTATGGATGAAAGTATGTTCTTTTTTTCTCTGAGCACCTAAAACTTTAATAAAATACTTTTAAAAATAATTTTGAAAAGTTGTGCAAATTTAATCAAACTTCAGAACTTTGCACTTACTAAGCTCCTACTGACAAGATACACACATACAACAGAGATTTTTAAAAGAAGTCCAAGTGTGGATAGCCTAATCAAAAAGATAATGTGATCAAATATTTTTTCAAAAAAGGACTCATCATTTCAACAGTAATCCTAAGTATTTTAAAAAAGTAATATATGAGCATTTTTTTACAACATAAGCAGAATTTCATAGACAAGTGATCTCGCTTCTTTCTGTGTTTACTTACAACTATAATTTGATCTCCCACATGGATTCTGCCATCATGTTCAACAGCACTCCCCTTTGTAATGCTTTTCACAAAGATACCAGAAGGTTCTGGGATGAAGAAACAGGTAAAATTAAATTAACTAATTTATTAAGAAACAATTTAAATAATGCAACAATCTCTAACTAATGGCACCAATCAAAGAGAGGAAAAAAAACCAACCCACAATCTCAAAGTAAGATAAGAAAATAATCATGAAGAAAAGTAATGATTTAAGTAAAACATACATATTAGTATTTTCCTAAAGGATGAACCTGATTATTGTTGGCTTGCATTGGACCAGATTTCATTCAAAATCCTACAATGTAAATTCACAATTCTTGCGGCAAAACAAGAAACATTCCAACTTACTTTAACCTAAATGTTGAAACCAACATCAACAATGAACATTGTTTGTCAAATTTGGACAGAAAATTCAGCTTGAGTACACTAATCTGGTAAACTCTGAACTTTCTACGTACTTGGGAGCTGCTTAAGAAAATGCATGTTTGTATAGCCAAATCCAGAAAATTATAAGTAAACAGGACTACAACTTACATTTGAACCAGCTTTTAAGTACAGCTACCAGTATTAGATAAAATTAGATACAAAATTTAAAAAAAAAAAAAAACCACAACACAAAAAAGCCAAAACCAAACAAAAAAACCCTAACAGAACTACCTATTAACTAGACAGTTACTAATTTTGAATCAGAAGGAAAAGGAATATATAGAGAATATCTACTGAAGGGACATTTTACTAAAAGAAATCCATTTTAGGAGAAATACACTTGCCTGTGAAACAATTTCACCAGCTCAATAAACTGAAAATCTATGGAGTTCCTACATGCACGTTTTGCACAGCATACATGAAATTGAGAAAAATAACAGCATACACAGGCATGAAATCAGGTCTGACAGTCACAGGCCTGCAACACTGATATCAGAAATCTTATAAGAATCTACTTTCTCTCAACAAATGTTCCCATTCTGTTAAATGAATATGTTTATTATGAAGATAATTCACTACAAAACGCATTCTAAAAGTTGTCAGATCCTTTACAGACTTGAACTTTTTACTGGACCTCATTATGACAAAAGTTAGCAGGAAGGAAGGCTAATGATTCAATTCAGTTTAGGAAAAATAAGATTATAAATATATTACAGTCACATCATTGACAAGTCTCTTTTTTTTTTTTTTTTTAAGTTGTTGCATCCACCCACAGGCTGGTCTTACTGAATTCCAGGCATTCTTATATCCTCTAACAGCTGGACGTAACCCAAATGGCTAATGTATTACCTTGTAAGAGCCTTTTAAAAATGAAAATGTAATTTTAAAAGCCCAGTTCGTTCTAACAAAGAGGGTTCAACCAATTTTAGAACTGTTTTTCAAAAAAATATAAGCACAAGCTTTAGCCAAAAAAGTGAAGATAAAATTTGATTTAAAAATAGAGGTGGGATTCTATAATAACACCAATTGCTTTTATTCCAAATGTCCTTCTCACAAAAGGAAAACAATACTTTTGCCTTTACAAACTTTTAAATAGATTTTTATATTGTTAAAGGTTCTTTTAAGAGATACTATACCAAAACTATGTCTTGGATGCATATACACGATAGTATGTAATAGATTGTATAGTAAAGTGCAGAAATTGACCATTACCTGATGTTTTGTCTCCAATGTAACCAGCAATAGTTATTCCTAAACCCTGGTTGTTTTTAGTAAGTTCAACATTAAATTTCTCCCCATCTTCACAGCCATCAATAGAAGCATCTGTCTAATAAGGAAACAGTGATAAGAAATGAAGCTTTTTTTTAAAAATCCTTCACATTCTTTGAAGTCATTAACATGTAAAATTTGATTCAAACATAAAAAGGGGAATGCAAACTTCCCTTATACTCTTTGCTGGTCACCAGAGAAACGAGAAATAGGTTAACACTCCTCATGATGGAGCAATACAGGGCAGATCATGTACTTTCCAGCCTACTGCTCCAGCATATTACCTCTAACCTATAAAATCATTATTTGGTGACTAAAATGATTGGTGAGATTTGTACAAATTGAATTATGAATTTCTTGTACAATAAGTTACACATATATGAATATGTAGCTTGCTGCTATTCTGGTACCTCCTCAGAACCAGCTTTTGATGTCTGCATTATTAAAAAGAAGAAAAAAAATCATAATTCTATTTTGTATTCTATTTGTTTAAATTTCTGTTCAATAACTATTGCTATGTTTGTTAAACTTGTCAAGTTTAAATCATACTAAAAGCTATAGTTAGACAATTACATTTCTTGCTTTTGAAAGACTTAAAAATTGGGGTTTAGTAGGGCACAATTATACTTCCAGCTACCTAAATAATCTCTGTTAATGTCCACTATAAGCCTCTGAATTTCAGTAACAAAGGATTTGGGAATAAATATATAATTTATTTACTGTTAATGGAAGTAAAATACACATTAAAATCCCATTTTAACAGTAGTGAGTTTGTAGTAAAAGAAAAAACTACTTATAAAAATTAATTTCAACTTGAAAATTTTGGTTTCAAATTTTTTATCTTTCAGTTGTCATACAGTTTCTACCAATTTCAATATCTGATATATATCACTATATGATTACACATAGAAGGCTTTAATTTCACTGTATTTATATGGGCATCAATATTTATGCATACATTTAAAACGGGATTTCATAAAACAAAAATCCTTCAAGATCCTGGTATACTCTTCTTTTATTCTTTCCTTTCTGCATGTCAAGAAGCAGCTAATACTTTTTAAAGTGCCAATACTGCAACCAGGCAGGTACTAATTAAACCCAGTTTGACTAGGTAAGTATGTATGTGCCTAAAAAAAGACGACTTCAGGAGAGCTGTGATGCTACTTGCCAAGAGAATCTAATTTCAGTTCTTTACCTGAACAACTCTAACGAAAACCAAAATTAAGCACAAGAAAAATAAATTGTTACTGCATAATCATCTTGCTACTTGATAATACAGGATTACTTTGGCCAGAGGTAATACCACTAAAAAACTGATCCAATTTCTATAACCTCATGAATTTTTACAGGATAGACATCTACAGGTGATCATGACAAGAAGTGGCCATTTCGAAAAGCCATTCTGCTCTCAGTAATAACTGTAAGAGCATCTTGAAGTCGTCACCCACACTATATCTGATAGGAAGAAAATAACAAACCAAGCTGTTTGCATCATCTTCACTTCAGACCCAAATCAGTAAGTCTTGCACAACCATTAACAAGGTGCTCCTTCCAAGAAAAAGACTTTGTATATGCAGAAGTTTAAAAATAGCCCTACCTTCTGCCAGAAGAGATGTACCAGGAAGAAGGTATTGAAAAGTAAAGAATGTGAGTAAGGTGTCAAAAAATTTAAATTTTGCCCCTTGGCTGCTTTGAGCTACTTCCTCAGTACTAGAAATCTTATACCTCCCGCAGCTGCAGACACTTCCCTCAACATTGCATCATATATTGGTGGTGAATGGTGTTGTTGACCAGTCACTAGTGGTGTCCCTCAGGGATCAGTGCTGGGCCCAGTCCTGTTTAATATTTTTATTGATGATCTGTATGAGGTGACTGAGTCTACCATTAGCAAATCTGCAGATGACAAGTTCAGAGGGAGTGTCAATCTGCTGGGGGGTAGGAGGGCTCTGCAGAGGGGCCTGGACAGGCTGGATCAATGGGCCAAATCCGGTGCTATGAGATTCAACAAGGCCAAGTGCCAGGTCACATGCCCTTTGGCCACAACAATCCCATGCAGCACTACAGTGTGGGGAAACAGTGGCTGGACAGTGGCTAGGCAGAAAGGGACCTGGGAGTACTGATTGACAGGAAGCTGAACATGAGCCAGCAGTGTGCCCAGGTGGCCAAGAAGGCCAATGGCATCAGGAATAGTGTGGCCAGGACCAGGGAAGTGATTCTGCCTCTGTACTCAGTGCTGGTGAGGCCACACCTGGAGTGCTGTGTCCAGTTCTGGGCCCCTCAGTTCAGGAAGGACATTGAGGTGCTGGAGCAGGTCCAGAAAAGAGCAAGCAGGCTGGTGAAGGGAATTGAGCACAAGTCCTGTGAAGAGAGGCTGAGGGAGCTGGGGTTGTTTAGCCTGGAGAAGAGAAGGCTCAGGGAAGACCTCATGACTCTCTACAACTCCCTGAAAGGAGGTTGTAGCCAGGTGGGCATCGGTCTCTTCTCCCAGGAAACAAGGGAGAAAGACAAGAGGGCACAGTCTTAAACTGCACCAGGGGAGGTTTAGGTTGGATATCAGGAAGAGGTTCTTCACAGAAAAAGTAATTGGGCATTCCAATGGGCTGCTCAGGGAGGTGGTGGAGACACCATCCCTGGAGGTGTTTAAGGAAAGTCTGGATGTAGCACTTAGTACCATGGTCTAGATGACATGCTGGTGTTTGGTCATGGGTTGGACTCAATGATCTCAGAGTTCTTTTTCAACGTAGTTGATTCTGTGATAACCTCAAAAAGGCAAACACTGAAGAAATATACACAGATTATCAAATTCAGCTTTTGTTTTGAGACTCATGCTTTTCAGACAATACTAGGGCTAAATACGGATCCTCTATCTAAAATACAGAGAGGTTTTATGCCTGAGTGCTGTAAAGACACAAAAGTACCAGTTTGTCTCTCCTGTTAGATGCTCAGAAGCCTCCATGTTAAGATAAACTTTCTTTGTCTTATAGCCACAAAAGAGAGGATGTTTCTTTTTCACAGATACCGCTACAATGGACAGGGGCAACATTTATCAACCATAAATTGTTATGGCTTTTTCTCTTCTGAAGTGACCTATTTGAAATCTAAATTGTAGCTGCAAAGAAAGTAAAACAAAAAATTTTCCAAGGCCTAAATTCTATATAGCTGTAGGCTCAAAACCACTGAACTTTTTCTTCTCTCATTAATTTACTCCACATACTCACATTTAAATGTATCACCACATGTGACAAAACAGTACTGTTCCTGGTTCTTTTGAAACCAGACTTTGTTACAAAGATGCAAATGGCCTATTTTGTAGAGGGTTTGAGCTGACAGGTCATGATGATATACACGGCATTTTTTAAGTGGCTGACAATCGCAGAGGAGTAACAGTGCATAGTACAATCATCAGCAGGAGAATAAGGGTAGCGGCTGATGGACTAGTTTTAGAAAATATCTAGCAAATAAGCAATGACAGGTGATGTGGGATAGAAGCAGCATCTGTGTGCTGGTTGGCACAGGGAGGAACTGTCTGATGAAGAGCTGAAATCATATGAAAAGAAGAAATATTTCTGGAGAGGAAAAAGACAAGTGGACAGAGAAATGCTACATAGTCAACCAGTTCTGTCTGAAGAAAAGATTTCATGGCATCAGCTGTTTCCAATGTAATAACATACCCTTGCAATAAACCCAGAACAAGTTGTTATTCAGATTATACTTATGGAGGTCCTAAATCTTATTCCCAAAAGTCTTTAAGAGTATAGTTACTTGAATTGTGGACTTATTACATTCAAATTCTCCCAGACTGTCAGATGAGAACATCACTAGTGGGAAAGAAAATTTTTGAGAAAATAAGGACAAAAGACATTCAAAGAGCAAGTAAAAAGAAAGGAAGTTTATAGCAGATATTTGCAATGAGTTAAGTATATTCACTGTTGCTTACCTGTTTATCTAGTGTTGAGGTGGGTACTGGTGTACCTGGAGGAACCGCTGGAAGAGGTGGCTCCTCAATAGGACCCCTTGCAATTACCAGTTTCACTCTATTTCCACACTGCCTTAGAACTTGTGCCACCTGCTCACTGCTCATTCCAGCTAGGTCTGTATCTCCGATTTTCAAGATGTGATCTCCACTACACAATCTCCCATGCTGGAGGAAAAATAATTATGAAAAAAATCTTTTAACATCCTGCTACTTCTTCCGTGTACCATACAGTCAGAAAAAGACCACATAGCTATAGTCACTTTTACAACATATGAACCAGGTGACTTTTTTTGGGTGTCAAGTCAATATCCTGAAGGTTGCCTAACAGCACACTAATTTTACTAGGAATTTCCACAGAAACACCCAGGAGATAATTTTTCAAGCAGTCACCCAAGCACACAAAAATAAAAGTGTTTTGTTATGGTTATTACCTACTGATATTTAACAACCACATGTAGACTACAGAACTTCAGGTTTCATTTCCAAGCTTCATTTCCACACCTCTAAAGACAGTAAAAAAACATTTATTCTGCTTTGCACTTCTATTTAAAAACTAGTTCTCTGGATCAACCATAACTTCAAAATAAAATTAATTTCTCTCTTACTGTGATCCAGTTATTTATGTATTTACACTTGTTTACTCTCCTACTGATTTACATTTAATTAATAAAAAAGCTTTACATGAATTTAGGTCATATGATGAGTATTAAAGAGACAGGTCTGTAAAAGGAACCTATCTACCTGCTCAGGGAAAGAGTGCAGCAGTAAATACGCTCCATGAATCTCCAGGTTATCAGCCCTCTACTGCTGTTGTTGGAAGACTGACCAGCCTCTGTGCCTTGACGATCATTAATGCAGCCCTGGGTACTTGTCCAATGGACAAGCTTGAAATCAGCTGTGATAAACAAATTCAATTCACATGAGCCCTTCAGGCAAGTGTAGAGCCTGTGTTCTGAAGCAGACATACAAAGTCAGACGTCTGCTCCAAGCCTCAGTAAGCCCAGCAGAGAGAAGCAGATCATCTTAGCTGTTAGGGCAGAGCAAGTCAGTCTTTGGAGTCTACCCTAACCTTGACTACAACCAGTACACTCATGAAAGAATTAAGAGTCTAAATTAATATCACAAACATGTATAATGGAACAGGTTTGAAAATGTAATTTAGAGCCTAATTCAGCTTTTACACTCAAATGTATGGCACTAAACACACCTTTATTGAGGATAAATTTCACTACTTGGTCTTTTTTTTTTAATTTATGTGGACAAAAGCTACCAGTATTTAGCATGATCATAAAAGTAAAGAGTAACTTCACACCTTACTGAATGGTAACAGAAAGGTAGATTGAATGTACCTGATCAGCCACCCCTCCTGGGAGGATGGTTTTTACAATCACTCCAGTTGACTTTCCTCCCACTATCCCAAATCCCAGACCTGAGCCATCATTCACCAACTCTATGGTCTCCACATGCTGCCAGTGAACCTAAAAGGAACAAATATGCAAATGGTTAAAAACTTAGACTCATAGAATATATGATTTTTATAGGTATAAAAAGGCCCTTAAGATTATCAAGTAAAAATCTTCACACAGGTATTAGAACTTGAGAACTATTTTCCCTTTTTTCTTGAATATGTTTTGGATAATGGAAGGTTGGAGGAAGGTGGACATAAGAGATCTTTTTAACAATTACTATCTAAGATTTCATAATTTTTAAGCAATAAGTTGGTAGTTCCAAAACAGGTGAAACTTCTCTGGTACAAAACAGCTGGGTAGTGAGTCAGACCTTTCAAGAATCTGTTGAATTAATTTAAGTAGCATCTCAGGGTGCCCACCTTCATGCCCCTTTGCAGTCAGTAAATACTGCTGCTAGGAAATCTCATAGTACTAGAAATTAAAGTCTTCAGCTAAGCACATGTTCACATTGGCCACCATAAAAAAGCACAGGTGAAAGCAAAATCTCAATTCAGGGATTTTTAAGGCTGAAAGTAGCACCAGGTATTGCAAAGTAGGCATGAGCAGAATTGCCTCATGTAATGAGCAAAGATTTCTGCACTGTCTGATGTCAGCAGCAGCAGGATCACACAGCTCTGACGGCAGACTTCATGTTCTGACAGAAGCAAAACTGCTCTGAAAGAAAGACAAATGCTAGGTCGCTCACATGGGGCACTACTTGAAGGGACAGCTGGAAGCTCATAGTGTGCTTTCTCCTGAAGAACACGCCACACCATTCAGTCATCTGAAACTTGAAACTGCATTGCTTCTACATCAGGTAGGATCTTGAAGTAAGACTTTATTTTGGCATAATCCAGGCATTGCAAATTCCCTGTGGCACCCATTTGGAAATCCACAGTCTTAACATAAACCAATGATCAATCAAAGCCTGAAGAGAAAAGGACAGCTCCTAATACACTGCATTTGAAAGCAAAGAGAAAACAAGCACATGCTAAAAAACCAAAAGCTGTGGCATGTTTGAAAGGAACATTTTTTCAAGCAAGTGTTGCTGTTTGGAGAATACAGAGGCAACCACATGGAGAAAAAAGTGTGTCACAGCAATAATGGAAGAGAGTAGGCCTCTCCTATGTGCTGGCAGGAAAGGTTAGGTCAGTCAGCTGTATTTCTGCACACAGATGAAAAGAGTAATTCTGACATTCTTTCACTCAAAATTTTACCCTAATGATTAAAAAAACCTCTAAAACAGTTGCTTTTTCCAGACTGCTCTCTCTATACTTCTGGTTATTGACTTCCTTAAAGAAGGGTCACAAATGACTGAACAGCAAAATCTACAGAAATCGAAGACAGATTGTTTCATTCCAAGACAAAGCATTATATGAAGATACCAGCATTCAAAAGAAAGGAATTGTAGCAGAGCTGTTTTCTGGGGGGTCCTAAAGTGCATCCATGCACATGGCATTTTAATGGCTCACTCTTGTTACTTTACTTGGATCCCCCACGCTAACAGAACAGAGAAACAAACACACAAGTACCCATTCAGCTGGTAGTGCAGATCAGATTGCAATGCCTCAAAAATTCTGTTTGCCCAAGCAGAAGGCAAAGAAAAAAAAAGATCTTGTTTACTGCAATCTCAAAATATAGCTTCATCAAGGTAAACATGCTCTATTTGCACTGGTAGGTACAGATAATTTGGTAAAGGAAGGAACATATTCAAGATGAAGATTTCCCCCCAGCAAACTTGAATATTTTCTACTTTTTTGCATAGGCAAAGGTACAGTAAAGATAAACAGAAGAAAAACCTTGAGAAATTTGAAGGCTCGTACATACAAGTTACCAAAAAAAGTCTCAAAATACTGTATGCAGTAAGTACATACATGACCAGAACTGAATACACCGATGTTTGGGGTATACTCACCGGGTTGGAATGGGCTGAAACTGTGCTAGCAGCAGATGGAGACCGAGAAACTACAGGACTGATGAGCTGAGGAAAAGTGCCCCTGGCCACAACTAGCTGGACATTATCTTTTGCTTTCTGTAGGATGCTGATAGCCTGTTGATGTGTAATTGTCTGATCAAGGGCTTGTCCATTAATAGCAAGGATTTGATCTGCTTCCTTCAGCTTTCCATCTCTGTCACATAGGTGTAAACAGGGAAGGGGGATGACAAAATAAACAAACCAGAAAAACCAAGGAAGCATTGCCACAGAAATTGCAATATTTTGACAATTTTCCAGTATTTTTAATAACCCAGTCTCTATTCCCCCCACTTTTTAATCCCTCCCTGCAGTTGTGCTGAAAGGAGCTGATGCGCACCCTGGTGATCGCTTCCTTTGAAGTTAATCCCACTGCACTGTCCCCTGGCTACTACCCCCTAGCTAGCTTTCTTCTCCCTGGGCCCCCATGCGAGACTAAGCATCTTAATCGCAGTCACTCCCAACCACAGCCTGGGAGCTTGTGTTTATTCCTGACTTTGAGCCTCTTGCTTTACACATCAAGTGCTCCACTTTGTTCAGCGCCCCCATCCTGAATATTCATCAGTGTAAAGTGGAACACACTTTCATCAAGATGCTACAGAAACAAATTTTGTTTTGCTGGAAAACAAGGGAAAAAAAAGAAAAGAAAAAAAAAAGAAAAAAAGAAGGGCATGCAATAAAGAAACAGAATTAAAATGATAAAACAGATTCCTTTTATACAAGAGGAAAAAATTAAAATTTAAAAAAACTCTTTGCTTTCTGACAAAGGAAGCACTACTGTAAAATTACATACTGGGCCCTTCCCCAGATCTAATCCAAAGGAAATGCATGAAGCCTACAAAGTTGGCTGCTTCCTCCACCTATTCTTTGCTTCCCAATGCACCAATGTGTTGAAAACAAAGGGCAGCAATGAAAACAAGGATCCCTATTACACCAGCTTTTGTGAGAATCTACACTGTAGAAGCTCAGTTACAGCATTCAGGAAAAAGTATCTAGCTTCAACCCATAGTATTTCACTTGTGAATTTGAACTGTTTTCCAGAGTTCTTTCGAAGACTTATTATTGTCAGAGCCTTTCTCATTTATAATGCCTGTAACAGTTGCTGAATGTTTCTCTTCTGCACAATGAATCAGGCAGGGCCTAACTAAATAAAGACAGGTCTGATCTCCATGTAATAAAAGAAGTAAAAGCAAATACCACTTGAATGGGAAATAAAAAAAAAGGGAATTTAGGCAAATTAAAAAATAGTGTGAATACCCAGAGCATGCCACTCTCCGTAAATGAATTAACTCTGCAGACCATGCTCTGGCCTCTGGTAATAACACAGTGTTCAGATCACAAATAATCTGAAAACTTCTCCCTACAGCACAGCAAAAAACAGGAACAACATGACACACCTCTCCATACAACATACAGAGTTCACTGTAAAGCAGCTCCGCTCAGGATCCTTGATCACTGATACACCTCACCAGCCTGCAGTGAACCTGCACTGCTGCCCTTCACCACTAAGTTCGTTTGCCCCTGTGAGCTGGTCTTACAGTAGAAATCCATTTCTCTCAACACTACTTGTGACATCTGAGTTTAAGTCTAAAGTATACTTTCAGCAAGCTATTATTATTGCAGAGCTTCTGTAACATCAACTTAATATCTCTTTGAATATCTCTGAGTTTAGGTCAAGCCTTGCTTGACTTTAAAGTTTGGTTTCCCACCTGCTCAGTGGGCCCTACCTAAGAAATAAGACTGCTAGTTACAGCTGACTTTTTTTTGCGTCAAACTGTTTTTCAGTGCACTTGAGGATGGTAAAATATGGATTTCAGTGTTAAAAGACAAAACACAGTATGGCAGCCTCCCCTTTTTCCTTATTTAAAAGGAGGTATTAAACCACAGAGAAGGACATCTGTAGCTTCTACAAATTCAGAACAGATCATGTGTTGCCCTGTTCCAACATCACAAAAACTGCAGTGTTGCGTAATTTTACATCTGCAATGATGCTTAGGATATGAGGGAAACATGCCCTTATACCACAAAAATAACAGCACTAGCACAACTAAATTGCACTGTCACATTAACACTTGGTGTAGTAAAATATTCCAGTAGTTTTCTTACCTATGTGCCACACTTCCCTCCTGGATTTCTTGCACAAATATTCCTAGTTCTCCCCTGTTTTCACTCTTGAGTCCCACGACACTGAAGCCCAGACCACCACTTAGAGGTTTAGTAAGTTCAATTGTCTCAACAAGACGACCCTGTTCAGTAGAAGTTAAAAAAAGAGCACAAATGTTAAAAATTAACAAAGGTTAAAAATGTTAAAAAGCAGTAATAATGAATGTTATAAAAAACTTGGAAATTACTTTCTAATTCACCAGTTACAGTTGGGCAAAACTATACAAGCTAATAACTGAAACATAGTTGTTCATTTCCAATTTTTTCCTATCATATAGAAAAGATTTGAGAAATGAAAGACTACCACAGCCCAGAGACGAAATCAGGAAAGAATAGCTAAATATACAGAGTTTATGCTTAGTAGTGAAAAAGTAGGACATGCATGTATAAAATTTTAAAGGGTACAGGTTAACTTTCAAGCAAAACTAGAAAAAGAGGATGAATTTCAGAAAGACAAAAAAAGTAGGACTATGCAAAAGGCTCTCCAGAAAAGCATTAGACTTCCCCTATCAGGCTTTTTTACAGATTATTTATGAAAATCCTAGAATATATGCCTGGGCATTTTCAGCTCCAGCCACTTGCAGAGGCTTGTACATCATTTCTAGCTGCTACAGGAAAGAAGTAAGATCACACAGCAAGACCAAAAAGGAATTTTCCATTTTATTTCCAAGAAAGTTTAGTTGTTATTAGTTATGGATACAAGAGCATGCTCTGAGAAACCATGTCGCTCATGCACAGAGAGGCAGTGCTACAATGTGCATAAAAAGCTAATGGGACGCTGATCTGTGAGACACACATTGACCAGCTAAGGACAGTAACTCAGCAGTGACAATATCAAGGCTACTTTTTCACCTGCTTTCTCATTTACTAATTGTTCCTAAATTAAAAGGTTACTTTTATTTTCTATAGCAAGTGACCACTAGTTTGCATAACAATTGCTTTTAAATAAACATACATGTATTTTAATCAGTAGTCCACATTATGTGGTTACTGTAAGATAAATTTACCTGGGACATGTTTCTGATCAGCTGCTCAAAGTCATCACTGGAGGACTTCCCATTAATCTGAGGAGTAATGGATCTCATTGATGCTTCCAGCACATTAGCTGGGCTGCCATTCTGCTGAGCCAACAAATATGACTCATTAAGTGGTAAGGACCCCATGTTCACACCATGATGGAGAAGCTGAGGGAATTCATCAGGGGAATGTATGGAGGGCACAATATTTACCTGTAAAAGATTGATGGCAACACAGATTTACAGAAAAAGCAGAAACCTCCCACCTACGTAAGAGCATCACAGTAACTCAACTGATTGTTATAAGTACCTGAAACGCTAATCTGCAATTTTAAAAAGACATTTTAAAAAGAAAAATTACCTTCAATATTTACAATCAAGGTAAAGTTGTGAATTACCAGCATAAAACACAGAAATTGATGAGAATAATTTAAAACTGCCTAAAATTAATTTTTTCCTACCAGCATAGCAATCTTGAAGTATCCCATCACAGCGGAAGAAGTAAACAAGTGTTATCAAATGTCTTCTACAGTATCAGTATTTAAAAAAAAAAAAAAATCCAAATAAATGTATCACTTATTTTAAAAGAAAAAAAAAGTATTTATATATTGGTGAAAAAAAGAAACCAACCTCACCAGCTACATAGAGGGCAAATTTCCCTGGTCAGGTTTCTGCATCACAATGCACTACCAATGTGACTATCTACAAGAGCCAGAGTTAAATAATAAACTACTGAACAAGTTCAAAACCACCAGGCTGATCTGAAAATCAAAACTGTACCTTTACACAGACAGACTTGACAATACTCAGAACTGAAAAGAAAATAAGAAATGTCTCCATTTCGCCCAGTCATAGTAAACTACCTCTTCTCAAGCAGATCTCTTCCAACCAATCTAAGGAATGGCTGCTGGTGATACAAAGCTGACCTAACAGATGAGCAGAATTCCTCATCTGGCTGCTGTCCTGCTTAACTGTTGGTTGTCAACACAAACCATTTTACTCCACATAGATTTGCTGCATACTTGCTTGGCACACTAACCACAATATTGCAGTTTCAAATACTCTTCATAGTTTTGCAGTGCACATTTTCTAGCATTCTGTACCTCAATACAGAAGACGAGGGTTCCCCTTCCTTAAAGTCATATTTTTAAACTTCACGTATTAACAAAAATTTCAAAACTGTAAATATATTCTAAAATGCCTACTGCACCAGTCTTAAATGTTTAAGCATGTTACTTCTATTAGGTTTATCATATCATTCTCCCAATAGTCCGGTCATTAAAAGGTCATTATTTCTCTCCATCACACAATTCCATCTCATCTAGATGCTTTAGGAAAATACAATAAACAAATGTTGTTAATCAAACAACTTATGTGCCTGAGAAGACCTTCAAGTTAAAGAAAAAATACCACAAGACAGCATTGGGAAAAACACAGTTCTTAGGAGTACCTAGCCTGCTCTGCTATAAAAAACTGTTAAGAGGAAAGTCTGGATGTTTGGAACTCAGATATTTCCATAACATATAGATTATGTTCTGTTGTCCGTATTTGTGAGGAATTAATTGGCTGCATTTCTTACCTGCATGAGGCCATATAATAGGTTAATTCAATTCCACTTTCCCAATGTCCTCCATTTCAATGTCTAAAAGTATATACCTGAACTTGGTCAAATACGTGCTTTATTTCTTGTTCTCCTCCACCTCCAAATCTTCTTGTAGAAGATAGTAGTTATATTTCTTCCCACAAAAAAAATTGTCATGGGTGAAACTATAAGTCCTAAGAGTATCTAACATCTACCCAATACCACTGCAATTAACCAGTCTTAGCTGTTTCTGTTTAACATTTTTACATTTCTACAGCAGGATAAAGCAGCTGAAGAGTATATAAGATGCAAATCCAAACTAACTTTCATGTGCACTCAAAGGTCGCACTATATTGGTTTCATATGACAATGTTAGTAAGTTACAGATACAAGTTCATTTTCTAAATTGCAGTGCTCATTCCAGAAAACAGAATTTAGTTATACTTTCTGCTGTAGGTTACCATCCTCAGAAAACTCTTGGTAAAAGGACACTAATCACTTGCAGAACTAATCACTTGCTCAAGCAAAGCCAGCAAATTCGCCTAAACAAAGAACAGCACAGTATGAGCAAAACCTACTGATTTTGCCCAATGTCAATTAGTGAGCGCTCACAGAACCTTTCTGGTGCAGCTTTTGGAGTGGTAACCTCAAACTAAGTGGGTAAGACTCAGAAGATGAGAATGGTAATGACTCCAGTCAATATGATTACACTTGGAGAAAAATACATGAAATGTCTGTCATTTCATCCAGGACCATCCTAACTGCATTATTCTGTCTTGGGGCCTTTTTAATGTGGCAGAAGCTTCCTGATGCTTCATCCTTCAGGATGGCAGAAGGGGAAGTCACTGATATTACTGATAGTCCTATAAAATCTGTGTTTGAATTCTCCATTCTGAATAGAATGTACAGTCATTTTTTAAGACAAAAAGAAGTAAAATCCTACCATTTTAAAAAGCAAAATTTGAGACTAGAACCCCTTCTGCTTTAAAAAGAAAGAGCTATGCAGGCAAAAAAAGACAAACAGAATTTTAAGCCACAGAAACTGACTGTAGCTGTGGCTCCACTGCTCTAAGTTTATTCCATGTTACCACATGGTGTGAAAAATGCTAACAATAGAGACAATACCACCAACTCATGAAATCTGGATGAAAAGTCTATGTCTTTCCTGTCTCTGGAGTGCTCTTTTACACACAAATGTGTAGGGAGCAAGTTGCATTAGAAAAATCAAGCAAGGCATGAAAAGGTATGTCAAGCCATAGTAATCCAAAATGATTACAATTTTAGAAGTGTGAAAGATACAAGTGGTGTTTACATCATGATACTGTTTTTACTAATATACAATCACACTTTCTGTATAGAACAAATGGAACTACACATCAAAAATAAAAGGTTATAGAAAACGACTCACTGCCCTTACAATGAACTGTATTGTATGCCTTATCTGAATCTAAGATACTTCTTGTACCACTCAACATCCCATACAGGACAACCTTCAGCATGCAGAAGGACCTCTGGGCCCATCCTGTACTATGATCTATATACATTCTCCTACTACTAATTAACAGTTTATTGATTGCTTTAGGCAGCTCATTTCAGTGTTTGCAGTGTTCTAACAGCAGGGTAGCCACGATGGGCACTTTAACTTCCACCTGAACATTTGCCCAGTATCACCATATTATTCTCTGTTTAAGTTTGAAGGAGTTCTTCTATTAAGATATGACAATGTCCTTAGGGATTTATGGTTTTCTCTCTGGTAGAAAACTTGGATGTTCCCATGCTAAAATGGAATTAGCTCCAGACCAATTAATTTTTAAGTTTTACATTGTATTTTCATTGACCAAATCCTGTTCAAACTGGCAATATAATGCCCACCTTCTCAGTTTGAAATTTCATCCCTTCTCCGTACTTGTATGAGCTGGGACGTCACTGTAAGCACAGAGGAATAGACTGACCTCACCCATTCCTTCCACCTTTCAAAGCAGAAGATGGTAGTTGTTTATGCTTGTCCAAGACATTGTCCATAATTAAGTAGTAACTCCCTTATTCTGAAGACAATGGATGGTTTTTATTTGCATGATGGTTAAGATATCAACTGAGAAGTGTTGCACACTATAAATAGCAGTAAAAGGAAAAAATAACCCTTCAATCCACACTAGCTTAACTAGAACTTTAAAAGCTGCCCCTCACCTTCAGTACAACCGCACAGTTAAAACAGTATTGAACACAAACACATCAGGAGCAACTGAGAGCAACACCTCATTTTCATCACACCTTTTTTTAAACACGACTACATGTTCAGTGGAGCACAGGAAGCCAACCTCACCTTAAGTGACATCTGACTTCTGAAAATTCAAGAAAAAATGTTAAACTGTTAACAGAGTAAAGTTGTGTGTGTGTGTGTGTGTGTGCATGCATGTGCAAAAAAACCATGTCACAATGTCTCCTCTTCTGAAACATAATGGTTACACTTCAAAAACCATAAAAACACTTATAATGACAGTTATAATGGTACTTATGGTAGAACTTCAGAATCCACAGACAAATCATAAGCAGAAACGTGATCACGAGTCTCTTCCCTGACACTCCTGAAATCCAGGTGTATAGCATGAAAAAGTTCAGAAGAACTGATGCATATTCCCACTAACAACAGAAGTATATGTCATTCCAGGGGTAGCAAAAAACCACAAGTGCAAATCTTAAAATTACAGTGCTCTTGTGGTTGCATGAAGTATTTTTCATAACTTCTAAATTGCACTACTTTGCAGTAATAAATTCACCATAATTCCATCAAGAAATAGCTTTACAGCACTGTGATTGCATAAGTACCATATGAAAGAATATTGCTATGTTTTATAATCTGGCTTATGGCAATTTTCCTTGATTGGCTTTCTCTGAACTGTATGTAGAATCTCCATGTGAAGAATGTGGACATAATTTGCATAAGACAAGAAGAAAAATTCATAAATACCACTGAATATGATAAATTTATGTTACAGTCCCACAGATAGATGCTAAATACAGTCAAGTACTGCTTACGTGCAGTTGTTAAAAATATTTTTTTTTAACAGTGTATAAACATTTAAAGCAATGTGCTCAACATTTCTAAGCCTCAACTTGGACAACAACAAATATTCAGTGTTTCTGTGCTCCAGCCATTGAGCATCGGCCCTTGAACACCCCAAGAAATACAAAGCAGTATTTCACCTGACTGCAAGATCCTGAACAGCAGGAAGGTCAGCTGCAACAGGATCACAGTGGGAGACAGGAAGTGAAGTGCAAGGCAAAGGCTATTTGAGCCCAGCACTGCCAGATGCCCCCAGCCCTACAGAGAAATCCTCCAGCCTCCCAGAACAGGCAGCGCCACCAGCACCCCTCTGATGACTGCACTTTTATAACTCCATCCTCAGGGTGGGTGAAGCAGATCCCAAACTAGAATTTCTCATGAGCACCTCATTTCAAAACACTGAGCAAACAGGTTGTTAGTGGATGGGGTTAAGGATGTGAAGCAAACATTTCTAATTGTGCAAACAAAGCATTTACAGACAATATTAGAAGACAAAATTTATCACTTCTTCCCTAAATTTTCTCTAGCACTGACACACAGCTATCCCCACCACTACGGTGAAGGAAAAACTATGGTCAAACTCACAAGTAAAACAAAAAATCTGAGGAATGCAGCTCAGCCAAGGGAGGGTTATTTTGTTCTGGCAGAGCCCTGAGTGGAATGGAAGTTGGGGGGGGTGGTGAAGAGGAGGAGGTGGATGAGGGGAAGACAAAAAGGAAAGGAAGAGAAGCAGGAGAAGAATGCTAGCATGGTCTGGGTATTTTCTTTAAAATATTTTATAAAGAAATATTATTGAAAAGTTTAAAACATAACAATCTCTGCCTTTTTTTTTTCTGTCATTTCCTTGTCTTCAAACAACTGGACTGTTCTTCAACAGGAGAAAACAAGCATTGACTGAAGAATAAAGACAGAAAGAGACAGAAAAAAAACCTGTTTCTTTCAGTGCTCCCCAGATCAAGTGACTAGTAAAGTCAAAACAGTTAATTCTCAAAAAAAGAAAAAAACAACAACCCTTTGCTGTGCCTCTATTTTCCACTTCAGTTCTTAACTTCACAATGACAGTTTTGCAGTGCAAACAAATCCTGCTTGTTAGTTTAAGAAAGAAAAAAACCCAAACAACTTTAAAGCACCTACCAATAAGCCCCAAAGCATCAGAGTTGCTGACTTTAGCATCATGCCTCCCCAGCGTTCAGATAAAGCAACATACACTCAGTCCACACACTGCACAAACAGACGGTAGAGCTTTCACTATCATCACTCTGCCTTCCAGACACAGTGCCTCAAGCCAGGAATACATCCTGCACTCAAACTTATTGAGCCACTAAAGGACCACAGTGAAATCTCACTGGGTGACCTGCTTCTGCTGGGATACTTGCAGGGAATCTGTTTGACTTAGAAAGTAAATTGCTCTTCTGGCCTCTCTAATCCCATCCCCTCTTTTAATCTCTACTATCCTAAAAGATAGCCTTCTCCTGATAATTTTACAGTAGTCTTGTAGCTCTTTAAAAACTGATTAAAATTACAAGAGCAGTTTAAATAGACTGTCACATTTCACTTTGGGAAACAAAATCCCCATTCAACTGTCATTGCAGCTCATCATTAAACATGGAAAAAAATTAGCCATTCTAATCTCAGCTGGGTAGAGACTGCAAAATCTCGTCATTGCACAGCTCAGCATCCCGTTATCCTGTCTCAAATGCAGCTCTGACTACAAGTGCTTGGGAAACAACTTGTCACCTTCTTTAGTCTGGCATGGTTTGGCCAAAAAGCCTGGTCACTATTCACATGCCTTGCAGTTTTCATCAACTTGTAACTTAAGAGTTTCAAGCACAGTACTCTGTCAGTCACAAAAATTATGTCCTCAAAACTGAGCCTTTGAAAATACCAAGAAGTATAATTTTTATTTTTAACATGAATGCCTTTTTCATTTTTTAATCCTTTGTCCTGTTTCAGTAATCTTTGTAATTATTTAAATAACAACAAGAAAAAACTGACGATCTCATGTTATATTACAGGAAAGAAATGGTTCTACAGAGAAAATACAGGATGAAGACCTGACACAAATCTAAGAATTCAGGAAATACACATTTACGTGTGTAAGTGTTCATATAGGCACACATCAGAAAGGGAAGTCACATCCAAGTAGCTTCCCTGTTAACTAACAGGATATGTACCATGCAACATGCACAAGCCACTAAAGTTATTGCACAAATAAACCTGCAGGGTCAGGACAGATGGTAAAATTATTATTTGCTTTTTAGAAAATATGTGTTTTAAATTACCCACATGTAGTATCAGCTGCTTCATTTTTCTAATTTAGGTAACTGTATTTAAAAAGATAACCATCCTTTAATTTCACAACAAATGTCCAGAAGTGAAAATTTAATTTGTCTTTTCACCAAACTCCCATTAATTTTTCAGGCACACTTTCATTTCTCACTCTGTGTTCCCAGGGTCTGCATCACTTACTTTACAGAATTTTTGAATGTCAGTGTTAAATTCTCATTTTCAAAAAGCAGAGCAAACAAATCTTCAGGACAGGTTTTTTTCCCTATATTTTTTTTAATCTCTCCAATATCATCAAGAGTCTAAATACAACACAGGCAAAATCTGAAACACATGGTGATGAATACAGCACTGTGGACACCACCCTAATTTACTTCTTGCCTGTGCAAAATAGCATCAAGATGATCAACAAGAAACAATAAAGGGCCACATTGTGCTCTTCTGCCACACAGCTGTGTGAAGATTGTGAGGAATCCTCACCACCACAGTCCAGTCAGAGACCAGATGTGGCTCCACACAATGATAAGGTCCATGTGCAGGGTCTGCATTCTTCCACTTCAGCATTTCTGCATACCAGACAGAGCTGACCATCTTGCAGGAGTCAACAGGAACAACTATTTGCAGATACACAGTTTAGTCCTAATTCTGTTACTGGACTAATTTTTGTATTTTACAAGTTCTTATTCTGCTGACAAGAAAATTATAGTAACAAATAATCAAATCAATATAGCCAATATAGCCAACCTTTTTCTCACTCCCACTGAAAACATGCAGAAAAGTAATACTTTTACTAAGTACACTGAGCAAGAAAAAAGGAGGTTTCTCTTTGATTTTATTCCTATATCTAGAAAAAATAACATCCTCATGTCCTTCTGAAGTCAATATTTCACAGCCTCCCTTTCACATTCTCATTTCAGCAGGGTAGAAGAGGGCAATAAAATAAACCTACAAAAAAAGTCCTAAGACCTCACAGAAAGAATGGTCCTTTTGAATGGCAGAGACAAAATGCATCATGTCAACCCTGCACCCAAAATCACCATTTCCCTACCCTGCACATTGTAAGTAGTGAGCATATACATAAAAATCACATACACAAACTATGCGCCTCAACAAAGCCCAGAAAAGTAAATGGGGTATGTCCCCATCAGTTCCCTGAACCTTTGCATCAGATTTTTAGTTTAAGCTATTTGATTTCACTGTTCAACCAGCAAAGACATTTTTGCACCACCTCAGCAATTTTTCCCTTTCATCTGGAAACGCTTCTTTTCTTACCTGATCTCTCAGTTGTTGAACAGAAGTCTGAAGGTTCAGAATTTGATTAAAGAGAGGACTCTGCAGCACTGATTTTAATAAGCTCAGTTTCTCCTCATTGGCAATGTCACCTCGATTCCGAAGTTTTGCCTGTAAGCGATCCATGGCCTGGAGGGCCCGATGTGTATCTGTAGCAATAATCATTTCTAGTCAGTAGCAGTCTAGAAACAGCCACATACAAGCAGGTATCAGGTTTAAATATAACTCTCTTTACTGTTCAAACTACGGAGGACTTGAATAGCTCAGTTCTGAACAAAAATCCCAGCCCAAACATATCTAATGAAGGAGGAAGTCAGAGGCAGAGCACAAAACAGAAGCCAACAAAAATCACAATTTTGTCCATCAAGAGCTGGATTAAAAAAGTGAAGGAGCCTTCATTAAAATTCAGTTACAGGAACTGTGGCTACAGACCATTGTAAATAAACAGTGACATAAAGAGTCATAATAGAAAACATTTGTCTTTTTCATGTCTTTCTAGGAAAGATTAAAACAATCAAATCAAGACAACAGGCTAAAAATTAAATACCCTAAACAAATAATGGTACATGTTCTGTTTTCAAATACCAAAACCCAAACACAAAACAAATTTCTAATCAAAGTAGATAATTTTTTCAAAATCTCTCTCAGCATTTATACCAATGACCCAAATCTATCATACACACTTAATTTGGCCACAAAAAAATACTGTGATACAAATGAAAAAAATTACCAATTGTTTCCAACATGTTTTCCACTTCTCAGCTTCTATTTCAACGTTGGTAAGAGATAGGAAATCTTTCCCTGTAAAATAACAGAAAGGGAAAAAAGTCACATTTATAGAAGTGTTAAGCTCTGACAGAGAAGACAAAAGCTTGACTTCCAAAAACAAGAAACAGCAAAATAACAATCCACAAAAAACATATCTCCACAGATAATAAAAATAACCTCAAAGATGATCATATTCTGAGTTACTTTGGTGCTTAAAACCTGCCTGAAAATTGCTTTAGGAATGTACTTTGTAATATTCTTGCATTTCCATACCAATGCTGCTGTCTGCATACTGTTGTACAACATCTCCTGCACTGCTTTAAAGAGAAGCTATGAATCATTGCTGTCACTGATATTTTACACAGTTTCATTGCTTTCCTTTTCAGTGATTCACAAAAGACATTCCCTGCGGGATCAGTTTTCAAGCTCTATGTCGACAATTTCAGGTGCACCAGCCGCGGCACATTTTTAAGTAATCTTTAAAGAAAAGTCACATAAATCACAAAGCATTCATGCTAAAGGCTTGCAAGAATCTCACATTAATACCTACTGGAATTGAGACTCTGATCTGGATGATGGCTGAGTTTTCACCAGTGTGTTTCCAGGTAGGAAATTCTATGCTAAGAGAAAGATATTTGGACATTGCTTTGTTTATACTTTTTGTAGCTTTTGGGGGTCGTTTGGGGCTTTTTTTTCAACAGTATGCCTGCAATTGCTATGCAATTTGTAGCAATAGAACATGTTTGATGAGATGGATAGCTGAGAAGAAGGGAGGAGTTCAACAATCATTGCAGGTGTATGTATAACCTTATCCTTCAAGATCGTGCTTTTGTTTTCTTTATAATAGGAAAATGATTATAGCATCCCCATGCAGAACCGTGATCTCTAAGCACTCAGGAAAAGAGGTTTTTTTCTTGAAACTTAGGAGAGAAAAAGAAATGGGAATTATGTAGACAGATCTCTGAGTAAGCTAGCCTAACAGGACCTTTATGGGCTTGACAATCAAGCCTATACTACTGGTATTTATGCAGAGAAAACAAACCATGTGGGTTTAAAATGGTCTCGTGTTCCACCAAAGTGACTTCCCTGGTGTGATATGCCAGAAGCTTTGTATCAATTTTATTCATGGAATCCCAGAATCATAGACTGATTAGGGTTGGAAAGAACCTTAAAGATCATCTAGTTCCAACCTCTCTCTCATGGGCAGGGAACTTTGCACTAGACCTGGCTAATCAGAGCTCCATCCAGCCTGGCCTTGAACACCTCTGGCAATGGGAGCGTTCACAGCCTCTCTGAAAGTTGCTTTTGAATTTGCTAATACATTGGTACAGAATCACTCATCATCCTTTTCAGGACAGTATACCACTTAGGGACAAACCTTCAAACCGCTTAAAACTGATTTTGTCAAAGTAATCTCATTCCTTGATTCAACAGAATCCAATACAGTATCAGTAACAAATAAAAATACACTTTTATGAATTTGTTTTCTCACCTGGCAAGGGAAATTCCAGCACGTGATTGCCAGATCTGAAAATACGAACATATCTTATTTTTTCACCCTGTCACTCTACAAAACAAGATAAAATTAAATCTATTTTACACAGAAAGTGCTGGATGAGATTATTTAAATACTATGAAGTAAGTGGGCTTCCCCAAACCTTAATCAACCATAGCTCATTTTTAGATTAACAAACTACTATCACTTCTATTCAAACCCCCTATTTACAAGTTTACATTTATGGTACATTTATAGGTGTCTTTCTCAGTGGCAATGCCAGTCAAAGCAGTTATTTTCTATTTTCCTGTTCCAGTTCTTTCTCTATAGCTACTCTTCGGGCTCTGTAGTGGATGCAACTAGAAAACTGTGGAAAAAAATAGATATGGAGTTGTTTTTCAGTCATTTCAGTGTCATGATCCTATCACAGCACTATACACACAAGCACACAGCATTATATGTTCAACAGATGAAACTACTCAGGAAAAATACAGCATTACTGTTCTGCTTCAGCTCCACAAGAACCTCAAGAAGAGATATATCTGTAAAATGTCCCTGTCTTTTGGAATAGCTGGATATTGCTTTATATCATGATTCTATTTGCCTAAAATCTCATTCTTGCCATGCTGTGAAAGACATGTTTTACAAGTGACAGCAGAGAAGGTCACCACTGTGTTCAGGCAACCCTGAAGGTATGAACTCTGACAACTTATAGTGAAAGATTTCTAAAAGCAGACGCAAGTCCTAAACATACTCTACAGATTGAGATGATGGTATTTAATTTGCAATTAAAAGAAGTCCTTAGCTTTGCTAAGACACTCATTATATACTTTCTATTTACCTCATGCTTTAGAGAGAGAAATGAATACTGCTCCAGTGCTACACTAGCATCAGCAAATCCATTTTTAACTCTCAGTTTAATTCTCCTTATTTGTGTTTACATTATCAGGGAATCCCTTCCCAACTGTCCAGCTTATTGCTTTTGTTGACTGCAGCAACAAGCGTGAGCAACCAAAACTGCTGTCAGGATGTTTTCCCTCAGGACACCTCTGACGCAGACGCAATGCATTGAGGCACACCAGTGTTTCTACACATCTCAGGCCCAGATGATCCCTGTTCTCTCTGCCTGCACTCTGAAACCCACATGACTGTGCTCCTGCTGTGCCACATCCATGCTAACAAGCAGGATCTCTCAGCATCAGCTTAGTGGCACATTAACATATGGAAGTACAAGAGAAGCAACCACACATTTGTCCAAAATACACCACTGAGACACACCCACAAGCAACACCACCGACTACAGGCCGCCTCGGCCTTTAAACCAACGTTTGCTTCAAGGTATTTTAGAAATAATGTGCTAGGGAGAAGTAGAGAGGCATGCATGATGACTTGTTGACTATCATTTGCTATAATTAATATTTTTATAATGAAATCACAGACTTCTAGATGTACAACAAACAGGAAGATATGTTCTGATTTTCTCATTCTGCAAACTCCTGACAATTTGTATCACAGGAACCTGGAGCCAAAACTAGCCCTTCTATACATCATGCCATGCCGTTCACACTTCAAAGAGCTTAGCTCAAAGTAGATTTAACTATTTTTATATTTCAGTGCTAAAGTTCATTAATCTCTTCACAGTAATAAGGACAGAGACTGTCTGAGTTAGACTTTTTTTATTAGCAACTCAAAGAAATACTGCTAAGGAAATAGTAAGTTAAATTTACTTTCAAGTTTTAAAGGCACAGGCACCTGAAAGCTATGACTTAAAAAAAAAGCAAACAAACAAAAAACCCTCTCTGCCTTCTATTTTTCTTTCTGTTTTATAACACTAAAGTAGAAAACACAAGGAATTTTAGACAGGTACGTGGTGACAAACATGGTCTGCTCTCTAAGTATAAGCGAAAATTAAAAATTATCCCTTTCAAACTTGCATTTCAAATTTGATTCTTCACATAGTAAGAAACAAAAATGTTATATACACTTTCTCTACTCTCTATGCTACCCTCCTTTGATAAGGTTTGTTGCCAGAAAATAGTTGGCATGTTGCAGCTCTGGTTTTCTTCTGTCCACTTCTGTAATGCTAAAATCCACAGGTGGCAGAATTTCAAAAAAAACAACCTGAAATTTATTTGATTACCTCCTTTCCATTGCAATCACTCAAGACACTTAGCTAAAGAGACAAAAGATTCATGAAAAGATGACCTGTTTCCAATGATTGTTCTTTCACACCTGATCACCTAGTTTCTACAAAGAAACTGTCTCTGTTTCATTGATAGATACTCCATCTACTATTTCACAAAGTCATTTCAGATAATACCCTGGAAACTAATGCTCATAGCAGTGGATTAGCAAGCGTGCAATGCCAAAGATAGAAAACACAGTAATAGGCTTTGCCCTGTAGCTCCTGCATTACTTGAAGTGCTCTAGAGCACACAGAGGAAATGCCTATCTTAAGCATGATCTCTGGGCCCAAACTTTGGCATGAGATTAAAATCAAATCTGTTTCAATTAAGCGGCATGGTAACCACAACATGCATTTAATAGTTGTTAAAAAAGAGTATTTCAAAACTTCTAATCTAAATTTCAACACTTGGCCTAGTTTTGTCTGTGTAAGAGATATCCTTTAACATTTGATTTTTATCCCATGTCATTTCCCTCCCATATTTTCTGGCTATCACTCAAACAGGCATATTGTGCTAGCCCTGCATGGTGCAGTTAGAGGAAACCAAAACATGCAGGAAGTGGAAGATATTAATTACTGCTAAAACTTCTGCTTTGCCTGCAGATTCCAAGAGCTCTTCCATTTTGCCCAGTTACATCCTGCACACTGGCTACTAAGGAGAAAACCTAAGGTGGATCCCAGATTCTCTGGGAGTAGTCTTGTCAAAATAAATGCAGTAGAAATTATTCATGGTAAATTGGAAAATCTCATGCTTTTCTATGTATTTTTCTACTGTCACAAAGGCAATTTTGTTCTCGCATACAGTGCTTTCTTAAGCACACTGAGAAAGAGTATGGAAATAAGTGCAAAAGAACACTGACCAACAGAGAAAAGATGATAAACAAAAACAATTAGTGGAAAGGAAGAAAGGGAAAAAAGGTTAGCCCATCATTTTACTGACAGGACACGAGCTTGCCAAATTAACATCAACCACTCAATTTCATCAGCCAAGAGACCCTAGACTACTAGCTTCTGAATGACAAAAGAGAGAACTGATTCAAATTAAGGATTTAATACAAGCAAAATTAACGTTCACTGTTCCACAAAGAACAAAGCAGATTTCCACTATCTGGAATGAAACAGGTAGGCAAGAGAAGCCTGATATTTACATTTAAAAGCTATGTTAATGAAAATTGTTCTGAAACATTCAAAATAGAAATAAAAAGGCAGTATTCACACAGCCTATATTAAGACTGTAAGAAGTCTGAAAAGATGTTACTAACCTCTTGAAACTTAGGAAAATGCTGACTGCATCAAAAATATGTAGAGATGTAATGGCTCTGTACATTAGAGAAGTTCTGCGATAGAGTTGAACAGCCTTATGTATTTTTAAGCAACTATGAAAACAGAATTTTGAACATTCAACTATTTTTAACCTTCTGTACACAATACATTAATGTGTTAAGGAAACTTAAAATCCTTTTTGATAAATTAGCAGCCTGTTCACTGTGTATAATTAATAATGTTCTATAACACTGTAAGGAGCCCTATATCAGCATAATATAAAATATCCATGTTAACTGACATGCAAGTCATAATTGCAACCAAAATGGGCTTAAAGTATCCATTATGCTTTCACCTCCTGATAAGCCTGTCTGATATAGCACATTTAAAAGTGATTTGCAGAGAGTACTGCAAAAATGATAACATAGTAAGTGAAGTGTTTCTAGTGGGGTTTTGGTGGGTTTTTTGTTAATGGAACAAACATATCTGTTTACAAAAAAGTTTTTTTTCAGTAAATATTTTCAGTTGAGATGAGTTGGAATCCTTTCTTCTAACTTCTGAAGTCCATTAGCTTCAGAAACTGCAAAGCAACTTTTTAGTATGTGCTGAATATATGGGATACTGAATTAACGAAACATAGGCACGGTTAATATTGCCTCTTTATGTTTTCAGCATAGGCGATTGATTACCATAGTTATTAAATTCAGTTAAACCTGATGAAGCATAGTTCCTACAGCAGTTGCACCTCTTAATGTATACTGGATTCTTCACAGAGGTGACAACAGCATACATAAATGAATAAATACAAAGCTTCACTGAACAGTTGCCAGTAAGCTTCAACAAAGAGTCACTGTTACCCTTACAAACTGAAAAGGCAAATTTCTCATTGTATACTGTGACAATAACAAGCAAGTTATACAGAAAATCATGACAGCGTATAACAAGACCGCTGTGCAAGAGGTCTCAGATGCAAGGACAAGGTTTGAAGTCTATGAAAGAAATACTTCAATATTGCCTAGGTAAAAGTAGCACATTTTTGTAATGACTTGTTGGGAATGCCAAAAAAACTGTCCTTAGCAATGAAGATACAGTATACTGCCAGCATGGTACTGTACTGGCTTAAACTGCTTCGTCAGGATGATCAAATCTAAAGTCAATTCGAAAATTTATTGGATGCTCTCCACAGAATGTAAACTCTCTTAAAGGAAACACGGAGATGATTTTAAAGGTCTTTAAAATGGTTCTTAGTACAGTGATTAATACTTGTTAAAACAGAACCATTTACAGTGATTTGGGTGACTGAGAAGGGCACGGCATTTCCCTCTGAAGAATTCACAAAGGGCCAGGAGGAATATAAAGATCATCAATTGGTATGTAAGTAGTGCAGTTCTCTCTTGCCTGATGCTGATACTGATCTAACTTTCCTAGTGCACTTCGGCGTAAAGAGGAGAGAGTGTGTCCAGTTCCTGATGAAAAAGCTTCTTCAAAGCACTAAGGAAACAACCAGAAACACCACAGCTAATCAGCAAATGTTACATGTATGCTACTGTTAACTAAATACATACAGATAAAATATATGCATACTAGAAATGTGTAACAATTTGGGGGGAAAAAAAAGGTTGATGCTCTTTGTCTTAAAAAATGTTGTTTGTAAAGGTGGATACGTCCTTGTATATTTTCAGTCTGCATTATTTTCTTCTAGTGTTACTACTTTCAATTTCCATAGAAGCCTCAAGTAACATTCCTAAAAAATATTTTACCACTTTCCCCTTTTCCAGTTTAGATTCCTTCCTCCCAACGAGTTGCTGTTATCTTGGAAAACGGAGTGGTGATATGGAAACCACAGGGCATCATACGAGAGAAATTCCGCAACTGCAGAATTCAAACCCTTGCCTGATTACGGTAAATCACTGCTCTCCTCCCGAGACAGATACCTGATAGCATTTCTGGCACCAAAGTCGATAAGGACGTTTTCTACTCAACAGTTTATAGTTAAAAAAACCACCTTCTGCACGTGTTAAGAAGTAAAAATATAACGGGACGCGGTAGTGTCATAAAAGCAAAAGACAAGGAAAAGGAAGTAAAAATAAAACCACAACATTCTTCAGCCAAGTGGCAAATCAAGTCTGTTAAATGCGGTACACGGAGTTCAAAAGGTCGGCTTTGTGAGAGTGTTTCTTTTGCTCCCTTTCTTCCTACTGCTATTTCCAGTAACATACGGAGGTGCTGGCAGCAAGGGGGAACACCGTATGAGGAACGAACCATCCCGAAAAGCAGACCCTTTCCTTTGCGCATCCAGACTCATCAAAGGACACGGCTGCGGGCGGCTCCTCGCCGCTCCGCGTCCCCTCTGCCAAACCCGTCACGTTTAAAGGCGTACCCGGGGAGCGTCCGGACCGGCGGGAAGCGCCGACACCACCACGGCAACAGGTACCGACCCCCGAGTACCCGCGGCCGCCGCCCCTCCCCGAGCCCAAGGACACCGCCGATCTCGCCCGGGCCTCCGGTCCGGCTCTGGCTCCCAGCGAGTCTCAACGCCGCCGACCGCAGGCGCTGGCCGAGGGCCGCCCGCGGGTCCCTGGCAGCGGCGGCAGGTGAGGAGACCCTGCCCGGCAGGAAACACCGGCGAGGGTTGAAAACGGAGAGGAGGTGCGGGCAGCAGGGCGCCCTGCAGATGCCGGGGGAGGTTCGGCTTTTGTTTATGTGAGGACGAGTCCCCGCCAGGCCGCTGGAGCCCGCGGACCGCCCGCCGCCGCAGGCCGGAGCCCCGGCCCAGCGCGGCCCCCAGCGCCGCTCCCGCTGCCCGCGGACAGTCCCGGGCAGGAGGGACGGGACATAGCAACAGGCTCAGCAATCCCCGCGGCTCCACGGCCTCTCTGCTCCTCCAGCCATACCCCTCCCCGGCGAAACCCGGGGAACGAAGAGAACAATAATAAATAAAACTTCGCGAGACAAATGCCTTTTAAAAGGCCGCTCAAACTCCAGCGACATGGCAGGCCCTCCCCGGCCCGCATCCCCTCAGGACGGCGCGGGCGGGCTCAGCCCCCTTCCCGCCGCCCGGCCCGGCGCCCCGCTTACCCCAGCAGCTCGGCGGCCCCGCCGCCCAGCCCCGGTCTCCGCCCTTCCCGCCCCCGAGTAGCGGCGCCGAGCGATCCGCGCCGCGGGGGCAGCGCGCTCGGGCACGCCCCGCCGGCCTGAAACCTAATCCTGCACCGCCGCCCCCCCGCCCGCGGGTCTCCCCGGGGAACGGCTGGGCCGCTCGCCCGCAGAGCCGAGCGGGACCGCGGCCGCACCGCCGCCACGGGGGGCGGGGGCATCCAGGGGATGGCGGGGATTCCAGGGGTTGGCGGGGGTATCCAGGAGATGGCCTGGGTATCCGGGGGTGGCGGGGGTATCCGGGGGGTGGCAAGGGTGTCTGGGGGATGACGGGGGCATCCAGGGGGTGCCGGGGTATCCGGGGGTTGGCGGGGGCATCCAGGGGGTGGCAGGGCTATGCGGGAGGTGGCGGGGGTATCCAGGGGCGGACCACATTCGAACGCTGCCCGGCCCGCTCCCTCCCGGCCTGTCGCCTCGCGGTCCTTCCCGCAAAGTTCGCCTCCCCAGGGCTACCGGAGAGTACGCCGTGCCGGGGGTGACACTGGGGAGCCGGGCTGCCCGGGTTTACCTCCCCAGTTCGCCCGTGAAGTGAAGGCGGCGACGGGCTCGCCGCTGCCTCCGCCCGCTGGGGCCGTGCTGCCTGCGGCCGGGCCCGGCCACCGGCTGTGCCCCTTCAGCTTCAACAAGATGAGCCGGGACTGGAAAATGGGAAATGATTGGACAAGTTAAATAAAAATGCAATAAAATTAAATTTAAAAAGAGGCGAAGACCAACAAACAACACATGATGAAGTCAGACAAAATGATTAATGAGGTCACAGAGTTACTGAGAGTTACTGAAGGGGTGATTTTTCCCTCGATCCAGCAGCTAGTTAGTGTCTTAACTAAAAGTAAAGAAGATGCTGTGTACCTTTCACATATATATGTCTAAAAATAAAGCACATAATGCAGGAATGTTTGCAGGGACCACACATAAGTTCAGCTAAAAGTGGAATTATTTTGCTGTTTGTTAACTTTGCCTCTTCACGGAAATGCTATTAGTCATGGTCTCCCGTTTTCTTTTACAGGAGATAATTCTGTGCTCTGGATAATTCTGTACGCTGGATAATTCTGTACGCTGCACTCCAGCGGCTCCATCGAGGTAAACCCCTGCAGAGGGAGATGGACCCGCACTGTTCTGCCAGGCATGTTTACCGTGGCTCTTTACAATCTCTGTGTACTTTTTATCTGCTTGCCTTCTGATCTGGTTTGGTTCTTTTGCCAAATGGATTTTAACTCTTAAGTGTCACCATATTCAAGTGATTGTGGTATGGGATGATTTTTTTTTTTGGTCACACAGTGATTTTAAAGAAACAGTATTTTGAAGATAGAATGAAGTACTGCCCAGCTATTTTCGAGAGTATCAGTAAATACAACCACAGAACAAACACTTTCATTAGCAGAACACTTAGCATGTAAACTTTAAGAAAGGCAGGTCTTTGCACATTGTGTGAAATTATTCTTTTTTTATTTTGGAAGATTAAATTCTGAAAAAAGTTGCAACAACATTCCTCTTGCTTATTACAGCTGGTGGATTGAAGAACTACAAATGATTAGCTACATTTTTCTCTGCTGAATACTAAAATATGCATGTAATTACACCTTTTAAAAAAATAATACTTCCACTTTTTAACTAAGAAAAATAATTTTTGAAATTTTATTCACAGGTTCCATTGTTCAATCTGTCATGTGCTGGTGAGCATATTGCTTTTTTAAATCAAACACTGAATAGCTAGAACATTGAATGCTCTGTAGACTGTCCCACTAACTTTGTGTGTTACATGAGCCTTTATTTAATCCAGAATAAAATCTTAAAAGGAAGTTAAAATTTGTCTGCATGTATCATTGTTCAATAAATAAACCACAGTCAATTACAGAAGTACAAAATGAGACAGCTGTTATTTTGCTGTTGCTCAGGCTTTAACCATAACACACCCCAGAAATAAAATATAGTGACACTATTAAGTTTATTAAAGAGCCAGAATTAGGTGCAATGCTACTTTACACCTGATATATAACAACATCAGTTCTGTAATAGGTCTTCCCAGTGAAATTTGTATCGGATATACCTTTCAGATAGTTTTTTAACATATGGACTGCTATTCTCAAGTAGAAATAAATTTTCAATTATATTGAGATTTTGTCAAGTCCTTGAAGTATATATTAAGTAGATGATAGCTACTGAACAGTCCTTGCCTGTATTTGCATGGGCATACTTATGCCAACACAGCCACACACACAAACTTGGCTATCTCAGGAAACACACAACACATCTATAATGGGAATTTGCATGACAGGAACACAAGGAGCTGTTGTGTACAGTAGCTGGTGACTCTGATGAAGAGCCATGCAGGCATAGTTCTAGCAAATGAAGCAAACTATTAGGAGTTGGAGTACAGTAGTGGTCTTGTGCATATACGTGCTAGTAGGTTTAGAAAGCTAATTAGAAAGACATCAGCAGTTAGTATTTACTCATTTTTTCTTTTTGTTTATAACAAAGTAGGACAGAAAATCATGGATTCTGCAATGAGGAAACCATGTGCCCTCTCCATCCACTTCCCAGAAAAAGAGGGTCACAAAGCATTAATGATTTCCTTAGTGTGGGTTACATTTTGTGCAGTGACACACGATGTTTTAAGTTATGTGATGGCTTCATTAGTGTAAGTAGTGGGGCCACTGATGTTATCTGGAGAGATGCTGTCCCTAAAATGTGAGAAAAGAGAATCTATTGTGTATTTCAAGTCTAAATATGTTAACAAACCAAAAAAAAAATCTGCAAACATTTATCTATATGATTTTAAACAAAAATTGCAAGCAGTTTTTTAAAGCATAAGTTTTCTTCAAAAGACCATTATGACCACAAAATTCATAACAAAAAAAAATATTCTGTCAGAAAGAACTCTTAAGGAGAAGATTAAGAGGATCTAAAAGACCCCACATTTTATGTTCTCCAGTATTAATATCCAGAAATATTTCATTTCTCAGGTCAATTTATAATACAGTCAAAGTATCAATACTGAATGAGATGTCTGCCTTGCTGATAAAAATAAATAAATAAAATACTAACATTAATGATGTAGTGCTTAAAATTATTAGAAAACATGAAGGAGAAGTGAACTCAGGAAAAAAGTCTTTACAAAAATGTCAGGGGCACCAAAAGCAAGTCTCTGTGTCCATTAAATCATTCATCAGGCTGCTGTTGTGGATGCAGTCTTTTAAAATAGTAATGGGAACAGGATCCAGCAAATTCTGGAGTCTAATTCTGCTCACAAATACTGACTTCGCTGTGAGAAGGATACTGTCTATGAAACACATTTGACAAAGTTTATGGCACAGACCTATTTAATCTGTAACAAACAAACATGCATTCATAACAATAATTGTTTAGTTTCATTACCATGGGTATTAAATTTCGGTATGGGCATTGGTATTGCATGCCCCACTGCAGAATGAGTAGAATATATATTTTAGGGACCTAAAGGAATCCTGTGAGGGAGGACTCAGGAATATTTATATATTTTATATTTATGCTTCAAAAATTCCATCTCTGAACTTAGAATAAAAGAGAACAAGAAACCCTTTTCATAAGTACTAACTTGATTAAAAATTTAATAAATTTCTACTTTTATAGCCTTACTCTTCATTATTACAGCATAATTTTCTGAATGTACATTCATGTATATATTTACATGCATAGACACAATATTATACTTTTCATTAGAACATTTCCTCAAATTTGAAGTTAAAAAACCCCACTAATTATAATTTTCCTTTTTAGACAATGGTAATAATTATTATAGATCAAATTTTATTCCCTGATGTGTAAACCAAGAGTAATCCATTGCATTAAATAGAATTAAACTGTAGAAAACCAATTTGAGATCAAGGATAACTATGATCCTAATTGCTATAGCTGCTAAGCTAAATGTATTAAGTATGTGGTTATACATTCTGCCCTTATGCAGCTAAAGATGGATCACTATCTTCTTCTTTTTTCGTTGAGCTCTTTAGAATAGCATGCTTTTGTACTGCATTTCCAGAAGTAACACTAGAAGAAGCAAACAGTCAAGTTAAATATAACACACT